TGATTATTCTCTGGGGTTTACGTTTTGAATTTTCTTGTGGCATGAAAAAAATCCGTCATTTTGTCTCTTTCGGTATCCAGCATGTCCTGGCTTCCTGGGCTATATGACTGACGTGGGATCCCGAACGTGCTTCAAGATGCACCCTGAGAGAGCTGTCTGGGCTATGGCGAGGGAGGTGTGTCAGGCAGAGGGGGGAGATCTCATCTCTCTGAATACACAGGCGAAGAAGTACCTGCTGGAAGCCTTTGATGATGACGGTGAATTTGAAAGTGAGTGAAATGAACTAAACTCAACTGGTTTGCCTTGTCAAGACGGATTATCAACAGGCCCCAGCTATAGCCGTAAAAGAGCAACCATTTGATTTTTGAGGGGTGGGTGGAACGTGTTTGTTAAATGAAATATGCCAAAAATAAATAGTGGGGTTATTTTGGAAAATACCCAAACGTCTAATTTTTGTGGCGGTAGTGAACATGATTTTCAGCAAAATGCATAGTCTGTGGGATACAGCTGGGAATAAAATAGATTTTATATCAAAAGAATACCTCCCTCTTCTTGGAAAACATATGCTTCAAGACAAAATAGGAAATTGCATGGGACACAATCTTGTCACTGATGCGTCAAATTTGGAAATGTCCTCCACATGTCTACCACGAAACTTTTTGAAAGCTTTACTTTACAGATTCGTTTATGCATGTCATTGTATCCCAATTGCGTGGGTCGAAACTCATGATGTCAATCACTGGATTGTCTGGTCCAGACTCGATTTACAGACCGCCGTCAAGAGCTGGAACATTGCTGCGTGCGGCGTTAAACAACAAACAAACCAACAAGCACGGCGTTCTGTTGTCAGAGGTATTTGCTTTTTTCAGATGATAAGTATTTCCTGGGAGCCGCTAATGACGGACAGTGGAGATGGATAAGGGATAATTCTCTGATTCCGTGGTTCGACGATGGCTATATTCAGGACTGCTTGTTGCTGGAAATTGGCAGAGGAGATAAATATGATCGAGACGATTGTGACGATGATCATAGATTTATCTGTGAAATATATGTTTTCGAGTGAACATCGGAATACTTGTCGCACCTGTCGTAACTCTGTTACCTATGTTACCAGTCGTTACCTATGCTTAATGCCGTCCCGTGTACCCATGGTACGTTTAGTCATTACTAAGTGAAACCCACATCAGTTGCAAAGTCCAGGAGCGTGGGGTGCAACGACCGTTCCTCTGACAGGAGAGGACAGGACAGGACGAGTTTCGACTGACATGTCCTAAAATATCACTTAATTTGGTTAAAAAGCACCTCAGACCGTGTTTGTGTCGTGAAGGGCATGATCTATGTATTCTATCTCGCTTGATTTTAATAAAGGCGACGACAGTGTCGAAGCTATCATTACGCGAAGCCGCCATTTTGAATGTTGAAATTGTTTGAACTGTATATGGTTTGTGTGATGCCTTTTTACCTCACAAAACATACGGGAATAGTTGGCAAAACTGGACACTGTGTGAATATTGTCTGTTATTTGAACTGTTCCATAATTTGTTGCCAGTTGTCTAAAGCCGCACTCTGCAATATTCCAGCTGTGTAATGCGGTCTGTAAATAATCCTTTCTGGACCAGACAATCCAGTGATTTTCTTCACACGATTTACCCATGTGGGGAATAGAACACGTGACGAACGAACGCTTTTACCACTGGGCTACCCCATCGCCTTTCAGCCAGGCGAACAGCTGTGACTGTAACTATTCCCATTTACAAAACATATTTAAGGGAGAGTCTGTTTTCCAAAGTACACATAATCAACCCCACATGTCGACTGGTTTGTCGCGTTTACGCACACAAGATTAACCGACCGGTCAACGTCTTCATGATGGTTACGGAAAAGGGCGACGTGCGATTACGCATTTCTAACAATAAAATAAAGGTTGTTACAAACTGTGTATGTGTTGTGTTGTGTTGTGTTGTGTGTGATGATTTGGTTGTTGGTTTGTTGTTTAACGCTGCACTCAGCAATATTCCAGCCATATGACGGCAGTTTGTAAATAATCTAGTCTGGACCAGACAATCCAGTGATTAATATCATGAGCATCGATCCACGCAATTGGGATCGATGACATGCATCAACCAAGTCAGCGAGCCTGACCACCCGATCCCGTTAGTCGCCTTTTACGACAAGCATCTACTAGTCACCTTTTACGGCAAGCATGGGTTGCTGAAGACCTATTCTACCCCGGAATCTTCACGGGTCTGTGTGTGATGAGATTTTGTTCAGCCTCCTTTGCCATGTCCAGGAGACACATAACCCTTGTTCTAGTCTAGTTCCAAGATGCAAATTCTGCATTAGTACAGCTTTATGACGACGGCTTGTAAACAACCAAGTCTGGATCAGGCAAACCAGTGATTGATGTAGTGAGCATCGTCCCACGCTGTGGGGTTACGATGACATGCAATCAACCAGGTCGCCGAGCCTGATAACCCGATTCATTTAGCCGGCTTGTACGACCAGCAGAAGCTGTTGGAAACCTTCCTAACGTCCGACTCAGCAATATTACAGCTATATGACGGCGGTCTTTAGCTAGTCGCGTCTGGACCAGCCAATCCATTGATTGACATCATGAGCATCGATCTACGCAATGGGGATACGATTACATGCATCAACCAAGTCAGCAAGCCTGACCACCCGATCCCGTTAGTCGCCACTTACGACAAATATAGAAATATGTGAGATTTCGACTATATCCATCTTCCCGAGGCAAGAGAGTTAACTGACTCTAAAGGTGGAAACTGGACTTTTATAGTCAGTTAACTCACTTGCCTCGGGAAGATGGACTATATCATGACATGATTTTATGATCTACTATCAAATAGTGATGATACCAAGGTTCGCGAAAACGTGAGCGTAGTCGGATCCATCAGTGGCATCCGTCACAAACATAGGCAAAGGTAAGTCAACTCTTCACCTCAACTAATACGGGCCAAACTAACCGAAATATTAATAAAAGTGGCGAAACTCACGAAACTTGAAAACAAATAATATTCTTGCAGTGAACATACCGGGAAAATTGAAACCGGTCCAGTTAGATTCGTGTTTATGGGATAAAGCTAAGATAGAGCGGGGGGGGGGGAGGAGAGAGTGAGAGAGACACGGGTGGCCTAGTCGTCTTAGGTGCCGCGATTCGCTGTGCAGAGTTGCGTCCCTTGGGCACGCCAGAAACCTATGATTGTGGGTTCGAATCCCGGTTCGCCCTGATTTTTTGTTTCTAGGTTTGTCAGTACCATACCCGTGCTTGGTGGTTTCACAGAAGTGGTAAACGCCTGAGACCTGCATCACTTCGGGCTTTCCTCCAACATTAACTGTAATACTGTTAAAAGCGGCGTTACACTCAATTCACTCACTCCTCTGTACAGATGACAGTGTCCGGTAACCGAGTGGCAGAAGACAGATGAACAGGTCCAGGTCAAGTCAAGTTGCGACGCAATCCGCCGGTGTGGAGATATCATTGCCGTGGCCATTAGATATGTATTAGGTCTCTGATAAAAAAACTGAAGGACTCAGTACATGGTTGTGCAAAAGCAGTTACAAGACACTAACAGGATCAATACGATCTCCAGGAGCATCTTGTTACCACAGGGGGCACGGGTGGCCCAGTCGTCTAAGGCGCCGCGATTCACTGTGCAGAGTTGCGTCCCTTTGCCACGCCTGAAACCTATGATTGTGGGTTCCAATCCCTGTTCGCCCCGATTATGTTTCTAGGTTTGTCAGCACCATACCCGTGCTCGTGGGTTTCACCGAAGTGGTAAACGTCTGAGACCTGCATCACTTTGGGCTTTCCACACACATTAAGCTGACACGCCGCGATATAACTGGAATACTGTTAAAAGCGGCGTCAAACCCAACTCACTCACTCACTCACTTACCACATGTAGTTTCCGACTTCATGGAGTCGGAGACACTGTCGCATACACTGAATAGTGACCAAACAAACCTTTGTCAACCTTGAAGTATATATGTTTAAACATATTAGTGATTGGGTTTTATAGATTATTAAGAAGACATTTCATGTCACTATGTTTCATCGCGTTTCATAACAATGTTCAACAAAAGAATGGTAGCAGTATAGATTCGGTACACATGCTATAGTAATGTTCGATAACTAGAAACACTGACGTACGCTCGGACACGGGGCTTGTAACGCAAAACAATCGCAGCTACAAGATATATGGGCACAACTAGTGTCAGTATACTATATAAATGTCCTTTTTATATAGTATACTGATACTGGGTGTGACCAAATATCTTGTAGCTGCTATTTTTGCGTTACAAGCCCCTGTGCGCTCGGACAGGACGTATATTCGTAAGGCGTAAGATTTTAACCTTAGACCATTTTAAGGTTGACGTCCTCGTTGTCATAACAACCTTCACTGAGGTTAACATGAAGGTCGTTCCGAGGCAAGCTGAACTAGCCAAGGTAAGTTGATATGGCGTATGTATTTATTCAATGTGTCTTTTAATAAAAATCTTGTGTTTTCATATGTAATTCTAACCATATATACAAACGGGGAAAAGTAACTATGATTCATATACTATATAAGAATTAAAACAAATTTAAAATTTATAGAAAACAGCTGTTCGATTATGATTACCTACAACAGTAGAAATATCCGAGTTGGGTTGTTGGAATTGGGGTGGGGTCGTTGTTTCAGATATAAATGTCAAGAGAAATTGTTTTCAGGTTTTCCCCTCCCAAAATATAATCTTCGCTGGACTTATGGAAGCCCTGAAAATGATATGTTCTACTCCTCATTTCAATGAAGCAAATATTGCGTGTTTCAGGATTGGCCAGTTTATGTATTTTGAAGAAGAAACAGCATAACTGGTTTCCGGATCTGACCGTGAGCAAGATTATTGCCATTCCGAAATTGCACGATTCCGAATCTTTCCGAGATTCACCGAATGTTCAACAAGGGAGTTAACTCTAAGGTCAAAGGTACTTGGAGACTTCTAAACAACATGGCGGCGATCATAACACCGCAAGTCAAAAAGGATAGGAATTGCTTTGAAAGGCCTGGCGTGTAATTTTCTATTTTGCTTTGTAACACGATGACTCGACAAACGTATGAAACCGTTATGATACGTTTGCAATATTTTTCATAACCTTAATTTTTTAAGTCTTCAAACGGGTAAAATTGTGTGTGAAACTATGACGAAAGTTTCGAGTGTGTCGCCCTAGAATCTAGCCTATAGGTAAGTGTACAGCAATAGGACTACAATGTGTTATGTTTCAGCAAACACTAGAATCTTCCGATTTAGATGTGTCGATCTTTCGTTCGTTCTTTGTTTACTAATCAGCGGTTCGACAAGGCAGGGAGAACGCACATGAACTCGATGATAGCGTGTATACATAACATAATATATTCGTATAGAAAAAAAATCACACCCCTCTATATACATATAGAGACTCTATGTATATAGAGGGGTGTGATTCTTTTCTATACGAATATATTATGTTATACACGCTATCATCAAGTTCCTGTGGGAGAACGCCCCCAACACCAATCTGCGTATAACAACTAATTTTGCTACATTTCATTTGGGAAACATATCCGATTTTTGGAGATTAGTGCATTTTTTTTATTGTCCTGTTACCCTGACATTTTACATGAAAAAACTTGTCACTTTGAAACAACATTTGTTTTCGGGGAACACATTTACCCCATAGGAAAAGAAATCGCCAGTAATGACAATGGGGTTGTAACATAATCAATTTTTATCCTGAAGTACCCTATTTTCGAACAGCATTTGATGGCATTGCTGATATTTCAAGGGATGAGCGAATCAAAAGTCGAATTCTGCTTCATCCCAGTAGGTGATGTCTACAAAAATAGAATTCAGCTACATTCCCCCCCAAAATTCCTCGTTAAAACATGACCTCCATTGCCTCGTCTGAAATCTTCCGGTGTAGTCTAGTAACGTCACCTCTTTTGGAATACACTTGATTGGCTTGGTACTTCAGCGGGGTTTCCCTGAATGAACAGACATGAGTTCTCAACATATTTCTTGGGGAATGGCATTAAAACTCAAAAAGTAATTGAAAGTTTGAAACATAGTCACAACCTAAAGTTCACACTATTTGACTCTTCCTGTTAATCATGACACAGATACCAAATTTCTGAATGACCACAGAATGTTCTGACAGGTGTACAGTTTTTCACATGAACCCAATGTTGACAGGCTAAACGGGTGCACACTCAAGGCGGCGGCCTTGATGACGTCACACTTCTTGTTATAACACGACAAAATCACTTTCAATATGGCTGTTCGTTTAAAAATAGGGTACTCGGCAATTTTTCGGCAAACACAATGTCCACTCCTGTTTACCTCAATTAGAGGAAATGTTTATGTGGTTAAGCTTCATAGAACTGTGATATTCTGTTCATGAATTATTATGAGAATATGACAACTTTACTTTTCCTAGTAACATTTCAAAGACCTTTTATTCATAAGGACATATGCATTCTGCATCACTTTAGGCAAATGTTGGTTTTAATTTTCCTTGTAGATTTATGTGATAAAGCTGACAGTCAGAAGCCATGATATGAGTCTGTGCTAAAATCTTTTAAGACTACTAGCCCAAACCTGACTTTTTGTTTTCAGTAGAAGTTAGTGTTATTTTAAGTACTATTATTAGCTGAGCTTACTAGACCAAACAGAACTTTACTGGACTCCGGCTTCGGACAAGTGATTAAAGCTCCCGACTCTGATGTAATGGAAATACTGATCACAGAGCTGTTTTAACCCTACAGGCAACACCCTCCCTCTGAAGTATGTTTAGAGATTGTGCTAGTTTTTTCAATTCTGTGATTGCAGATGAGACGGAGGCTAGTATTTCAGGATGTCACGAAGTGTACCATGGCGCCGGACGGTGACCGATGCCTGTTGCTGGCACCAGGCCGAAGCTCAAAATGCGACTATCTACATCTTACGAGAGACAGGACCTACAGGATTTCTATTAAAAGAGGAAGGAGAAAGCAAGAACTTCAAGGTACATTGTGTGTATATGAAGATATTTTGTTCAAAGTGCAACCTACTGTATTTGACGTTATAAGCGCCCAGGGCGCTCTCAAAATTAGAAATAGGGGTCTCTTATTAAAATAATATTTTGGTGAAGAAAAAAAACAGTTGAAAGATCGTAAATTTTGTGGTTTATGCTGACAGCCTGAAATGTTTATATACGACAGATATATTTTTCCAGGATTTAATTGCCCATAATAAAGGATGCATATAACACATGAGTGTGTAAAATCACTCTTAGTTCTCGCTACAGCTAAACAAAGATCTGAGGACATCCCATTACGAACTTTGACTGACCAATGGAATGACCAGTCAGAAGGCAGCTTTCTCGTGCTATACGGCTCTATTTTCAAATTGGTGACCACGCTTCGAAACATATTTTGGCAATTCTCGATTACAAATTTGAAACCTGAACAAAAGAACATTCTGGAATGGCTAATAGATGGTATAGATTGTATGGATTCAGTCGTTAAACCCGTAACTATAGTTCGGAGTTAAAGTTTTTGAGGTTGCATGATTAGAAATCACATTCCGACTGTCACTTTCATAATCTAGCAAGCGATGCTCTAACATGTCTAATGGGATGTCCTCAGATCTTTGTTTAGCGGTAGCGAGAACTGAGGTCTGATTTTAATGAGATTTCCTTATTCTGTTCTGTTAATTAAATCAAATCATTCATCATAGCACCACTGCACCCCTAGTCCCCATATCAAGTCGACTCACTGACCAACAAACACTATTTGCATCCCCCCTAGAAGTCAGACCACAGGAGGCAAGGATGGAGATCATTTTACACTTCGAATAATATGCAAGTCTAGTATCATGAGTATAAAGTGTTATCTTCCAATGAAAAAATATCACCACTAGGGCTTGGACGGGTAACTTGGGTACTCAGGTCGGGTTGGTCCTGAATAGGACCCGGGTACCCACAGGACTACCCAGGCCTGTGGTTAGTCACATGGTTAATCATGGCAAAAATGATCCAGAACTCTATGGTTACACTACAAGTCACTAATGTTCGCATTTCTTTCTGACTATGCACCCATTCCTTCTGACCTTTATTGGTTTGAATGAAGATGTGACCAAGCACATTTATCTAAGTCAACATGCTGAATAAAAGCAGAGCAAGGTCTGCTTTGATAAGGTTGATATTATTAGTTATGGTGTCTTTAGTTGCCATATACGATGTCATATTAGGTTAGCAGAATAATATTGGGCAAGGCATCGGGCCTCGCCCAATATTTTTCTGATAGCCTAATATGACACCGCATACGGCAATTAAAGACACCATAACAAATTTATTATGCTGAAAAGTTTACACTATTTGGTATCTATATCGCACATGTCATGTCAAAATGAAAACTTGACACTTTCAACCGGCATAAACGACAGGACCAGTACATGTTTCCGATACAACGCTTTAATGTAAACATAAATGTTAATGTGAACTTTATGGAAGATCTCTATTGCTATTCTATTGCTATGTGGCGTCACGTTTCTTCTTTGTGACGTCATCCTATATTATGTTCTATGACGTTGCTGTTTTTGACTCAGTGACCTCCGTTGTAAGCTTTTTTTCTCTATAATTTTTATTAATAAAGTAACGAACGTGGTTTCTTTAACAATTAATGTCTTTTCACAAGACAATTAATGATATTAAAACACAAAACAGTGTCGAATAACAAATTTCTGTACCAGAAATCTCATGTGAAATATTAGGTCAGTATCAACCATGTTGGATTTTTACTGACGATATACAGGCTCATATGGGGTTGGTAGTTCTGCTCTCTGATTGGTCAATCTCACTTTGACATGTATCCTATACATGTTTGGATGGCACCACTGATGCCACTCTCTCCTGCAGGTGTTCCTCGGAGACCCCCACAGCTGTACGTGTCCTGTGTTCAGGAAGGAGAAGGATCTTTGTAAACATATATCATGGCTGCTGCTCAAGAAGTTCAGGGTCCCGAAGGAGAATCCAGGTACTTGCTGATTGCAATGTTAGTCGCATTTTGCTGTTCAGAGTTGCATCCCTTTGGTGTGCCAGAAACCTATGATCATGGTTTGAATCCTGTTTCTCCTTGATTCTATTTCTGGGTTTGTCAGCACTGTATTCATGCTTGTGGGTTTCACTGAATTCGTGAACATCTGAGACCTGCATCCTTCCAGGCTTTTCCTCCGTATCAGGCTGACATGCAGTGATATAACTGAATTAATGTTCAAAGTGGTCTTGACCGGTGAAGATCCGGGATAGAATAGGTCTTCAGCAACCTATGCTTGTCGTAAAAGGCGACTATGCTTGTCATAAGAGGCGACTAATGGGATCGGCAGGTCAGGCTCGCTGACTTGGTTGATGTATGTCATTGATCCTAATTGCATGGATCGATGCTCATGATGTCAATGACTGGATTGTCTAGTCCAGACTCGATTATTTACAGATTGCTGTCATATAGCTGGAATATTGCTGAGTGCGGCGTTTAACACAAACAAACAAACAACAATCTGAATCTACCCCTGCTAACCCTGTCTCATGTTTACCGTATTTTCTTGAGTATAGTGCGCACCCATGTATAATGCGCACCCCCCTCTAGCAGGTTCAATATTTTGGAAAAAAAGAACTTTGAATATTATGCGCAGAATTTTTTTACACCGTACCCTTTCAGCGAAGTCCGGCAAACGAACGGGTGCTGAGAAACTTCGTCAGTACAAATTCGAAATTTGAGATAAACAATCACCAGACATGTTTATTTACCGTTTAAATAGTATTTATTGTTCTGCTAGGCATTGTTTTATATTTAGGGATTAAGATTACCTTGCGTATTTTCTCGTAAACTAAGCTGGAAACAGCAATCAGCTGTACACACGTTTTCTTGGAATCGACCGGTGATTCGGTCAAGACACACCCAATGATATAACTTTATAAGATTTTTAATGCAAGGATCGGCAACAATTGTATCTGAAACTATTTTATTTATCAGGAATAATATATTCCATTATTTTCTTAATTATATGCAACCTTTACTAAATATATTTAAAATAATAATAACCCTAAGCGAAGCAGCTGATCGCTATTCCCGGGTATTATTTTTTACATGGAACATGTCTGACCAGTCACCGTCAAGGCTCACGCGCACGTGATCACGTGATCGCCAGAATTTCATGTTGACATAGAATCGTCAAACAAAAACAAATATGACTTTTAACGAGTCAAAGTATGTCATTTATGATATATGTATCCATTCTCTGTCAACTAAAGTTTGTTTCAAGGCGTCAATAGCGGTATTCTGACCGTGGTTGCTGTTAATAACGGTGAGTTGTGCGATCTTCCGATCGCTTCACACACGATTTCGCCGAAATTAATAAAAACAATATTATAAGGAATTTTGAATAAAATCAATGAAATAAGTTACAAACATAAGTCCAGATATACAAAGAACACTTTTTATAGCCAGACAGTGTAATTACATAAGTATTTTGCGTACTTCAGTATGGATTTGTTGACATGGTATTTCCGGTGTTTCGTGCTCACGGTAATGTCTTTCCATGGGGGGAAAAAACATCCAAACTCATAATTCGTGTATAATGCGCACCCCCTTCTACACAGCTGTGTTTTTTCGAAAAAAAGTGCGCACTATACTCAAGAAAATACGGTAAATCTCCTCAGTCACCTGGCAGCTGGGGCTTGTGGAGAGAGAAATCAACGAGATACTGCGAGGACAGATGTCCCCTCGACGTAACCAGGCCAAGAAGCCAATGTCTAGAAACGCAACAGCGGATGCTGATGGGAGGACCGCAGTGCAGCAGAGAGACATCGACAAGGAGGACGTGTGTCCTATATGCCAGGAGGAACTACTTGATAAACGTCTCCCAGTCACCTACTGCAAGTAAGTCTTCTCCGGAGGAACTTCTTGATAAACGTCTCCCAGTCACCTACTGCAAGTAAGTCTTCTCCGGAGGAACTACTGGATAAACATCTCCCAGTCACCTACTGCAAGTAAGTCTTCTCCGGAGGAACTTCTTGATAAACATCTCCCAGTCACCTACTGCAAGTAAGTCTCCTCCGGAGGAACTTCTTGATAAACATCTCCCAGTCACCATCTTTCTGTGGCAAGGGGGTTAACTGACTATGAAAGTCCACTTTCCACCCTTGCGGACCTAGGCTGGAATTTCATGGTTTGATCACTGGGTCACAGGTGGCTATTACTATGTCCCCCCTATTGACCAATCCGATTCCACCTCTCATATCATTTGCATTTGCTTCACCCAACACAGTTCGGACATATGATCGATAATCAAGTTCCCTATTGTAATATGACAGGTTTTACCCCACGAAGGACAACAAATTGCTTGAGCACCTTGATTAAAAACATGAAAAGATTTGGAAAACATCTGTCGACGTCCAGTTGACAGTACACATCTTTTGCAAATCCTGCAGTTGAACGAAATCTGCAAGTTGAAGTCAATGTTGTTTACAAACCGGATGTCCAGTTTGTTACGTGATTTTCATTGGACTATGAATTGACTCATTAGTCCAGTCAAAGTGTAACTCCAGAATTCCAGCCTAGTTAGGCAAGGGTGGAAATTGGATAGTCAGTTAACTCCCTGGCCTCGGGAAGATGCCCAGTCACCTACTGCAAATAAATCTTAACAGGTTATTCTACATGCTATTCCAATCGTCACTGTATTAAGTGCCTCAGTCCTGTAACATTTTCAGTGTATATCAAAGTTCAAACTAAGTTTGTTCTGATATCTCTTTTCGATAGTAACCTTTGGCTTTGCCGAGTTGAATTGTATTTAAATGATAACAGTTCCTATAATACTTCCATACCATATTGAGAAATACACATGATATATTGCAAACAGAAATAAGAGGACAAAGGCTTTTTAAAATACCTATTTAAAATAAAATAACATGTTTTTTCCAAATTTACCTACCAAGGGCACATAGTTTGGAGTTCTGGATTCATCCAGATTCAGTCACATTAAAATCAGATCTTAGTTCTCTCTACCGCTAAACAAAGATCTGAGGACATCCCATTAGGGGTCACGTCAGAACGACCTTTCATCCGACCAATCAGAGCGTCGCTTACCAGATCATGAAAATGACAGTCGGAATGTGATCTCTAATCATGCAGCCTCGAAAACTTTAAAATGGATATTCTGAACGATAGTTATGGGCTTAACAACTGAATCTAATCAATCTAGACCATATATTAGCCATTCGATGATGTTTTTTTGTTCAGGTTTCAAACTTTTAAGCAAGAATTTGTCAAAATATGTTGGCCTATTTGAAATTAAGCTGCCTTCTGATTGGCTTATGTCGACTTCTTGTCAGTAATTCCATTGGTCGGTCAGAGTTCGCGAAAGGTCGGTCTGACGCGACCCATAATGGGATGTCCTCAGATTTTTGTTTAGTGGCAGCGAGAACTAAGATCTGATTTCAATGAGATTCATCCAGATTCCACCCAACTACTTGCTGTTGGTGTTGTGTACATAAATGTCAAGTGAGTGTAAGCCAAGTTTGACCTTCTAGCCGTTTATTCATCATCTCTATCGTTATTCTGCAGGGGCGGGGTAGCCTATTGGTTAAAGCATTAAAGCCCGGGTTCGAATCCCTACACTGTGTGAAGCTCATATCTGGTGTGCCCTGCTATGATATTTCTGGAATGTTTCTAAGAGCATCATAAACACTCACTCACTCACTCGTTATTCTGCAGATTCGGCTGCGGGAACAGTGTCCACATCAAGTGTATGAAGATCTGGGCCGAGCATCAGCAGGGTGTTGGGGACAAGAACATTAAGTGCCCCATGTGTCGGGAGGACTTCGGACCCTTCAACCTCCTGAAGCTGGAGATGCGGAATGCCTCAGACAAGCAGGCGGCGGCAGGGAGGATGGACAGACATATTGGAACCTGCTGCCGGAGCTGCCATATTGCTCCCATTGAGGGCAAGTGCTACAGGTGAGATACAGGAGAGGGTCCTCTCGTCCTCTAGCCAGATAACATGCATCTGTTCTACCTATTATTGAAAAATGCCATCTATATATATATTTATGTCTACATGCACCAAGTGCATGTCAAAAGATTTGTGACTAACCTTGTCCGCACACAAAATCAATCTTTGAACACACTCAGTAACTCTATTGTTTATTTACCTTACTAGAAAACTAATCCCTGTGTTACCGTATTCGACATAATAAGCGCCCCGCTCTAATAAGCACCCACGGCGATATTTGCTGTTATATTGGCTAGTGAACAATCCCAATTAGCACCTTCCGATTGATCAATGTACACAAGACTTATTTATTCATGTATAATACGCACTCTTGTGTTATATGCATCCTAAATTACGGTCAATTAAATTCTTGAAAAATATATCTGTCATGTATGCACATACTTTTCTTTTGTATCATTTTAGGCTGTCAGCATAAACCATGAAATTTAGGATCTTGCAACTCTTTCACCAAAATTATATTCTAATAAGAGCCCCTATTTGTAATTTTGAGAGCGCCCTAGGCGCTTATTGCGTCGAATACTGTATGTGTAATTTGTCATACTTTCTTTGGCTTGACGTCATCAACCTGGGGGTAAATCAAGATTACATTTTACAGCAATGTGTCATTAATTTATGGGACCGCCTCCGTGGTCTAGTGGTAGAGCGTCCATCCGGAGAGCGGAAGGTCAGTTGTTCAATCCCCGGCCGCGTCATACCAAAAGACATTAAAAGATGGTACTTGTTGTTACCCTGCCTGGCGCTCGGCATTAAGGGGCTAAAACAAGGAGTGATCAGTTCGGAGTCAGTATACTGTGTCTGAGTGGGGTATTCATGTTAAACTGCGGCATGGTATCTTAGTGTGCTAGCACTATAAATCGGCATCAGTCCGGACTAGTACAAGCAGCCACACACACACGTGCATGCAAGTCGCTATATAAGTGCAATAATCTTGGACGCAACGTTAAACCCAATTTCACCTCACCTCACCTCATTAATTTATGTGACACTGGCAGCAGACTAGCCTGTTTCAACTTTGGTATTTTCATGAGACCAGGGTGTGACCTGGTTTTCTTTGGTGCAACTTTTCATGTCAACATGCACATGATGCAAGGTAAATCCAGTTCCTTAAATCGAGCCTGCCCTCCTGTACTGACAAGGAGGACCTTGTACATGTCGTGGGATGCTGTATATTATTATCTTGAGATCATGTTGTCAGTTTAATTTGCAGCTTTTGTGTCTTTATTATTTGGTATTTATGTGCATAGTTGCATAATGAAAATCACAGGTATTGAATTGATTGGAACCGGGTTAGAATAGGTCTTCAGCAACCCATGCTTGCTGTAAAAGGCGACTGTTTGTCGTAAGAGATGACTAACAGGACCATGTTGTCAGGCTCGCACACTTGGTTGATGAATGTCATCGTATCCCAATTACCTAGGACCGCCTCCGTGGTCGAGAGGTAGAGCGTCCGCCCGGAGAGCGGAAGGTTCGGGGTTCGATCCCCGGACGCGTCATAACAAAAGACGTTAAAAGATGGTACTTGTTGTTACCCTGTCTGGCGCTCGGCATAAAGGGGTTAAAACAAGGACTGGTCGGCTCGGAGTCAGTATACTGTGTCTGAGTGGGGTATTCATGTTAAACTGCGGCATGGTATCTCAGTGAGCTAGCACTATAAATCGGCATCAGTCCGGACTAGTACAAGCAGCCACACACACACACACACGTACATGCACGTCGCTATATAAGTGCAATAATCTTGGACGCGACGTTAAACCCCATTTCACCTCACCTCTCACCAATTACCTAGATAGATGCTCATGGTAGGCTCTGGATTATCTTGTCCAGACTCGATTATTTACAGACCGCCGTCATATGGCTGGAATGTTGCTGAGTGCAGTGTTAAACAACAAACATACCAAATCAAACATTATGAAATTGACAGGTATTGACTCGATTGATATTGAATTTTCCTATTTTCAATCTACAGGTGCACACATTGTACCGAGTATTATCTATGTCAGTCCTGCTTCAACACTCCGACACACACACAGCATTCCTTTGAATACAGACATGTAAGTATTCTTTAATATGAATTGTTCAAGCCATCTATGTGCCATGAAGGATGATTGTATATGACGAGACTAGTATGTAATGCAAGGACTGATTCAGATCGGGGGACTCTGACTCGGACTGATTGTCATCCAAAATGTTTGAAAGATGATTTAAGATTTAGTATTGGTATAGTAGAATCTGAATGTCCTTTCAATAGTTCAAAACCAACATCAACATGTCCTAAATCACTGGAAGCATATGGTATATTTAACTTGTAAAGATTCGGGTTCGAATATGTCTTCAGCAACCCATGCTTGCCCAAAAAGGCGACTATGCCTGTCGTAAGAGGCAACTACCGGTAATGGGATCGGGTGGTCAGGCTCGCTGACTTGGTTGATGCATGTCATTGTATCCCAAATGCATGGCTAGATGCTGATGATGTCAATCACTGTATTGTCTGGTCCAGACTCAATTATTTACAGATCGGCGTCATGTAGCTGGAATATTGCTGAATGTGATGTTAAACAACAACAAACAAACTTAGAGTAAGAGGCAACAAAGATAGCAATCAGATTACAATGTGCGACCTGGCTTATTGTGTTCTCAAATACTGATCAATAGATTTGACCACTGGCTTGTCCGGTCCAACCAATTACATACATAGAGATTACTACGCGGGGGTCTGTCAGATACCATTTACCTTACAAGTTGTTCAAAACGTATCTAACGAATGAAAGCTTAGGTGAATTTGACTGAAGCCAGAAAACTTACCAATGAATTACAATCAGGAAAGTAGTCCATCATAATCCCGACCTTAGGTCATCACCATGGAGTAACCAATCAATGACTAGGATTCAGTCTCACACTTATGTTTGATACCAGTTGTTTAACATTGCTGTCTCACCCAAATGTGTGTACGAAAGGGCTGTATAATTGTGTTCTGGGGTGGAAAATAGGGTTTGTAGTAACAATAACCACAATAACAATAAAACTCGATGGTTACGCTACAAGTCATTAATGTTTGCATTTCCTTCTGACTATGCACACATTTCTTCTGACTTTCATAAGTTTGAGAAAATATAAATCTTCAGTCAACTTCAGACTATGCATGATTAGATTGTTCTATACGTGTATCTAAATAGTTTTTGCCTGGCTCCAGTAAAACAATTCCCAATCAGATATTTTGTACCCAAATCTTGAGACCCACAGCGGGTACAAGGGCAAGGTCAGGTAATAGGGGTTTGGGTACCCGGGTAATAAATTTGGACCCATCCCAGCTCTTGTTTAAAATGGCCACTTTTATAATCAACTGTAAAATGACAAATGATATTAAACTTAGGGGGGCACGGGTGGCCCAGTCGTCTCAGGCGACGCAATTCGCTGTGCAGAGTTGCGTCCCTTGGACACGCCAGAAACCTATGATTGTGGGTTCGAATCCCAGTTCGCCCTGATTATGTTTCTAGGTTTGTCAGCACCATACCCGTGCTCATGGGTTTCACCGAAGTGGTAAACATCTGAGACCTGCATCACTTCGGGCTTTCCTCCCACATTAAGCTGACACGCCGTGATATAACTGGAATACTGTTAAAAGCGGCGTTAACTCACTCACTCACTATTAAACTTAGTTTGATGTCTCATTTGTTGCAGAAGAGAAACCAGCGATGGCGTCCAGCCGAGCGTATGTTTGGTGCATCGGTCCCCCGGGCAGTGGCCACAGACATGATGAACAGAGAGCTGTCCGCCTCCGACTACGACCTCCTGCTGCAGCTAGACAGGTCAGTATATATATGATGGCAATAACATGGTCCACTTTCTTATTGATCCAGCAGCCCATTAATTGTCACAACTCGCTGTTTGAGTAGCACCCCTAACTTGTTGTTAACAGTTGTGCCCCTTTGCTGTACCAGAATCTGCTGTCCTTGCTTTCCATTCCAACTTTCGTCTTGATAACTGAAATTCTTTAAAATGATATCTCCAGGATGAGATTTGAACATTTATACCTTCTGCTAACTCTTATGTTAATCGACCAATCAGTGATCAGGAAAGTCATCGGGCAGCCATTCAAATTATACCCCAAAATATGAAATCTGAACTGGTGATTTACATATATATCCTACTGTGCGACCAGTATTTGATAATAATACGAAGAGGGGGCACACGTGGCTCAGTCGTCTAAGGTGCTGAAATTCACTGTGCAGAGTTGCGTCCCTTCGGCACACCAGGAACCTTTGATTATGGGTTTGATTCACCGGTTCACCTCAGTAATGTTTCCAGGTTTGTCAGCACCATGCTCATGAGTTTCATCAAAGTGGTAAATGTCAAAGACTTCATGTCATCACCTACCCATATCAAGCAGTCATGCCAAGATATAACTGGAATACTGCTGAAAGCGGTGTTAAACCAAACTCACTGACTATAATGCTAAGATATTCTCAAGGTGGCTTTGGCTTTGTTGTATTCAGACTGTTCATTGAGTGTCAGAGAGGTATGTCTTCAAGTTGTATACATGTTATCGCAGCACGCAGCACACCAGCATGACGAGCGACATCCCGGAGGAGGTGGTCAACATGCTCCCACTGGAGCGGGTCCGAGAACGCAGTCAGCTCCTGGCTCCCGGCTCACAGTGTCGCATGTGTCTCCGCTCCTTCGTGGTGGGACAACATGTGCGCAAACTTCCCTGCAAACATAAGGTAAGCTCTCTCATACAGAAAGATTTATCTTTCAATTTTTTTCAAAAAATTGTAAATATTTTTTTAATACGGTTATTGACATGATTAATAATCTTGAAGATTATATACAACACGGGCTTACTCTTGGGAATAATCGCTAAAAAGGACACCAATTTGAGAAGAATCACATGTACTTTTGTACACATCCAACTCAAACAATATCTGCTTGCACTCTAATGAAGATAACTAGTAGGGCTTGGACGATACACCAACAGTGCGATCCCATACGTATCATGATACCTTGCTAACGATCCGATACGTATCACATTACTTGCATGTGCTCTTATCTGTGATGCGTAAGCCATCTGTTTCATAGACAGGATGGCCAAATATCTGGCACACTAATGATTTATAGTTGGCAGTGTCAAGCAGGGTTAGAAACTAACAGTTTTCGTCCACTAGTCCTTATATTGATAACAAATAGCAAAACCCTTAAAAAGGGCAAATTTCTACTAGTCCTTATGATACCTTTACCACTGGGCAGTTTGGCAAGGACTATAGGACTAGTGCCAATTTCTGACGCTGTCAAGTATGGCACAATGTATGAAAATATTTATGTTTTCATTGCTCATTTTCACTAGAAATTAGTGTTTGGTGTAAGATTTATTAAAGAATACATTTAAGGTAAGAATCGATACTTTTTACTTAGTGTGCAATTGTGATCAATACTTATATCGAGAAATAAAAAACCGGCAATCCACCGATGCATCAGTGTATTGTCCCACTACCAACAACTAGATCAGACATGACCCACTAGTCCGAAAGCCAAGTCTAGTAAAATATCTTTTGGCCTAGTAAGCTCTGCAAATATAAGTCTGCTGATAATGTTGTAAATGAAGGTCGGCTAGTGGACTCAAAGGTTTTTGGCACAGATGTTCATCGAGTTCTCTGTGTCCTAGTTTCACAAAGACTGCATTGACAACTGGCTACTCCACTCCCGGCCAACGTGTCCCGCCGATGGCCTGCAGGTCTGGAGCCCAGTCACAGGATTCGCGGAGCAGATCGGAGCGCCACGGACCCTGCAGTGAGTAACACTCTTGTGTCTAAGAGACAGTTATATTGTTGGAAACTGAATGCTAAAGAGTAACATGTGATGGATGCTGGGGTCCTTGAAGCTTGCTGCTAACAGAGAACTCGGGTACTCAGGTCGGGTGGGTACTGAGAAGGAACTGGGTACCCACAGGACTACCCGGACCCATGGTTAGTCACAGGAGATATTGTTTAATGACCAAAATTATCTCGAACTTTATGGTCTCACTACAAGGCACTGTTTTTATTCTTACTTTTATATGTTTGAATAAAGGTGAAGCTTCTGTGTATGCATGACCAGATCAGTTTGTACATGTATCTAAAAACTTTATACCAGGACTCCAGTCAATCTATTCCCAATTGGACATTTTGTACCCAATCTTTGAGACCTACAGTGGGTATCGGGGTAGGGTCGGGTAATAGGGGAGTGGATACATGGGTACTAAATTTGGACCTGTCCCAGCCCTGTATCTGATACATTTAGTCGTCTCTTACGACGTGCTGTGGGGTAACTAGTCTAACCCTGGTCTCCATAGACCATGGAGGTCATATTAAGATATGACCAACATTACCACGAAAATGTGATTAAAAGCTACAGCAAATACCGAATTCGACGTAATAAGCGCCCAGGGTGCTCTCAAAGTTAGAAATAGGGGGCTCTTATTAGAATATTATTTTGTTGGAAAGAACAGAGTTGAAAGATAAATTTCGTGGTTTATGCTGACGGCCTGAACTGTTTATATAAGACAGATATATTTTTCCATAGTTAAGGATGCATATAACACACGAGTGCGTATTATACACGAATAAATAAGTCTTGTGTTCATTGATCAATCGGAAGGGGTGCTTATTGGGATTGTTCACTTGCCAATATATTAGCAAATATCCCTGTGGGCGCTTATTAGAGCGGGGCGCTTATTACGTCGAATACGGTAACACAAAATACAAAAGTAAATACATTCATAGAATCTACAAATTGTTCACTTCCTCATTGGTACACTGTGCAAAGTCTATTTCTGGTGTGCCCACACCATCATAAACTATTGTAAAATCATTCTCACTCACTCAAATTGTTCAATACAGAGCCAGACGTCAATCCGATGCCTCACTGCCTAGTGAGTCTACTTCCTCAAGGGGGATAACTCTGGAGGTCCCAGGAGTAGGTATAGCATCTCTGAGCCAAGGCTCAGCCGGCAGACAAGACCCTGGGGGGATGGTGCGTCGCCCCGTGCGAAACATGTCCATGCCCCACCGCCCCCCATCCAGCATGGAACTAGCAGGGGTAGCGCTGGGTGCTGAGGGGGAAAGGTGAGGTTCATTGTCATTGTCATTGATGTTGTCATTGATGTTGTCATTGATGTTGTATCATCCTCTGTATTTGAAGGGCTCGCGTTTCGGTCAACCTACATTAGCCCCAGAATACATTCCCGCGATCCATACCGACCAATGATGTAGAAGATGATGTCAGTGTCAGCAAACCATCTTTGTGATGAAAACGTAGTACCGCTGATTACCTGATGTCATCTCATTGGCATACAGTCAAGTCCCGTTAGTCCGACATGGTTGGTTGCTTATGATTATGTTGGAATAACGAAATTAAGTAGTATCAATGTTCGTGATCGAAAATCGGAGAACTACACGATAGATAATGATACTTTTTAATCAAAGAAAGGAAAAAGAAATATTCATATTGTTGTTACATTGTTAGCGGAATGTGTTTTCTAATTATGCAACCTCTAAAGCTTAACACAAAACTACTGTTACGGACTGTTTGACTGATTCAAAATACTTTTAAACGCATAGTCTGGAATGGAAGACGCCAATTTGAGACTAGCGCTGCAATGCTTAAGAAAGCTGCACTCTTAGTGGCTAATGTCGTCTTCCTGTTAGTCATTTCATTGGTCGGTCAAAGTTCGCAAAAGAATGTTCTGACGTGACCTGCAATGGGATATCCTCAGCAGTAGCAAGAACTTATATCTGATTTTAATGAGATTGAGTTAATCTAAGCATGTGATTAATCCTGTTTTGTTTAATTAAAGCATTAATTGTTTATTGTTAAGCAAGTTTATCTCTGCAGCCATTGTAATATGTAAAGGTATTATTAGCTACCTGGTTGGTAAAATGTGTTGGCTGATGGCTTGTAATCAAATACCTGATGCTATCATCCACTGATTTGCCAACCTGTGAAGATCTGGGGTAGAATAGGTCTTCAGCATCCCACTTGGGTCAGAAGATGCGACTTTGCTTGACGTAGGAGGCAACTAACAGGATCGGGTGGTCAGGCTCGCTGACTTGGTTGAGGCATGTCATTGTATTCCAATTGCTTAGTTCGATGCTCATGACATCGATTACTGGATTGTCTGGTCCAGACTTGATTATCTAGTCCACAGTCCACAGTGATATAGTCACAATGTTGCTGACTGCATCTCCCCGAGGCAAGGGAGTTAACTGTCTGTAAAAGTCCAGTTTCCACCCTAGCCGAACTAGGCTGGATTTTCTGGGCTCAATCATGGCACCCCCAGTGGCTATTACGAGTTATGTCCCTTCTATTGACCAATCAGATTCCACCTCTCATATCACTTACATTTGCATCAACGAAAATGGCATTGCCCAGTAAAGATGATCTGATCGATAATCAAGATCTATATTGTTATAAAACAGGTCTTACTTTGAGAAGTGTATCAAATCACATGAGCACTTTAATCCAAAACATGAAAAGATTTGGAAAATATCTGTTGACGCTAAGTTGTTGGTACACATGCTTTGCAAATTCTCTAATTGACCGAAATCTGCACGGCAGGTTAAGAACCGAATGTCGTTTTCATTACTTGATTTTGATTGGACTATGCATAGACTTGTTAGTCCAGCCAAAATATTACTCCATAATTCCAACCTAGTTCGGCAAGGGTGGTAACTGGACATTCGGTTAACTCCCTTGCCTCGGGAAGATGTGCTGACTGTGGCCTATCATGCTTATGGCAAATTTTATGCCTTCACTGATATATATAGAATATTGCTGACCGCAGTGTGAAAAAATACTCCCTTCTCCTTCAGACTTGCCTCCCACCACCTTGATATGGAGAATATGTTGCCGGGCTCACGACTTCTGCAGCGAGCCATGCAGCATCGGAACGAGCTCGCGCACCAGCTCGCTTACATGCAGGCCGGGGAGGCAGGGACACCGCCACTACCTGCTGCACAGATTGACCTGGGGGATGTACTGAGGGCAGCAGGGAGTAACAGTGCCCCACCGGTGGTGGAGCGGAAGCCACCCACAGGGTCACAGACACACGCCAGGGGAGCAGGAGGTAGGCTTAGCCCATGGGGTCACGGACTGAAAGCCAAGTGACCTTTTATTGTGGTGTGTTGTACTGCCATGGCATGTTCTACACCATCACAAACTTTGCAGTTTTGATAACTCTTCTGAAGCTACAAGGCCTTAGAGCTACCAGCTATAGTGTCTTGAAACTCTGCTCACAGACTTCGGATCCGATTTTTGAATGCAGTATGCATGTGGTTTTAGAAATAACATATGATGTTTTTTGTTATATTTTCATTTCTGATCCTCTGGAGCTACAAGGCATATGGATTATGAAACTTTGTATGAATGACCCCAGCTATGGTGTCTCTAGAATGTGCTCACAGAATTCCGTTCCAGTTCATTCATGGCCACCATGCCCACCCTATTTAGAAACTCATTAATAGCTATATATTTTTGCAGATTTTATTGTTTTCAGTAGCTAGTCGTATATTGAATCTTGATTGACCACCATTTTGTTTTCTGTGACGATCGATATCACATTTTTTTATGGTCAATAATTAAGTACAGATGAAAAAAGTATTCCAATAACTATTGCTATCAATGATATTTTAGTATTTGTGACTATATTAGCTGTCTTGCTTTTAAGAAATCTTTAGTTTAAAAAAAAATCTTTTCCCGTGAGGTCACATGATAACCAAATATGGGATATAGTCTCAATCCAAATGTTACAACGCTTGAGCAGATAGACCATTCATTACATTAACAGATCGTTATTATAACAGAAATAATGTTTTCCATGTAATTCTAAAATGATATTATTTGTTTTTAAATGACTGGTGAATTAAACAATTTAAAATTAAACAATTCCTAAAGTGAAAATCTTGTCATACAAAAATCTTGTGAATACAATGACAACAAGAAGATCCCAGTTTGTTTCAGGCACCTCTGTTTGAACTCAACATTGTTGACTTATCAATGTTGCAATAATACTTTTGTTTCCTTTTGTACAAATCTTTCAATAACTCACAATAGATGTTTGTACCAAGATAAGGTTGAAGTGTCATAAAATTATTTGTTCATAAGTCAAGTGCCCTATATGTCCTTGTGGATCCACTTTGCCAACCATCCAACAGTTCACAAACGTCATTCCCAAAGAACAAATTTCTGTTCATTTTACGAGCAAGATCATGTCATTTTTTAGTTTTTTTAATTGAATGTCTGTTTTTGTAGTTGATTCTGCCGAGAGACGTGGCCGAGGTCGACATCGCACAATGAACCAAACAGATGGTGCTACCATTCGACACAGATCATCAAGTCGAGAGCGGAGCAATTCACAAGAACGACAGAACCTTCTACGGAGCATACAGGTATTGATTTTGCTCTAACACAATGAGGGGGCACGGTGGACCAGTGATTTTAGGTGCCACAAGTAGCTGTGCAGAGTTGTGTCCCTTGGGCATGCCAGAAGCCTGTGATTATGAGTTCAAATCCTTGTTCATCCCGATTATGTGTCTAGGTTTGTCAGCACCATATCCATGCTCGTGGGTTTCACCAAAGTGGTAACGTCTGAGACCTGCATCACTTCAAGCTTTCTTCTCACTTAAAGCTGACATGCAGTGTTATAACTGGAATACTGGTTGAAAGCGGCATCAACCTCAACTCACTTGCTCACTCCAATTGAATGATTCATAGAAAGGAGTTTACACATGACCGCCGTCAAATAGCTGGAAAATTTCTGAGTGCAGCGTAAAACAACAAACCAACCAACCAGATGTTGATTTCGTGACACGATTTTCATTTGACTATGCAGACTCATTTTTCCAGCCAAAATATAACTCCATAATTCCAGCCTTTTATTCTCCGTTAACTCCCTTGCCTCGGGAAGATGGAGTGAGGGAGTGAGTTGGGTTTTAACGCCGCTTTTAACAGTATTCCAGTTATATCACGGCGTGTCAGCTTAATGTGGGAGGAAAGCCCGAATTGAGGCAGGTCTCAGACGTTTACCACTTCAGTGAAACCCACGAGCACGGGTATGGTGCTGACAAACCTAGAAACATAATCGGGGCGAATCGGGAAGATGGAGGTGGGTCAGACTCGGTGACTGGGTTAATAGCATGGAGGTTCCTCATGGTATAAATCACTGGATCGTCTGGTCCAGATTTGATTATTTCTGGGCCACTGTCATACAGTTGGATTATTGCTGATGCAACGTTAAATAACAAACAAACAAACAAACAAATCATAATTCCTTGTCAACGTAGATCAATGTCTTATCCCTTAAATCCCAAGAAATGTATCGAATCAGAGTGAAATATATGTTTTTAATGAGATTGGCATTGACAGTTTACTTAAGATGAAATGTTTGAAATGTTTTTGTTAAAGGCATTTCAAGGTTTGTACCTGGGGAATAACCCTCGTATCAATCCACCACAAGGGGAGACAACTGGAAACTCCCAACGCCAACCGGCAAACCCGTACAGAAGAAACACATCGTTGTCCACCAGGTCCAAGAGGACCCCCCAGTTGTCCGAGCAGGCACAAAGAACAGTGGATATTGTGATGGAGGGCAGTCACATAGACAGCCTCACTCTCAGGGACATCCTTCGTTGAAGCAAGTCTTGTGAAAGATGGCAGCACATTTCTGGGAAGTCTGACCATAATGTGATTTACCGATTTTAGGAAACTGGTAGGCTGTCATTAGGTTATTAGGACATGATAATTGTCAGAGGTTACGAGATTATATTTTTGCTTTTTATTACCTCCGGCTACTGGGATAAAACCAAAGCAGGACACATAAAACCACTTCTCATACCTCCATGTCAGAATGACGTGATCTGATTTGTCCACATGATCTTGACAAAATGTTATGTATCCAGCCTTGGTGGGGATTTAATTTCTCAGCGCGTGTATAAATCCCTTATACCCCGACACAAACAAGTCAGACTGCAGGTGGATTTCTAAGAGACAGAATAAATCCCTTATATCCCGCTTCAAAGGAAAAAAATGAACTTATCTTACCGACATGTTTTAAAATAACATTGTAACAGAATTAAAACAAATTAAAAATTGGTTGAAAACGGCTGTCCGATTGAGCTGAAGTTAATTATGCTGTGTCACGTAACTTTCATCGACTCGTAAACATGCAGCTTTTTTTCGTAGCCAGAGATTTATTCTTCCACTCAGGAATCTATGTGCAGCCTGTTTTCTTCATGGCGGGGTAGAAGGAATTTATTCTGCTGCTCAGAAATTTGTTTCCTTCCGAGGGGGATAGGGGGCGGTCGGCTAGCCTAGTGGTTAAAGCGTTCGCTCGTCACGCCGAAGACCCGGGTTCGATTCCCGACATGTGTACACTGTGTGAAGCCCATTTCTGGTGTCCCCCGCCGTGATATTGCTGGAATATTGCTAAAAGCGGCGTAAAACCATACTCACTCACTCCGAGGGGGATACGTAGTCTTTTATCAAGATCATATGAACCAATCAAATTTCAACATTCTGACATAAGAGGTAAGACAAGGCCTGTTGTTATACTTACAACAAATCTCACTGACATGAACTAGCTTAAGTTGGATTAGATCCTTCTTCATTCTTGTTCTATTTCAGTTCAGTCAATATTCCATTGTTAAATTATATGTGATAGAGAAATCAGATATTTTTTTAGAACTAATGCAAGTTATTCAGATATTTAGTTATAAAATATGTTTTACATCATAATGTTAATGTTTTATGACACCCTGTGTACACCAGCCCCCGCTGTATTCCATGATTCCGTGGTCGCAGAATATTTTGCAGAAATGTCCACTTGGTGCAGAAATGTGCCTATCTTGCAGAAAATCACATTTTATGCAGAACTCGTATAGAATTTTGCATTTATGTGCTGCAGAATTCATCAATTACTCTTCAGGACTTTAACATGTGAGTCGAAAGCTGGTTTTAAAAGTGTAATCGGATATTTAGTTCATTTTGATGTGAAGTTGGCTTTGATATTATTGTTTACCGAAAGTGCATGTCTGTAGGTTTACACGAGTGATCTCCAGATTCAATTCAATAAGGTGTTCTAGCCTTGGATACGATTATCATAAAAATGCCTGCCACAAGTCAAACATGCAAAACTACAAAAATCATGAAAACTTAAACTTAAGCTTAAACAGAATTGTGTGCAGAATTATCAAAATTTGGTTGCAGAATTTACAAAAAATGATGCAGAAGTTTTTATTGTTTTTATCCACGGAATAAATCGAGGACTGATACACCCATGGCTAATTATAAGACGGTATTATGCTATCACACCACCACACCAATTTGCCAAAAGCCATTGCCCAAGACCAAATGTATTTTGTTTTGATATTTTTTTGTCTGGTCTTGTACTGTCGGACATGTAAGAGTAATTAGCGGACATGAGAATTTTCCTCAGGTTCCCGGAAATCCAGGATTTTTCCTCTCGGTATAATGTAAAATGCACTTATTTAAATCCTTGTTTTTTAATTTTCTTAGGTGGGGGCATGCCCACCAACCCTCCTAGACTGCTGATGTTCCTCCCAAAAAAAGTTTTGCTGTTCTCATGTCTGTATTAGAAACCTATTTATTATAATGTAACAGCAGAAAATACATCTGTTATAGAGCAAAGCAATTACATTACAGATGTGTCAGTAAGCTCCAGAGATTGCAAAGGATACTCTACCATTTGACTTCAAATGGAGGATTATTTCTATTGTTTACATGTTATGTTACTATAGTTACCTGATGCTGATAGTGTCATATACCTGTGATAAGTGGATGAGTGAATGTTGTTTTACGCTGCAATCAGCAATATCAATGCTGCCTGTAAATACTTGAGTCTGGGCCAGATATAGAAATGGCTGAAAGCATGAGTATCGATGCAAGCTATCGGGACACAAAGACACGATCAGCCCGGTCAGATGTTGTGTCCAACTAATCCCAACTATCAGTCACCCCTTAAAACCAACATGGAGTACTAGAGACGTATACTGTCCAGTATGTCTCCAGGGTTCTAGCTGCAATACGGTTATTCGAATGTATATATGCAGGGTAATGGCCAGACTATTTCATACTTGGTTTAAGAATCTGTTGACTATCATCAATTGAAATGTGAAAATAAAATAAGTAAAATGTTAAAGAAAAAATCATTTACTGTTTCTATCAATAGGAATAAGTTATTTAGAATGCTATAATTATAACCTGTTGAATATCTTTCTTTTACCATCCTACCACATAACATTTGGGGGGGTGGGGAATAAAATGGAATTTTCTTATTTAATTATTTTCGACCTTTCAAACCCCAAGTCATAAGTCAGTTACTCATTTGAAAACAACTCCTCCTGTTTGAGTAATTATTACATGAAATTATTATTTTCTATCTGAGAAGTTACTTTACATGATAGATACCACGAATTTGACTATTTGGTTCCAGAAATCTTACCAATTTCATGGGATGTTAGTAAGGGTTAACGATACACCTACCTCGATACATGTCGCGATGCTTGTGCCACAATACTCATTTGACGATTTTGAGTAAAATTCATCCTGTTCCGTACCGTCCTGCTATCAAGGGGTTGTTGCTATCACTCTGTGTTTAACTCGCAGGACTGTTTCAGCTTTCCTCTTACTGATACTATTATGCAATCATTGTGTCTCGAGATAAGAAGTGGGGCAATGCTTACAGGAGTTATTGCAAAACTATAAATATTACAGTTTTGCTGCACTCAGCATTATTCCAGCCCGATTTATGTTAGGGATAGCGTGTATTGAATCATTGGTACATCCATGAGTTGTGACACCCCTAGATGTCAGTGTCAAATTGTTCCTCGTGTAATGATGTTAGATATTATAAAAAGATGATGTTTAACAGATTTACCACACATGTTGTGACTTATGCATTAACCATTTCAATTTTTCTGTAACAAAATGAGTCGATGACTTAAAGAGTGTAAAAAGATTTTATTTACGTTATTTATTTTTGTACCAATAAATTCCAAATAGTTGATGGTAGCAATGAGACTGTTTATGCAAGATGAGTTTGTTTGTATTATATATCTAGTCACTAAGATGTTGCGTGCTGTGATTCAATGTACATATGATAATTTATAGGACACATTGTCATTATAATTCCCAGTTCGATTCCTGTCAAGTGGAAGTTATGTAAACTTCCCAATCTCATTAAAATCATATCTTAGTTCTCGCTACAGCTTAACAAAGATCTGAGGACATCCCATTGTCATGTCAGAACGACCTTTCATCTGACCAATCAGAGCATTGCTTATCAGATCATGAAAGTGACAGTTGGAATGTGATTTTTGATCATGAAATCTCGGAAAAAAAAACCCAGGTTATTCCGAACAACAGTTATGGGCTTTATGTCTGTATACATACGAACTATTAGCCATTCCAGAGTGTTCTTTTTTTCAGTTTTTAGTTTTTTAATCGAGTATATGTCCAAATATCTTTCGAAGCGTACTTACCAGTTTGAAACTCGTGCCCTAAAGCTCAATTAAACTGCCTTCTGATTGGCTATTGACGACTTCTTTTTAGTCATTCCACTGGTCGATCAAAGTTCGCGAAAGGTCTGTTTGACATGACACGTAATGGGATGTCCTCAAATCTTTGTTTAGCGGTAGCAAGAACTAAGATCTGATTTTAATGAGATAGGTAAACTTCCAGGTATGTAAACCTTTTGTTAACTGTCTCATAGTGGGTTCATGTCCGCCAGACATGGCCCCATTTCTCAAGGCAGACGTAGCAATCGTAACTCCCGTAACTAGACGATTGTAACACCTGTATTTAATGCAGCAATAGCACTAACATTGCTATAAACTGCGTACCATATTTGCTCTATCAAAATGGTGCTCTCTAAAAAGGGTGTATGCTTCGTTCTGTGTCTTTTATAAATGCTGGATGTGAGAGAGAAGCAATTCCCAGGACACATGCATGGGAATTTATCAGGGGAAGTACATTAAGGTATCAAATATCTGTTATACTTTGATTGTGGGTTCGAATCCCGGTTCGCCCCGATTATGTTTCTAGGTTTGTCAGCACCATACCCATGCTCGTGGGTTTCACCAAAGTGGTAAACGTCTGAGACCTGCATCACTTCGGGCTTTCCTCCCACATTAACTTATAGAAACTACTTGCCTTTAAGTATTATCAAAATGCCAAATGTGATACTTGTTGTTATTTGTACAGTTTTGTACATGGAATTATTTTCACATTTAAATGACACTTGTAGAAATGTTTTATTCTTGTTTGACTTGAATTACTGTGAAAGAGTGCAGACACTTTTTTACAATGAAAGAATGATGTATATTTTATCCAGAGACTATTATTTTACATTCATACAATTCCATAATATCATTAGGCTTGTTTTTTCACTATCCTTGTCTTTGTTTTTTGAGTGAGTGTGTTTAGATTTTGACCCTACTTGTTTTTTATGTCCATATTGGTGTAGAAATTTGATTTGTTTTTGTAATTAGGCCTGTAGATAAAATAATCTGGTTCTGATAAACTCAGCTGAAGTTTTAGCTTTTTAGCTCAAATACAACCTTGAGCTTCACAAGACCATTTATTCTGTTTTCCTTGACAAGCAAGCCCCAAATTTTGCAGACTTTGTAAAAATGTATTTATTTTATCTTAATTTTAAGGATTTTCCCCAAATTTAACCTGAATTCACAAAATGACCTCAGTCCCCTTAAAATAACATTAATTTGGGGTGGGGGTGTTAGCCTCCTTCATATTGGTTCGGCTTTTATAGATATTATGAATGACTGTTGGTATGTATTTGAAGAACCATATTTTGTTTTATTTTAGATTAATTTTGCATTCAAGTGCAATTTACCTGATGAATTCTCTGTTGATCCCGCCCTACATGTGTAACAGCTTTATCATTTGTGGGTCAACAACCCCAATGGCATCAAAGTATTACGAAAATAACACTAATTTATTTGTCTAAAATGTCCCTTTTTATCTTTTCTTATGATCTTTCAAGAGATTCATATCTGGTATTAAGAAGAATGAAATAGATCTGTTTTTCTACTTGTTTTTTAATGTGAATAATTCCCTGTGTTAAAAGGAGGGTTGAGTCTGATGCCATTTTCACATAATGAATGTCCTTGTATCCCTTTATCTTTTACACAATATTCAAAACAGGTCTGTAAGCCAGTATCCAACTACCGTAAACTACATTTATAACGAACATGCTTATAACGAACTGACGGATATAACAAGCTGTTCTTTGGGTCCCAGCCATTTGCCATATATTTTATCATATAAAGTTGATGGACATAACGAACACGCTCATAACAAAATAACGGATATAGCGAACTCACCTTGTGGCCCCCCGTGTGTTCTCTGTCAAGGATAATGTTTAAGTGTATAACGAACTGTTAATCCCTGAGCTGAGCTGCTAACGTGTCACCAATCTGCCTATAAAAACATCCGTGGCCAAGAGTGGCTGTTCAAAGCGTCAATAAACAACTGGAGGCAATTTATCCTAAGCACTGACATCTTGTCCTCAAATTACACCCTCAATTAACAACAGTAACACAGTGATTGAAGTGGATATATTCTGTACATGTACAGTTCTCACTTTTGTTATTTATCGAGTAACATGTCACATGACTTGATAAAAGATGTCTGACGGTCAAAATGCGATTAACTGATGGATATAACGAACTAAAATTAGTTGTGCCTTTGAGTTTGTTATAACCGTAGTTTACTGTAGTTTGATGGCGATTCATAAGTCTACTGCTGAAATATATTCCTTCTACACATGGCTGAACCTATTATTTGGTACCTAATTTTGTTGGAAATTGTCTGTTTGATGCTGAATAAAATTTGTTACATTGACATGTTGTTGGTTATTATATCTTATAGTGTGAGAAGGGGGCCCAGTCGTCTAGAGCGTCGCAGTTTGCTGTGGAGAGTTGCTTCTCTTGGGTACACCAGGAATCTATGATTGTGGGTTCATATCCCGAATTTTTTTCTAGGTTTGTCAGCACCATATCTGTGCTGGTGGGTTTCACCAAAGGGGTAAACATGGGTAAACGTCTGAGGCCTGCATCACTTTGTGCTTTCCTACAACATTAAGCTGACATGAGGTGATATTACTGGAATACTGTTCAAAGTAGTGTTAAACCAAACTCACTCACTACAGATTGAGCAAGTGAGTGAGTTGGGTTTAACGTCACTTTTAACAGTATTTCAGTTATTACACCGTGTGTCAGCTTAATGTGGGAGGAAAGCCCTAAGGTGATGCAGGTCTCAGACGTTTACCACTTTGGTGAAACCCACGAGCACGGGTATGGTGCTGACAAACCTTGAAACATAATCGGGGTGAATCGGGATTCAAAACCACAAACATAGGTTTCTGGCGTGTCCATGTGGTGCAACACTGCCCAGCAAATTGCAACGACTGGGCCACCTGTGCTACCCCCACTACAAATTGAGAATGCAATGAAAAGCTTTGACATATTTCATATTTTAGACCATATTTTACACCTTCAAGAATCTGGATTATGTACAAAGGTAGAATGTGCAAAGCAAACTAAAAGCAACTATTACGACTTGCAGTGCTGAAACATAATGGGAAAATAATAGTTCACAGTTTGATGCAGTAATTGATTGGAACGGACACTAGACGAACGGACACTAGACGATCGTACCCACGGAGATTCGTACCCAATGAAAATGGCTACCCCTACCTAAAATTGTCGTCAGATTCGTACCTGTTTTGGAGCATTCATACGTTTTACTGACCCGTACCCAAATTTGGAGAACCTGTACAAACAACCTGTGAGTGCGAGCGTGCGTGTGAAAACCATTTTTAATTTTAATTTAACAAACAAATCAACATGTTATCATGGTAGGCGATGCGCACGCAAAATGTCTTGTAGTGCGGGGGGTGGGGACAAGAACACACACACCAAAGTCGAGGATTGAATTACACGTCTTGTTATATGAGACATAAAACAAGTCTCAGTCTCAACAGTCTCAGTTGATAACATGTTTAATCCGATTAATGTTTCATTTCATATATACTCAACAACAAAAGTTCCTGTGACACCATTATTTTAGTGTATTTTTCAAACAAGTAAAGTTTGGTTTTCAATATTGTAGTACATGTATGGAATTAAATCACAAAAACGCAACTGCTACAGAAAAGCATGCATTCAATGCAAAAGTTGACTTTTATGCAAGCCCCATGCATTTCACTACACTAGAAAGGGTATAAAAACGTGCGTTAACGGGATTCCATATGCATTGTTTAGCATCGTGCTGACAACAACCACTCAGAAAAACAACAAAATTATTCAACATTACCAAATGCCACGCATGTCTGAAAATGAGCGTCTGCGAGCCAATGGTATGCTTGAAGCAGGATCGAGTCAACGTGATGTTGCAAGACAATTTAACGTCCACAGAAACACCATTTGGTGTTTATGGCAACGTTGGCAACAGATGAATGCAGTCAGAGACCATCCTCGGAGTGGCAGGCCATGCGTAACCAATAATCGACAAGACAACTGGATTCGAACAACACACCTACGAAATCGATTCCAGCCAGCAACAGTGACTGCAAGAAGCATCCCTGGCCTTCGACGAATATCTTCACAAACCGTATGTCGTCGCCTCAGATGTGCAGGGATTGTCGCCAGAAGACCGGAGAAGCAATCCCATTTTGACAGGAAACCACCGTCAAGCACGTCTACAGTGGTGCAGACAGCGTCTACGCTGGACGGCCATGCAGTGGGGACAAGTTCTATTCACTGACGAGTCTCGTTTTCACCTCAGCCACGGCGATGGACGGATACGAGTGTACCGACGTCGAGGTGAACGTTACGCCAATCATTGTGTCATGGAAGAAGATCCGTTCGGGGGCGGCAGCGTTATGGTATGGAGTGGGATTACAGCAAGACAGAGGACCCGTTTGATAGTGGTGGACGGAAATCTCAATGAACAGTGCTACCGCGACGAGATCATCGGCCCTGTTATTCTATTTTTGCGTCGTCATGGCCCAGGCATTACCTTTCAACATGATAACGCCCGGCCTCATATTGCTCGACTTGTTCAGGATTCTCTTCAACAAAACAACGTGAATGTCTCGCTTCCCTGATCTCTCACCAATCGAGTCGAGTCATCCAGTTGATTAGGTACGAGTGGGTACGGAGTATCAAACATTTGGGTAGGGATCCGCCAAAAACAGTTTGGGTGCGGATTGTCCGGTTCGGATTGGAAGTATGAAGGCATTATAGTGTCTAAAGACCACAAATCAATCAGACTGTGTAAATATTAAAACTCTACCGAGGCTTTCGCAAGTCCGGTCTGATTAATCAAATCACAATAACAACCTCTGGTTGAAACAGCAGATTTCGACATCCAAATTTCGCGGAAGCTTGTTTTTCTCAATCATCGGTAGGCCGTTTGAAATAATGATCTAGGCAACTGTCCCTTACCAAATGATATATGGTCCCCACAATATTCAAAGTAAGTGTGATAATACATACGCATGTTTCTTTGTTGTTTAACACCACATTCATCAATATTTCAACCATATGGCGTCAACCTGTAAATAATCGCGTTTGGACCAGACAATCCAATGCTTTACGTCTGAGAACATCGATCTTTGCAAATGGGATATTATAACATGCTTGAACTAAGTCAGCGAGCCAAACCGATCCCGTTTGTCGCCTCTTGGGACAAGCATGGGTTGCTGGAGACCCATTTTAACCCGGATCTACACAGGGGGAGACAAGCATAGGTTGATAACCATCAAATAGCCTATTTCCTTCCACTGATATACCTACCTGAAATAGAAATAAAGGAGGCTAGTGAAACCGCTTCATCTGTTTCATATTTAGATCTATGCATAAAGACTAAGAGATTATGCATTATATGTAAGTAGAGAACGGAGATATAGGGGGTATATATTTCTATTTACTGACCAATAACGAGTTCCTGTGATTCAGAGTGGCAAAACTCTCGCCACAAGACTGTATGACAAGAGGGGTGACTTCAACATTCCAACGGTCAACTTTCCCTTCTTGTCGAGCAATATTCCAGCAGCTTCAGCCCTTAGTGTCGACATTTCACAACTTTATAAGTACAATGGAACATGTTCTTTCTACCAAGATTCAAAAGAGCGTCATACAAATCTTGCTAAGAAGTTGATTGATCAAGGTTACAACATTCAAGGCCTCAGTAAAGCTTTTAAACAGTTTTATAGTTGACATTTCCAAATCAGTGACAAAAATTATGTCCGATGCAATTCCCTAGTTTGACTTATATCATATGCTCCCGTGTTTTTTTCAGGTGAACAATTGACTTGCCTTTGCATGTGTTTGTGTCGGGTGCCACCGGTTGGGCAGGATACGCACCTTTTCGCGAACACTATCATATGGGATCATCGTATCTTTCGTATCATCACAACATGTTCATGATATGGTCTTAATCGTACAATCGACTCTGTTTTGGCAGACATTTCTTATGAATACGGAAAGGGTTTTTGTCGCTTTAATTTACACTCTCAGTAACAAAGTAGGATAGAGAGTGTTACGAAGGTGTCACGAGCTGGGAAGGAGCTAGGCCATATGGCAAGCCGTATTCACATTTATTACGGAATTACAAATATCTTCAATTGTTTTAAAGATATCTTGAATTGAATTGAAGATATCTTGAATTGAATTGAAGATATCTTGAATCGAATTAAAGATATCTCTAATTGAATTAAAGATATCTGTAATGCATTTGTGGATATGTATAACTTATTTCAAGATATCTTGAATTGAATTTATTTCTAATATATTTATGTACTGTAGGATGGTAAATGTTTAATGATATCTTAAATACATTTAGAGATATCACAAACTAATTTGGTAATTGTATTATGGATATCAGAAATGAATTTAAGATATCTTTAATTATTTTTTGAAATCTTAAAAACATTATTGATGAAAATACCGATATCTTTAAAACAATTGAAGATATCTGTAATTCATTAGTTTGTCTTACAGACCCTGATACAAATATATATCAAATACAACCCATGCAAGTCTATAATGTTTGGCAAGTCTAGATTACTGCAGTCTGAAAATGAAGAGAGTCACTGGGCTCCCTTTTATTATATTTTTATTAAGATAACTGAACAACTGTTTTTTTTGTACGATATGTTCATTTCAGAGCCTAGATGTTAGTCTAGTAATTCCTTAATAAATGTGAAAACGGCTTGCCATACGACCAGACAATATTATAAGGGACATAACTCCGGTCAAAATGGCATTCGGAGGAGGTCACAGTTTTATCCGAGTTAGCCGAAGTCGCACAGCGTTGATCCGATTATTCAATATGGCCGCTGGAGGACCGAGTGTGTGGTACCAGAAGGAGGTGACGGTAGGAGCAAAGAAACGAGGCTGTCATCTCATATCTGACGACATTGTGAAACAATTTCCTGAAATAAAAAAGATATCCGTGGGACTCCTGCATATACACAGTGAGTTAACTACGTATCTGAGAGCATGTTTATCCGTCTGTTCAGTATTCGATCAGCATAATAACCCAGTTTACCAATATGATTATCAAGAATAAACGTTACTTTGAGGATAAAACGCTAAATACCATCAACATGTTAATTTAGATAAATACGATAGTATGAATTTTTATGTATTATATTTATTTGATTGATGCAATTAATTTAGTATATTATTTATATTATATTTAGTTATATATGAAATTTATGGACACATTGACAAATATATTCATGTTTTTATTTTGTAGTCAAACACACGTCAGCAAGCCTTGCATTGAATGAAGTAAGTAAATAAAGTATTCATCACATGGTAGACCTATCTTTCTACAATGGTATAATGGATTGTAATTGTCAGTGACAAATTGTTGAGAATACGGTTTTTCAATCACTAGAAACTAGCACTGGTCTTGTAGTCCTTGCCAAACTGCCCAATGGTTAAGGTATCATAAGGACTTATAGAAATTGGCCATTTTTAAAGTGTTTTTGCTGTATGTTATTATAAGGACAAGTGGACTAGAAATGTTAGTTCCTATCGCTGATTTTAGACAAGACATCACTCAACGCTCAACATGACAACCCCCCACCAGACTTGTATATTTAAATAGAATAACATTTATTTATTTAATCATGATTAAAAGAGGCAATGAAATTACACCTTGAAGCAACAAAATATAATTGTTTTTATACTTGCTGTGATCATCCATTGGAACTACTCTCTTATATCCATTGATCCATGAGCTGTATGTCATCAATGACATATACATTTTAACTATATTTTAACTGATGCTTGTTGTAAGAGTCGACGAATGGGATTGGGTGGTCAGACTCGCTGACTTGGTCGGTGCATGTCATCGTATCACAATTGCGTAGATGATGCTCATGATGTCAGTCACTGATTGTCTGGTTCAGACTTGATTATTTACAGACTTACGTCATACAACTGGAATATTGCTGAGTGGGGCGTTGAACAACAAACAAAGAAACAAACAACATGTGGAAATTCCTCTGACACTAATTATAGCTCATTTACTGTTGTTTTGTTTCAGAACTGGGATCCTGATGTAAGGTATGGCAATCCAGTAAAGCTTCAGTAAAGTTCAGATATTTTGTAAAGCATCAGTACTGTTTCAACATGTAAACTACATCAACTGTATGCAGAATCTCAGAATCCCTTCTCTTGGGAAGGTCTGAATGGCATTCTTTGATTACAGCTTGCAGGGAACTGTTGGTCCATAACAGAGTTTAACTGTAGCTTCCAAGTTCGTATTTAGTAGATGTTAATACATTGACTAAATTTGACACCAACACTATCCTGTTAGCAGATGGTGAGTTGATATTCATAAAGACTTGTCAAATTCTATTTGTTTCTTGATACTCTATTGAAATTTTCAGTCTTCACTAACAAATGTCGTTCCTGCTCCCCCGAATTGGTCATTTTGTATTATTCCTTGTTACTGTATGGGGGTAGCCTAGTGGTTAAAGTGTTTGCTCATCACGCAGAAGGCCTGGGTTTGAAACCCCCACATGAGTACAATGCTGGAAACCCATTTCTAGTGTCCCCCAGCATGATGTTGCTGGAATATTGCTAAAAGCGGTGTAAAACCATACTCCCTGTTGCTGTATGGACTTGGATTAACTATTCTTACTAGCCAGGAAGAAATTTGGCAAGACAATGTCATTGGATTAGTATCTAAGGTCAGACTTTAATTCCATACCACTGATTTAATTCTGTTCAAACTATTCAAGAATACTGAAAGACATGATTTCATTCTTTCAATCACAAATACAAAATTTTGAAGCACAAATTCAACATGATCAAGATTTACCTAATCCACTGTGCAGAGTTGCATACCTTGGGCAAGCCAGAAACCTGTGATTGTGATTGTTAAACTCAACTCACTCACATACCTAAATATGTTAGTGGTAGTCTGGTGTCTTTTGACAGTTGTGGCTAGTGAATTGTTCTAAACGAATGGTTTGTCAATGACTACTTCATAAAATAGCCCTGGTCAGGCTCGCAGACTTGGTTGATGCATGTCATCGATCCCAATAGCGTGGATGGTGCTCATGATATCAATCACTGGATTGTCTGATCCAGACTTGATTATATACAGACGGCCGTCATATAGATGGAATATTGCTGATTGCAGCGTTAAACAACAAACAAACGAATCACAAAATGCCTAGGTGTCTTACACTGAATCTAAATGTAATTGTATTTTTCCATGAAGTGTGTTATATTCATCTCCACAGTGTTACCATGGTTACTTTGGTTCTCCTTCCAGGGTTGACATGGAGATGATGCTCAATAAGATAGTTCCAGAGGTTTGTGAACATTTTTAGTTATTTCAAGTTTTGTGTAAACATTTGAGAAATAAGACAAAATATTTACCAAATTTGTAAATCTTTTTGCAAAGTCTTCAAGACAACGGATTAAAAGTATTGTGAAAACATAGATGCATCATTAGAACTGTATTTGTTTTCTTCTACTACACTACACCTTTTTGAATTACATGTGACACTTGGTGGATCGCAAAGATTTCATTTTTCATGTTTGTCATCATCCTCCGAGTCTGTCCTCTAGGCTATAAGGAATCGAAGTTTCCCCCCCTTGACATTTCCAGTCTACTTATCTTGGTTGGATATGGGCGCCACCCCATGTTGAACACGAGTTGTGTCCCTTGTGATCAAAACGGGATATCCAATCAGAGCGCTGTTCTTTTTTCGAATGGCTTCACAAAGATGACTACCATAACAGTTAACCTGGTCGATCAGATAACGAAAAGATTTGAGTTTTCATCCTTGACAGACAAACAAAATGAAAGATTGCCACAGTAAAGATACTCACCTGTTACTGCCACATTTCACTCTTGCGATAATAGAGGCATGTTGACTGCACAATATCAGGGAGGACTGCACGTCGCAATAACATGAAATGCTCAGCATGGGTCGTCTAAAAATAGCACTGCATCTCAGTCACTAGGATTTCAAGTTTAAAAACACTGAAGTTTGCACTCAAATATATAACAGTACCTGAGCGAGTTGATAAAAAAACACTTCGAAAATGTTTGTCTCCGCCTGATTTGTGGATTCATTTTAGCGCAAATTGACAATTGGTGGCTGTGGCCATAGCAGCAACCAGTTTTTTCGGAACCAGGTTGTTGTTTTGTAAAAGGTTCTTTGATTGGACTATAAATATATGTGATGGTCCTCGCTTGTTTCAGCACAGAAAAGTAGGTTTCAAATGGTAAGGGTTAAAACTGGACTTTGATACAGGCTTGTGAACACGCTTGCCTCGGGAAGAATCATGACAGTTTGTCATCGACTCCTGACAATCATGACTGTTGTGAGCCCTGTTAGAGCATGAGTTGTTTTCTGTCTTCAGGGAGCTGGTTACCTTCATTCCTGTGAGGGTCCGGATGATATGGTGAGCAATTTCTTGATAGAATATGTTATTTGCTAATTCTTGAATCATTGAATTTCTTGAATTCAAGGTACAGTAAGTAATTTTCTGAGGTACAGTAGGATGTTTGTAAAACCCACCAGTGGATCATTACACCACCATTGGATCATTACACCACCATTGGATCATTACACCACCAGTGGATCATTACACCACCATTGGATCATTACACCACCATTGGATCATTACAACACCTGTGGATCATTACACCATCAGTGGACCATTACACCACCAGTGGATCATTACACCACCAGTGGATCATTACACCACCAGTGGATCATTACACCATCAGTGGACCATTACACCACCAGTGGATCATTACACCCACCTGTGGATCATTACACCACCAGTGGATCATTACACCCACCTGTGGATCATTGCACCACAAGTGGATCATTACACTACCAGCGGATCATTACACCACCAGTGGATCATTACACCACCAGCGGATCATTACACCACCAGTGGATCATTACACCACCAGTGGATCATTACACCCACCTGTGGATCATTGCACCACAAGTGGATCATTACACTACCAGTGGACCATTACACCCACCTGTGGATCATTACATCACCAGCGGATCATTACACCACCAGTGGACCATTACACCCACCTGTGGATCATTACATCACCAGCGGATCATTACACTACCAGTGGCTCATTACACCACCAGTGGATCATTACACCACCAGCGGATCATTACACCACCAGTGAATCATTACACCACCAGTGAATCATTACACCACCAGTGGATCATTACACCACCAGTGGATCATTACACCACCAGTGGATCATTACACCACCAGTGGATCATTACACCACCGGTGGATCATTACACCACCAGTGGATCATTACACCACTGGTGGATCATTACACCATCAGTGGATCATTACACCACCAGTGGATCATTACACCACCAGTGGATCATTATACCACCAGCGGATCATTACACCATCAGTGAATCATTACACCACCAGTGGATCATTACACCACCGGTGGATCATTACACCACCAGTGGATCATTACACCACCAGTGGATCATTACACCACTGGTGGATCATTACACCACCAGTGGATCATTATACCACCAGCGGATCATTACACCATCAGTGAATCATTACACCACCAGTGGATCATTACACCACCGGTGGATCATTACACCACCAGTGAATCATTACACCACCAGTGGACCATTACACCACCAGCGGATCATTACATCACCAGTGGATCATTACACCACAGGCGGATCATTACACCACCAGTGGATCATTACACCATCAGTGGATCATTACACCATCAGTGGATCATTACACCACTGGTGAATCATTACACCATCAGTGGATCATTACACCACCAGTGGATCATTACACCACCAGTGAATCATTACACCACCAGTGGATCATTACACAACCAGTGGATCATTACACCACCAGTGGATCATTACACCACCAGTGGATCATTACACCACCGTTGGATCATTACACCACCAGTGGATCATTACACCACCGTTGGATCATTACACCCATCAGTGGATCATTACACCACCAGTGGATCATTACACCACCAGTGGATCATTACACCACCAGTGGATCATTACACCACCGTTGGATCATTACACCACCAGTGGATCATTACACAACCAGTGGATCATTACACCACCAGTGGATCATTACACCACCGTTGGATCATTACACCCATCAGTGGATCATTGCACCACAAGTGGATCATTACACCACCAGTGGATCATTACACCACCGTTGGATCATTACACCACCAGTGGATCATTACACAACCAGTGGATCATTACACCACCAGTGGATCATTACACAACCAGTGGATCATTACACCACCAGTGGATCATTACACCACCAGTGGATTATTACACAACCAGTGGATCATTACCGTCAGTGGATCATTACACCACCAGTGGATCATTACACCACCGGTGGATCATTACACCACCGGTGGATCATTACACCACCAGTGGATCATTACACCACCAGTGGATCATTACACAACCAGTGGATCATTACACAACCAGTGGATCATTACACCACCAGTGGATCATTACACCATCAGTGGATCATTACACCACCGGTGGATCATTACACCACCAGTGGATCATTACACCACCAGTGGATCATTACACCACCAGTGGATCATTACACCATCCGTGGACCATTACACCACCAGTGGATCATTACACCACCGGTGGATCATTACACCACCGGTGGATCATTACACCCAACAGTGGATCATTACAACACCAGTGGATCATTACACCATCAGTGGATCATTACACCACCGGTGGATCATTACACCACCGGTGGATCATTACACCACTGGTGGATCATTACACCACCGGTGGATCATTACACCCATCAGTGGATCATTACACAACCAGTGGATCATTACACTACCAGTGGATCATTACACCACCCGTGGATCATTACACCCATCAGTGGATCATTACACCACCAGTGGATCATTACACCACCAGTGGATCATTATACCACAAAAGTGCCTAGCCTCGAGATGAATATTTAGCTGTAATATTGCTGATAGCATAAGAGTACAGCATTATGCAACAAACAAGCAAATAACCAGTGTTAGAAATTGTCCTACAGTCCTTCCCAAACTGCCCAATGGTCAAGGTATTAGGACCAGTAGAAATTTGCCAATTTTGAGGGTTTTACTATATATTAACATTATAAGGAATAGTGGACTAAGACTCTCAGTTTCTATCGCTGATGGCGTAAAGGCAGACACACTCACTCCCTGAAGCTGTTACTTGTCTTCCAGCCAGCGCATGTGAAGGCGGCTCTGATCGGCAGCAGCGTCACGGTGCCGGTCACCGACGGGAAGATGAACATGGGAACATGTCAGGGTGTGTGGCTGTGTGAACACCGCAACCGTGCAGGTCAGTATCAGATAACATGGCAGGGTGTGTGGCTGTGTGAACACCGCAACCGTGCAGGTCAGTATCAGATAACATGGCAGGGTGTGTGAACAACGCAACCATGCAGGTCAGTATCAGATAACATGGCAGGCTGTGTGAACACCGCAACCATGCAGGTCAGTATCAGATAACATGGCAGGGTGTGTGAACACCGCAACCATGCAGGTCAGTATCAAATAACATGGCAGGGGGTGTGGCTGTGTGAACACCGCAACCATGCAGGTCAGTATCAAATAACATGGCAGGGGGTGTGGCTGTGTGAACACCGCAACCATGCAGGTCAGTATCAGATAACATGGCAGGCTGTGTGAACACCGCAACCATGCAGGTCAGTATCAGATAACATGGCAGGGTGTGTGGCTGTGTGAACACCGCAACCGTGCAGGTCAGTATCAGATAACATGGCAGGGTGTGTGAACAACGCAACCATGCAGGTCAGTATCAGATAACATGGCAGGCTGTGTGAACACCGCAACCATGCAGGTCAGTATCAGATAACATGGCAGGGTGTGTGGCTGTGTGAACACCGCAACCATGCAGGTCAGTATCAGATAACATGGCAGGCTGTGTGAACACCGCAACCGTGCAGGTCAGTATCAGATAACATGGCAGGGTGTGTGGCTATGTGAACACCGCAACCATGCAGGTCAGTATCAGATAACATGGCAGGCTGTGTGAACACCGCAACCATGCAGGTCAGTATCAGATAACATGGCAGGCTGTGTGAACACCGCAACCATGCAGGTCAGTATCAGATAACATGGCAGGGTGTGTGGCTGTGTGAACACCGCAACCGTGCAGGTCAGTATCAGATAACATGGCAGGGTGTGTGAACACCGCAACCATGCAGGTCAGTATCAGATAACATGGCAGGCTGTGTGAACACCGCAACCATGCAGGTCAGTATCAGATAACATGGCAGGGTGTGTGGCTGTGTGAACAACGCAACCATGCAGGTCAGTATCAGATAACATGGCAGGGTGTGTGGCTGTGTGAACACCGCAACCATGCAGGTCAGTATCAAATAACATGGCAGGGGGTGTGGCTGTGTGAACACCGCAACCATTCAGGTCAGTATCAGATAACATGGCAGGCTGTGTGAACACCGCAACCATGCAGGTCAGTATCAGATAACATGGCAGGGTGTGTGGCTGTGTGAACACCGCAACCGTGCAGGTCAGTATCAGTTAACATGGCAGGCTGTGTGAACAACGCAACCGTGCAGGTCAGTATCAGATAACATGGCAGGGTGTGTGGCTGTGTGAACACCGCAACCGTGCAGGTCAGTATCAGATAACATTGCAGGGTGTGTGAACACCGCAACCATGCAGGTCAGTATCAGATAACATGGCAGGGTGTGTGGCTGTGTGAACACCGCAACCGTTCAGGTCAGTATCAGATAACATGGCAGGGTGTGTGAACACCGCAACCATGCAGGTCAGTATCAGATAACATGGCAGGCTGTGTGAACACCGCAACCATGCAGGTCAGTATCAGATAACATGGCAGGGTGTGTGAACACCACAACAATGCAGGTCAGTATCAGATAACATGGCAGGGTGTGTGGCTGTGTGAACACCGCAACCGTTCAGGTCAGTATCAGATAACATGGCAGGGTGTGTGAACACCGCAACCATGCAGGTCAGTATCAGATAACATGGCAGGCTGTGTGAACACCGCAACCGTGCAGGTCAGTATCAGATAACATGGCAGGGTGTGTGAACACCGCAACCGTGCAGGTCAGTATCAGATAACATGGCAGGGTGTGTGAACACCGCAACCATGCAGGTCAGTATCAGATAACATGGCAGGGTGTGTGAACACCACAACAATGCAGGTCAGTATCAAATAACATGGCAGGGTGTGTGAACACCACAACAATGCAGGTCAGTATCAGATAACATGGCAGGGTGTGTGAACACCGCAACCGTGCAGGTCAGTATCAGATAACATGGCAGGGTGTGTGAACACCACAACAATGCAGGTCAGTATCAAATAACATGGCAGGGTGTGTGGCTGTGTGAACACCGCAACCATGCAGGTCAGTATCAGATAACATGGCAGGGTGTGTGAACACCGCAACCATGCAGGTCAGTATCAGATAACATGGCAGGGTGTGTGAACACCGAAACCATGCAGGTCAGTATCAAATAACATGGCAGGGTGTGTGAACACCACAACAATGCAGGTCAGTATCAAATAACATGGCAGGGTGTGTGGCTGTGTGAACACCGCAACCATGCAGGTCAGTATCAGATAACATGGCAGGGTGTGTGAACACCGCAACCATGCAGGTCAGTATCAGATAACATGGCAGGGTGTGTGAACACCGAAACCATGCAGGTCAGTATCAAATAACATGGCAGGGTGTGTGGCTGTGTGAACACCGCAACCATGCAGGTCAGTATCAGTTAACATGGCAGGCTGTGTGGCTGTGTGAACACCGCAACCGTGCAGGTCAGTATCGGTAACATGGCAGAGTGTGTGAACAAAGCAACCATGCAGGTCAGTATCAGATAACATGGCAGGCTGTGTGAACACCGCAACCATGCAGGTCAGTATCAGATAACATGGCAGGGTGTGTGGCTGTGTGAACACCGCAACCGTGCAGGTCAGTATCAGTTAACATGGCAGGCTGTGTGAACAACGCAACCGTGCAGGTCAGTATCAGATAACATGGCAGGGTGTGTGGCTGTGTGAACACCGCAACCGTGCAGGTCAGTATCAGATAACATTGCAGGGTGTGTGAACACCGCAACCATGCAGGTCAGTATCAGATAACATGGCAGGGTGTGTGGCTGTGTGAACACCGCAACCGTTCAGGTCAGTATCAGATAACATGGCAGGGTGTGTGAACACCGCAACCATGCAGGTCAGTATCAGATAACATGGCAGGCTGTGTGAACACCGCAACCATGCAGGTCAGTATCAGATAACATGGCAGGGTGTGTGAACACCACAACAATGCAGGTCAGTATCAGATAACATGGCAGGGTGTGTGGCTGTGTGAACACCGCAACCGTTCAGGTCAGTATCAGATAACATGGCAGGGTGTGTGAACACCGCAACCATGCAGGTCAGTATCAGATAACATGGCAGGCTGTGTGAACACCGCAACCGTGCAGGTCAGTATCAGATAACATGGCAGGGTGTGTGAACACCGCAACCGTGCAGGTCAGTATCAGATAACATGGCAGGGTGTGTGAACACCGCAACCATGCAGGTCAGTATCAGATAACATGGCAGGGTGTGTGAACACCACAACAATGCAGGTCAGTATCAAATAACATGGCAGGGTGTGTGAACACCACAACAATGCAGGTCAGTATCAGATAACATGGCAGGGTGTGTGAACACCGCAACCGTGCAGGTCAGTATCAGATAACATGGCAGGGTGTGTGAACACCACAACAATGCAGGTCAGTATCAAATAACATGGCAGGGTGTGTGGCTGTGTGAACACCGCAACCATGCAGGTCAGTATCAGATAACATGGCAGGGTGTGTGAACACCGCAACCATGCAGGTCAGTATCAGATAACATGGCAGGGTGTGTGAACACCGAAACCATGCAGGTCAGTATCAAATAACATGGCAGGGTGTGTGGCTGTGTGAACACCGCAACCATGCAGGTCAGTATCAGTTAACATGGCAGGCTGTGTGGCTGTGTGAACACCGCAACCGTGCAGGTCAGTATCGGTAACATGGCAGAGTGTGTGAACAAAGCAACCATGCAGGTCAGTATCAGATAACATGGCAGGCTGTGTGAACACCGAAACCATGCAGGTCAGTATCAAATAACATGGCAGGGTGTGTGGCTGTGTGAACACCGCAACCATGCAGGTCAGTATCAGTTAACATGGCAGGCTGTGTGAACACCGAAACCATGCAGGTCAGTATCAAATAACATGGCAGGGTGTGTGGCTGTGTGAACAACGCAACCATGCAGGTCAGTATCAGATAACATGGCAGGCTGTGTGAACACCGCAACCGTGCAGGTCAGTATCAGATAACATGGCAGGCTGTGTGAACACCGCAACCATGCAGGTCAGTATCAGATAACATGGCAGGCTGTGTGAACACCGAAACCATGCAGGTCAGTATCAAATAACATGGCAGGGTGTGTGGCTGTGTGAACACCGCAACCGTGCAGGTCAGTATCAGATAACATGGCAGGGTGTGTGAACACCGCAACCATGCAGGTCAGTATCAGATAACATGGCAGGGTGTGTGGCTATGTGAACACCGCAACCATGCAGGTCAGTATCAGATAACATGGCAGGGTGTGTGAACACCGCAACCATGCAGGTCAGTATCAGATAACATGGCAGGGTGTGTGAACAACGCAACCATGCAGGTCAGTATCAAATAACATGGCAGGGTGTGTGGCTGTGTGAACACCGCAACCATGCAGGTCAGTATCAGTTAACATGGCAGGCTGTGTGGCTGTGTGAACACCGCAACCGTGCAGGTCAGTATCGGTAACATGGCAGAGTGTGTGAACAACGCAACCATGCAGGTCAGTATCAGATAACATGGCAGAGTGTGTGAACAACGCAACCATGCAGGTCAGTATCAGATAACATGGCAGGGTGTGTGGCTGTGTGATTACCGCAACCATGCAGGTCAGTATCAGATAACATGGCAGGGTGTGTGAACAACGCAACCATGCAGGTCAGTATCAGATAACATGGCAGGGTGTGTGGCTGTGTGAACAACGCAACCATGCAGGTCAGTATCAGATAACATGGCAGGGTGTGTGAACAACGCAACCATGCAGGTCAGTATCAGATAACATGGCAGGGTGTGTGAACAACGCAACCATGCAGGTCAGTATCAAATAACATGGCAGGGTGTGTGGCTGTGTGAACACCGCAACCGTGCAGGTCAGTATCAGATAACATGGCAGAGTGTGTAAACACCGCAACCGTGCAGGTCAGTATCAGATAACATGACAGGGTGTGTGAACACCGCAACCGTTCAGGTCAGTATCAGATAACATGGCAGGCTGTGTGAACACCGCAACCGTGCAGTTCAGTATCAGATAACATGGCAGAGTGTGTGAACACCGCAACCATGCAGGTCAGTATCAGATAACATAGCAGGCTGTGTCATACCAAAAGACGTTAAAAGATCGTACTTGTTGTTACCCTGTCTGGCGCTCGGCATTAAGGGGCTAAAACAAGGACTGGTCGGCTCGGAGTCAGTATACTGAGTCAGCACGTCGCTATATAAGTGCAATAATCTTGGACGCGACGTTAAACCCCATTTCACCTCACCATTCTTAGTTCCTCATAAACATCTTCTCAGAAAACACTGGATCTGTGAAGCTGATACTTCACATGCTTGGTTGTTTCCACCATTGATTCAGTGTCATCTGAATTTGTTGAAGAGGTCTTCTTAAAAATGCTGTTTGTGGCCATTGCCAGTTAGGTTTGTTCAAAATGTTATGAAACTTGACGTGTAATGTTAAATGTAGGGCTCAACATACGTTTGACTTCTCTGAAAAATGCATTTCTTCACACTGTAAACATCTTCTCATGAGAAACCATGTTAACATCCCAATTTGTTCAGAGTTTCAAATTCCATATCAGTATGGCCACTGACAGCATCTTTTGTTAAATGCTTTGTTGACTTTTACAACTATTTGGGTGACGTGTGGGGGGTGGCGTGGCGTGGGGTGTGTGTGATGATGGAGATGTATGACTGGATAATCGAGGATGGACGAGTTCTGTAGCAAGTTTAACAAGTGGGACAATTCTCTCCTCTGCAGGTTCTCGTCATCTAGTAGCAACACTGCAAGGAGCTACAAAACAGTAGCATTTGTTGATGTGTAACGAGGAACTCCACTGCACAGCTGTTTGATGGTTTCAGCTGCAAGACACCATATCTTTCAGCTGCATTTGAAGACTTGTATATATTCATTTGTGTACATGCATTGTCTTGCCTTTTACTTTGTTTGTTCATGGATCAGCAGGCCTTGTTTAGTGTATTTTCCTGTCTATTAAGAAGATTTCGGTTTTGAGAAAAGAGTGGCAGTATTTGAAACCTAAAGTTGATTGTATTCATCCTGTAATAACATAAAGACGAAACAAGCACAACAAAGTTCACTCAACCAGCTTCTGTGAACGTCCTGGTTATAATTCGTCTTCAGCAACCCATGCTAGTGGTAAGAGGCGACTTACAGGATCAAGTGGTCAGACTTGCTGACTTGGTTGATGCATGTCATTGGATCACATTTGTGTAGGTCGATGCTCATGATATCAATCACTGGAATGTGTAGTCCAGATTTGATTATTTGTTGACTGTGGTCATAGAGCTGGAATATTGCTGAGTGCAACAGTAAACAACAAACAAAACTCTAACCCTTCTTAATTATCCCTACATAGGATACATCAAGAGATATTTTAAAGTTGTTTTTTCTTTTAAAAATAGTTTATGGTTTTGAAAATGAATCCCTTGACCATTCATAAGTGGGCACTATAATATGTATGATGTCTTGATATGTCATGGATGACTACAATATGTTGGGGTAGAATTGTTGTGAGAGAAGATACAATTGATACCCTGATGCCATAGGACGTTGATCGTGCTGTCAACCTCTGGTTTGTTTGGCCATGATTCCTTGATCATGTTCACGTTGCTGGAACATTGCTGTGTCTTAAAACAAACATACAAGAGTGAGTTCCCTTGCCAAATACGTTATTATTAGTCTTAATACATAATACTAGAATATTTTGTAAAAAGCGACTATGCTTGTCACAAGAGGAGACTAACAGGATCGGGTGTTCAGGCTCCCTGTTGTGGTTGATGCATGTCATCGTATCCCAATTGCGTGGGTCCAGACTGGATTATTTACAGACTGCTGTCATATAGCTGGAATAGTGCTGATCGTTGTTAAAACAAACAAACAAACTTGAAGAATTTGATTTTATTCTGTTAATGTTGCTAAAATGCGCAAACGTTTCAGCCATATGAGAATGTATCTCTACATTTTTTTACATAAGATGATCACATGATATATTATTCTTTTAATGTATAGTATTGTATAAACATGTGTATAGTGTATCAGTGGATATAATTTATTTCTCAAACGACCATTGTTTCAGATAAGATAATGTACAGTTATGTCATGAATAAAAACCGTTGTGAATGATGCCATCGTGTTTATCAGTTGCAAGAACCGGATTTCGATTTCGGAGCGCGATTTTGATTGGACTATGCATAGACTGTTAGTCCAGCCAAAATGTAACTCCATAATACCAGCCTAGTTTGGCAAGGGTGGAAAATGGACTTTAAAAGTCAGTTAACTCACTTGCCTCGGGAAGATGCCACTCGCTCATCGGGAAACGGGTGGCCCAGTCGTCTGAGGTGCTCGCAATTCGTTGTGTAGTTGGGTACACTAGAAACCTGTGATTGTGGATTTGAATCCTGGTTCGCTCCGATAATGTTTCTAGGTTTGTCAGCACCATACCCGTGCTCGTTGGTTTCACGAAAGTGTAAACGTCTTAAGACCTGCATAACTTCGGGCTTTTCTCCCACATCAAGCTGATAGGCGTTGATATAACTGGAATGTTGTTCAATGCGGCGTCAACTCGCTCATCAATGGCGTAAACGGCCCCTTAAGATACCACGTGTAAGAAAGCACCAACGATTAGGACAGAAACAAACAAAACACAATGCCCCGTGAAAGCTCAAGGCAGGTAATAAATAACCCTCTATGGATATGAAATCATGTGAAACTGGAAGCTTGTTTAGTATCCTATAAATATGTCGAACACGAGAGTCGGAGAATTGTGTATAACACTTTTTTATAAGTCTGTCTGTTGTTCAAAACCGCACTAAGCAATATTCCAGCTATATGACTGCGGTCTGTAAATAATCGACCCGACAATCCAGTGATTGACATCATGTGCATCGATCCACGTAATTGGGATACGATGACATGCATCAACCAAATCAGCGAGCCTGACCACCCGATCCCGCTAGTTGCCACTTTCGACAAGCAATGGTTGCTGACGGCCATTTGTAACCCGGATGTACACAGGTCGACCAGACACTGAACACAAGTATGACAAGAAAGCAGGATTGTTTGTTTTTTGGGTTTTTTCTTTCGTTAGTGTTGTTTAACAATGCTCAATAGAGGGACACTCTCAATCTCAAACGAACAAAAGAGACGCCACGGTGTGTATTTTACAGTTTTATTTGACCTCTATACGTGCAGTGACACCACGAGGACAGCTGTTCCTACGAACGCCGCACGCGCACAGTGGAACAGACCGTAAAGATCCAGCGCCGGTCCCTGCCGAAGGAAAAAATAATGTTACACTTAGAAAATATGCATCTGCCTATGAGGCCCAGCGCAGGTCTCCACACAATTACTAGTGAGTGTATGGGTGGGTGAGTTTGGGCTTTCGCCGCTTTTAGCAATATTCCAGCAATATCACTGCAGGGAACACCAGAAATGGGCTTCACACATTATACCATTGTGGGGAATCGAACCCGGGTCTACGGCGTGACGAGCGAACGCGTCAACCCTTAGGCTTTTCGACAGCCCCTCATCCCATTACTAACTTAGCAGAGAATTTATTTCGCTTACGAGCGTGATTTGATTGGACGGCTGTTTAATGACGTCACTTGAATAGAGCATACAACAAAGCTATGGTAAAGAAATGTATTTTTATAAAAGACTGGAGATAATATTATTGGCAATGGGGGATGCAGTTTGTACAAATGATCTCGGTATGATACTCGTATATCGCGATGCATCAAATTTTCGGTCAACTGATGCATCCGCTAAAACAGCATCGATACCCAAAGGGAGAGTGGCGACTACCTCAAGAGAAACATAGCAAGTGGAAAATGCCCTAAATCTTCAACATAATCCAACATCCAGGCCCCTACCCATTAGAATAAAAGAACACAAGACCTCAGTACAAAAAAATGACTCAAAATCAGCCATCTCCGACCACACCCAAACCCACCCCGATCACAACATCCAGTGGAACAACATCAAGATCCTGGCCAACAACCAATCAGACTACAAAATCAGGAAACTCCTAGAAGTCATCCACATCAAAAGGATCCAGCCAGCAATGAACAGAGACCAAGGCTGTTACATCCCGCCTGCTTACCATCACCTAATTGCTCAATCCCTTTGTCCATCCAATTAATACAGTGGCTTCCATCATCTCCATCAGTTAGCTTGTTTACTCTGCTAGTATACTCTGTGTTCATCAGTCATCCACTGGCTTCCAATTAGCTTAATCACCTCTCTGCGCCCATCACTAGTCACTGTAACAACTTAGATGTCAATAAGTGTATATATACCTATGTTGTTTAGCCCTATCCATCACTTGCTTGATAAAGGTGTTAGGATCTACACCGAAACGTCGCACCAATTGTAATAAAGAAGTTGTTCATCCATAGAACTCGTCTTACTTTAACATAAGACTGATGTGTCAAACTGCTAATGTCATATATGTGCATTAGTTTTACAGTGTTGAATGTACCGCTGCAGCCTGTATTGTATTCGTAACACAATATACATCTTCCCGAGGCAAGAGAGTTAACTGACTTTAAAAGTCCAGTTTCCACCCTTGCCGAACTGGACTGGAATTCCTGGGCTCGATCGTAGCGCCACCAGTGGCTATTACAAGTTACGTCCCTTCTAAGCCTCTACTATGGACCAATCAGATTCCACCTCTCGTATCACTTGCATTTGTTTCAAACAAAATGGCGGCGTCAAGTCAAGACGATCTGATCGATGATCAAGATCTATATTGTGATAAAACGGGTCTTACATCGCGAAATGCATCAAATCACGTGAGCATCTTGATTAAAAACATGAAAAGATTTTGAAAAATATCTGTTGACAACGCGTTGGCGATGCACATGCTTTGAAAATCCTGCAATCGACCGAAATCTGCACGACAATTGACGAACCAGATTTCGATTTCGTTGCGCGATTTTGATTGGACTGTGCATAGACTCGTTAGTCCAGCCAAATTGTAACTCCATCATACCAGCCTAGTTCGGCAAGGGTGGAAACTGGACTTTTATAGTCAGTTAACTCTCTTGCCTCGGGAAGATGCAAAATGTATGATTGTGATTTGTAAAGTTTTCATTCTGAGGGCAGGTAAAAATCAAGTTTCAAGTATTCAATACAGGACTTACTCCTTTTTGTTGTTATGGAGACTGAATGCCCCTCTGAGGACTTTCCCGGCAGGCACCTTGAAGTCCATGGTTTTGTCGTAGTCGTTCTGCCAGGCGGTGTATGTGCACTCCGTCAGCATGACGTCTACAAACAATGGCCACAGTACACCGTTTCACACTATGTACATACTTATTCAATGATTCAGAGACATATAAACAATGCAGAAATCGATCCGTGAAGATCGGGGTAGAATAGGTCTTCAGCAACCCATGCTTGCCGTAAAAGGCGACTATGCTTGTCGTAAGAGGCGACGAACAGGATCGGGTGGTCAGGCTTTCATTTATTTCATTGGTCGGTCAAAGTTTGCCAAAGGACGTTCTGACGTGACGTAATGGGATGTGCTCATATCTTTGTTGAACGGTAGTAAGAACTAAGATCTGATTGTAAGGGTTGCAGAGTTGCGTCCTTGGGCGTGCAATAAATCTATGATCGTGGGTTCGAATCCCGGCTCGTCCAGTTTGTTTTTTGCGGTTCGTCAACGCCATGCGAGACCCGTGAATATACTGGGTAAAATTGGTTTGCAGCAACCCATGCCGGTAGTGTAGACATATAAAACTATCACAGTTATGTATGTAACGATGTACACAGTTGTAAATTGGATTAAAATATTTACATTATCAAAACGAAACATGCATCATCATGATTTCAGCATGTTGTTTGTTTGTTTGTTTGTTTAACGCCTCAATCAGCAATATTCCATAATATTACGTAGGTCTGTAAATATTCGAGTCTGGATCAGATAACACATCTTGCCCGGGAGTTCATGATCAAGACACGGAGACGCAAGGTGACAGATAGGGCATGCCCACTAGTGGACTACTGTGTCCTGATTGGCTGAAAATGGGTGGGGGCGGGGCTTTTTTTGCATTATTGCACTGAATGATGCCACCGATTTCGTGCTGATGCCTGTCTGTCCTTTTGCTGTTTAAAGCCACACTCAGCAATATTTCAGCTATACGGCGGTTTGTAAATAATCGAGTCTGGACCAGACAATCGAGTGATTGATATGAGCATCGATCCACGCAATTGGGATACGATGACATGCATCAACCAAGTCAGCGAGCCTGACCACCCCATCCCATTCGTCAACTCTTACGACAAGCATCAGTTAAAAAATTGCTTGTGGCAGAGCCTGACCACCCGGTCCCGTTAGACGCCTTTTACGACAAGCATGGGTTGATGAAGACCTATTCTACCCCGGATCTTCACCGGTCACTAAACAAGTGTTGCAGATCATTGACACTGACCACTTTGATGAAACCAACGATGACGAGTAGTAAGATAGTACCGGGTCAAATATTGGATTATCCTGGGGCAACTAATCAGGCGTTTTTTTCCTCATGCATAATACACTGAGAATCTAATGGCTAGTTGACAAAAACATCTTACCTGGGATCGTGCAGCACCTGAACTTGAACTGCCTGTCCTCGCGACTGTTGCTATGGCGACTGTCTATCCCCGTGATGACGCCCTGGTCAGGGCATTGAAACAGAAGAAGTTCGTCGTAGTTGTTGGCGTAGGAGTCACTCTGGCTGGCTGTCAAGAAGACGCTAAATATACACACGGAAAGTACAACTGACGACGTAGTTAGCTTCAGAAAGTTTACTGATATACTAGATTTATACTTCTCATGACAAGTAAAAGAACATGCACAATTGGAAGGCTGTGTGTTGCAATACTCACCAGCCATGACAAGTGAACTATAGTCATGAGAGTGAGTGAGTTGGGTTTAACGCCGCTTTTAACAGTATTCCAGTTATATCACGGCGTGTCAGCTTAATGTGGGAGGAAAGCCCGAAGTGATGCAGGTCTCAGACGTTTACCACTTCGGTGAAACCCACGAGCACGGGTATGGTGCTGACAAACCTAGAAGCATTATTGGGGCTAACCGGGATTCGAACCCACAATCGTAGGTTTCTGGCGTGCCAAGGGGACGCAACTCTGCACAGCGAATCGCGGCGCCTTAGACGAGTGGGCAATCCGTGATCCCCTATAGTCATGAGAAAACCCCGTGTGTTATTAAACGTCCTTTGAATAATGTAGAATATAAATGCACCGTATCATCAAAATGTTAGAATGTCCATGTCTTGTTTCTCGGGATCCTTCAGATAAGTTCGATTCACATCAGGACAAACGTTTCACTTCATGCCATTTCGCTCTCGATTTCTTTTCAGGGATCGTTTTGTTGAGATCGAAATTTTCGAATCGAAATGGTATTATATAGCAATAAATCCAAATTATAGAAAGCTCACATCTGATTGACTCAAGAACATACGATACTTTCATTTCGATTGGGATGCCAAAGTTCGCTCACACCATGCCGACGTTGATGTGCAGACTACAGGGCTACAGTTAGATTTATTGCCTTAAGACGATTCTTAATTATTTTTTAATTCGATTTCCCAAAAACTCCAACCTAAATTCTGTGTACTAAATCAGAACAATGATAAAAAGAAGTTTGTTTGTTTGTTGTTTAACGCAGATTTTAGCAATATTCCAGCTATATTACGGCGATAAAATGAAGTTCCCGATATGCAAATATCGAACAGTATTGTTGGTCATCAGAACGGGTTACGTAAAAAAAAAGTGCTTCAAAATAGACCACCTGGTTCCACGGGTACCAGACAGCGCAACCGCGGCCTACCCATGGAACCAGTCTGCGGAATGGAAATTTAATCTAAGAAGGCGGACTAGTACCGAAATACAAGAGAATGTACTGTAACTAGTCCTCTAGCCATCCAGTCCATTTCTGGTGTCCCCTGGCTTGATATTGCTGGAATATTGCTAAGAGCTGCGTAAAACAATACTCACTCACTCCTCTAGCCACCACGCGAACATGTACTCACGTGACCACGCGCATGACGCCGTTGCCCCTGTCCTAGCACAAGCGAGGGACCAGCGTCTGTCCTCCCGGTAGTTGCTGTGCTCGCTGTAGATGGAACTGAGAGACGTCCCCGACGGACACTGGCGTTTAAAGGACTGGTCCCAGTCGTTGACAAATACCGCAGCGTTACACAGGCAAACCGTTGCCAACACAGCCAGCACAAATACCTGATGAGATCGGTAAGGGCCAGATACAAAAGTGACAAAGAAATTGGTACTATTCTTTTAAAGTGTAGAGTATAGCCTGGGTCCATCTGTATATCTTAACTCCAGCTCCAGAAAGGGTACAACAAGTACCATCTTTTAACGGCTTTTGGTATGACGCAGATCCATCCCCGGACCTTCCGCTCTCCGGGCGAACGCTCTACCACTACACCGCGGAGGCGGTCCTTGAAAACAAATACGTCATATTTCCACGTACTGACATAACCAAGGAAACCGGAGCACGGCTGAAACCATCGCTGATTTGGTTGATGCATGTTATCGATCTCAAATGGTAGAATAGGTCTTCAGCAACTCATGCTTGCCGTAAAAGGCGACTATGCTTGTCGTAAAAAGCGACTATGCTTGTCGTAAAAGGCGACTAACGCGATCGGGTGGTCAGACTCGCTGACTTGGTTGATACATGCCATCGATCCCTATTGCGTGGATCGATGTTTATGATATCAATCACTGGGTTGTCTGGTCCAGACTCGATTATTTACAGACCGGCGTCATATAGCTGGAATATTGCTGAGTGCAGAGTTAAACAACAAACCAACCAATCAAATGCGTTGATCGATGCTCTTGATGCCAATCACTCGACTGTCTGGTCCAGACTCGATTATTTACAGACCGCCGTCATATAACTGGACTATTGCTGAGTGCGGCGTTAAACAACAAACAAAGAAACAAACAAACAACATTGTAACTTATTAGTATATCTTCAACTTACCAAGAACGTCATGTTTTTTTCGCCGTGTACAAATGATGCACGTGCGTGATTAACAAGCTGTACGGCACACTTGCTCTGTGAACCTATTTATACACGCGCACACGGATGAAGATGTGTGTACACGTGGAAGCCAGTATTTCCCGGATGAATATTACCTGTGTATGATCGATCAGTCCGATTTAATTATTCCCCGAATTATTTCTTTGAAGGTCGTTATAATACACAGTCCTCCTCATCGATCTTGTGGATATCGGAAGTTTTGTACTACGTTCTTTGATCGCGAGGCTTTAAATATTATTTATTTATCAACGATGTGGTTCTGTATATTCGTCAATGGCATGTAAATAATTTCATCTTCAAATGTATGAACAGGTAGCTCGTGTGTCAATCGATGTAACAATTGTGGCCAGGTGGAGATGTGTATTCGGAAATTAATATACCGATTAGGAGTGTTCAAATCATGCCTTAGTTTGTGCATGCTAATATATAATAGAGGTTAAAATCACTGATCAATAATCAACTATATACACAATGGGACGGCTCTACCCCATTTGTCAGACCGGTCAACAAAGAAGGGATGTGATGATAGGCTTGGTCTTCCTGTAGTTACAATACATCAGGGGGCGGTCGGGTAGCCTAGTGGTTAAAGCGTTCGCTCGTCACGCCGAAGACCCGGGTTCGATTCCCGACATGGGTACAATGTGTGAAGCCCATTTGTGGTGTCCCCCGCCGTGATATTGCTGGAACATTGCTAAAAGCGGCGTAAAACCATACTCACTCACTCACTACAATACATCAGTCTAGATTTGCTAAGAGAATCTCAGTTAACACATCGTTCTATGTGGCGAGGCCTTTGGGGTTATTATTGCATCGAATGGTGTCTTCCAAATGTGCCTACAGTACCATTCTGCGTACAGTAATATGAAATGATGCGGTCTGATGCTCAAAAAGTGATGCATGAGCGAACATGACTGTTACCTGTTTCACCTGTGATAGGAGATAATTAGTCCATACCGAGATATGATGTAGGCACTAGGGCTGGGACGAGTCCATATTTACTGCCCGGGTACCAACACCCCTATTACCCGACCCTACCCGGGTACCCACTGTTGGTGTCAAGAGATAGGTACAAAATGTCCGATTGGGAATAGTTTGACAGTAGCCCTGGCAGAATGTTTTTAGATAAAACGATGTGGTCATACATACACAGCAGTTGACTGAAGTTTTAGCTTTGTTCAAACATAATTAAGTTAGAAGGAACATGTTCATAGTCATGAAGAAATGCGAACATTAGACTTAAAGTTGTCGTGTAACCATGTAGTTATATAGTGATATTTTGTCATTTAACAATATATCACGTGACTAACCACAGGTCCGGGTAGTCTTGTGGGTACCCGGGTCCTACTCAGTACCCACCCGACCCGGGTACCCGAGTTACCCGTCCCAGCCCTAGTAGGCACAATGGGAAACACTTGTGAAATGAAATAAAACCATAACACATTCTGAAAGTCACGGATATATTATAATTATAATATATTATATTACATTTATAATAGAACACAGAAGAAAAATATAACATTAGTTTTGGCAATACTTTTACTTTCAATCAATTAACCACAGGCAAATCAAAGAAAGTTTTTGTCCAAATTTGATAAGGTGACAAGCTGCATCTAGGAACTGCATGGTTGTCTTTCTTCCGGAGTCGAGATGGTCCTGCTGTCCATTTCCCAGTGCACCCGTTTTCGGATTTGGGGAAGGGCTCCGAGATCCAGTTGGGCATGCTTTGCCTTGTTCACCGCTTCCAGGTTCTTTATGTGAGTCTTCGAACAGGAAGATGTTTGGATGGGCCTTGGAGATCCTCTCTTTCAGTTTATGATGCCACCCCTCGATGTGGTTGTTGGTGCAAGGTCCAATACCTCCATATTGACTCCACATGCGCCATTGGAACCTGGCGTCATAGTCAACCCTGGTTGACGTCTTGTAGTCATTGAAGGATCTGATCTTCTCGGAGTCAGGGCCTTCTCCATCACCGCGGTCCAGACGTCTTGAACTTGTGGGATTAAAATAAAGGAAGTGATATACATTGAAACATTTTAAGCAGTCTAATGTTAACTACATTGATCTCTAGTTTATACCCGCCGTGATATTGCTGGAATATTGCTAAAAGCGGCGTAAAACCATACTCACTCACTCTAGTTTATACAGTCATTTGTATTAACATCACTGCTAAGCTTAAGAACTGGCTTGTTGGAACAACAATGGATTAGAACTTGCATTGATCTTAAAAAAATAGTTAATTGATGTGATTGTTGATGTTGTTTATACAGTAATAAGTCTAATGTTTATTGCATTGATCTCTAATAGAAAATGATCTCTAAAATACAGTTGATATCGGCATATGTATTAACATCTCAGCTCAGCCTAAGAACTGATTTGAACAGTAAAAAATATTCAATTCCTCTACTCAGTTTTTTCAGTTACTAACATTCTATACAGGAAGCTGCAACCGTACAAGCCTGACAACGTACATAAAATAATAAGTCAGACAATAGTGGTTCAGTCCATTTACATAAATATGGATGAATCGGAGTTCCCAAATTGGGAAATTGGGATGTAGGCAAAATACAATTTTGGTAACGCTGATAGATTGAGATTTTGTCTAATACATAAACTGCCGAGCAAAAAGTATACGCTGGAAAATTCACACAAAATCTGCGTACTGTGAAATTGTGACCCTCGTGTTTCTGAAAGGGCTTGTGCACGTCACCTTGTGTAAGATTAATATGATGAGTGCAATATCGCCTATGATACACGTATTAAATGTATCACCATCGAATAATCATTTCTTGTTTGTTTCATTTTAGCCTCCATCAAACATGGGTGTATACTTTCTTTTGTCCGACAGTTTATATACAATTCCCCTCAACCCCGAACATCGAATGGTTAGTCCCTATAAAGAGCGTTATTAGCTTGAAGATGTCATCAACGTATTCCGCTTTGTAGAATGACAACAAATATATTTCAGCTTTCGATAAAACAGTGAACAATGTATAAGAGTATATAGTATTAAAATAAATAACAGAAAACAAAGGACGAAATTCAATAAAACGTAAAATTTATTCACACATTTAAATGTTTCAGAGAAGTAGGAGTAATGTCAGTTTTCAGCACTAATATACTGGTGTTCAGGCGCAGGGCAGGTGACTAGCCAAGAGGTTAGAGTGTTCGCTCGTCACGCCGAAAGCCCGAGTTCGATCCCTACTTTGGTACAATGTATGAAGACCATTCCTGGTGTCCCCCGTTGTGGTTTGGCTGGAGTTTTGTTAAAAAAGGAGTTAAAACTGACCCACTATAGAATTCGTGATCTAAGACGATCGTAACAATACTTTAGCAGGCTTAGGGCAGTCTTAGCGCTAAGATCGCTTTGTGAAACGGGGCACATGTAATCCTTGCTGTGTCATATCACTCATATCAGCCTTGTTGGTGCATAATGACGCCAGTGTGTCAGGCATAATGCGGAGTCCAGCTCTGGGAAGTAATCTTCTTGTACCTCAACATCCTCCTCCTCATCCTCAAGCAGCTCCAGGTCGTCAAAACTTAGCCTCATCGTCTGAGTCTCTACCTGGGCATGTAAATCTCTCTCCAACGTAGGGAAGACTTCCTCTTCTACGTGGTCGAAGTCAACCTCAACCAGCCCACTGTTCATACCTACTTGCGCCCCCTGCTGTGCCAGGATCGCGATCATGGCGTCCGTCTGTTGAAGCAGGTAGTGTCTGTACATGAACAGTACGCTCTTGGTGATCTCGTAGCGTTGACTGAGGAGCTCCGACCCCGAAACGTGTCCACACCTCACAGCACGCTGTTTCCGAGTCGAGATGTTCTCCATCCGGGCTAGTAGTTCATCCATCTGGTGGTGAGCTCTATTGGCGAACGTCTCCGACCTCTGCATCATCGCAACGGTCTGAACGAGGGCTGTGATGGCATCCAACCGGGAGTTGAGGTCGTTCAACTGATGTACATCTCTGTCAGTGAGAGTCTCGATATCCCATCTCTGCATCTTTGAGGGATACTTGGAGCTAGTGGGATGTTTTGTAGTTTCAAGTAAACAGTTTTCAGCGACTCGTATATTAAAATAATTTTGTATGTGCTTCTGAGTGCGAAGTTGCAACACTCGGAAGTGCTCGTTAAATTGTATCCGAGGATTCTAGCGCTGTGTGTGTTCACACTGAAGTCAGCTCGGCGCGAATTTATGTCATGAAAATAATCGGATGTCATTGCAAGGCTCTAATCCACATCGTGATCACCTGACTTCTCCCGCCTTCTCTGACCTTGTGAGTTTTGTCGTTTGACATCATCCAATCAGTACAGGATTAGCCGGAAACAATTAATGCAACACTTCTCAACCGGTGTTATCTTGTAAGTAAGCAAACATCCATCAACGCTGTGTTTACAACTTGCTACGTTGTGTTGTAATCCCCCCGGATGCATCTCATGGATTATTGTCATGAAAACAATGAAAAAAGAGTTGTATAGTACCCCAGCACTTGGTGAGGGATTTCACTTCAACCTCCTCAGACCTCACAATCATGTGCGGATTACAACATATCCGTCTTTAGGCAGGGATGACAGGAAGTTCTTCTCTGACCGCCTCCGTGGTCTAGTGGTAGAGTGTTCGCCCGGAGGGCGGAAGGTCTAGGGTTTGATCCCCGGCCGCGTCATACCAAAAGACCTTTCAAGATAGTACTTGTTGTTACCCTGTCTGGCGCTCGGCATTAAGGGGCTAAAACATGGATTGGTCGGCTCGGAGTCAGTATACTGTATCTGAGTGGGGTATTCATGTTAAACTGATGAGGAATAAATTGGCACCAGTCCAGACACACACACACACACACACACACACACAAACACACACACGCACGCACGTCGCTACATAAGTACAATAATCTTGGACGCGACGTTAAACACAATTTCACCTCACCTTAAGTTCTTCTCTCTTCCATCCCGACGTTTTCGATACAGTTATAGGTATCTTCTATCAACCACTACTTGTTACAACAGATTACCGAGTGCGAATTTGGGTACATCGGACGCTCACCCCCTTTTTGAGGTACCTTCCATGTGTTCTCCTGTACGGTGTCCCCACTGTACATATGTTGGTGTCATGAGGTGTGAATGTTTTCTTTCAGGTGAAATTGACACCTATGAGTTGTTTGTTGTTAACGCCGCACTCAGCAAATTCCAGCTATACGACGCCGGTCTGTAAATAATCGAGTCTGGACCAGACAATCCAGTGATTGACATCATGAGCATCGATCCACGCAATTGGAATACGGTGACATGCATCAACAAAGTCAGCGAGCCTGACCACCCGATCCGGTTAGTCGCCTCTAACCACAAGCATAGTCGCCGTTTACGGCAAGCATGGGTTGCTGAATACCTATTCTACCCGGGATCTTCACGGGTCTTTCCGTTACATTTATAAATGAAAGAGTGTCATATAGCTGGAATATTGCTGGGTGCGGCGTTAAACAACAAACAAACAAATACAACAGAAAAGTTACATTGACACTGCAGCTCACTATTATAAATTTCCGCATGGAAATTGAGGGAATAGATTCTATCATCCAAAAGCAGAAACAGTTCTGGCTAATGTCCAAATAATAAGCAGGTGAAAACGCAATCTCATAAAAATCAGATCTTAGTTCTCGCTGTGCTAAACAAAGATCTGAGGACATCCCATTAAGGGTCAAGTCAGAACGACCTTTCATCCAACCAATCACAGCGTCGCTTACCAGATCATGAAAGTGACCATCGGAATGTGTTTTCTAATCATGCAACCACGAAATATTTAACAAGGGGTATTCCGAACGACAGTTACGGGTTTTATGATTATATCCATACAATCTAGTCCATCTATAAGCCATTCCAGAATGTTCTTCTTGTCAGTTTTAATTTTTTAATCCAAAATACCTCAAAATATGTTCGAAGCGTAGTCGCCAGTTTGAAACTAGTGTCGTAAAGCTCGAGAAAGCTGCCTTCTGATGTCGATCTCTTGTCTGTCATTTCATTGGTCGGTCAAAATTCGCGAAAGGTCGTTCTGGGATGTCCTCAGATCTTTGTTTAGCGGTAGCGAAAACTAAGATCTGATTTTAAGTAGAAGAGTGAACACGTTAATTATTCTACTCTGACGGAGTTGATCTTAACACTATATTGAATGGTAATGCTAATTTTACAAAAACTACTAATCTAGATATCTTAAAATCAGTCCATTCATACATACTTCATTCCAAAAGGTGAGAATGTGACGTGAGACCATAAATCCCGCTTATATATTAATGTTTCTACTCATTGCACCAAACTGTTGCCCATGGTCACTTGGTTATCGTTAACGTATTCAGTTTATCATATATTATTTTGTTTAATGCCTTCATGAATATAACTTGTACTGGAGAGGTATTAAGATAAGCCTTTTGGCTTCAAGTTGTTTACCGATCCAGGTTCATTCAATAAAACTATATTTAAATCACAAAACGTTGACGTAATTTTCATAGCTTTACATTTGATGTTTTTGGTGATGTCGACTTGAACGCCACTTCCGTGAGCGAGTTATTATTGCTTTAGGCCACATCACTAATTAGCGGTGAGAAATTTCAGTAGTACTACCAATTGGAAAAAAATGTGACGTTGACGTCGGATCACATTTTTCTCGACAATGAGGCTAAGTGACATATTTCTTCAACTGACCTTTCAGCACTGAGAATCGTTAAGAAAGCACATTTGCAAATATAAGAAAGTTCTTATACACTGGGACAGTGGGATTGCCTAGTGGTTAAAAGTGTTAGCCGTTATGCAAAGACCCGGGTTCAATTCCCCACAAGCCTACAATATGTGAAGCCTATTTCTGGTGTCCCCACCGTGATACTGCTGGAATATTGCAAAAACCATACTGACTCACTAACACACGTTCATTCTACCATTATGGGTAATTTTAACAGTTAACTAGCCAAAGTGAGTGAGTGAGTGAGGTTTTACGCTGCTTTTAGCAATATCAGGGCAGGGGACACCACAAATGGGCTTCACACATTGTACACATGTCGTGAATCGAACCGGCCTGACGAGCGAATGCGTTAACCAATAGGCTACCCAACTGCCCCAACCAGCCAAAGATCTGTACCAGGCATTGTCATGTATTTTAGCCAATCAGTTTGTCAAGTCATGGCAAAACACTTGTGTGCTATGAAAAACAAAACAATCTTGTTTCTGAATTTCATGTTGTTTATTGTTTTATGTCTATTTTACATATCATACACCTTCAGATGTGCCTGAAACACAAGTGTCATTGTGAATCAGTCAATTGGTTCCACATGACTCATGAAAAATCAACAAAATATAGTCTTATTCTGAAAGTGTATACCAATAGATAATGACCATTGATGATTTATTCACAGATGTGTATGACAAAGATAATATACACAAGATATGTACAATAACACTGGACAGTCGTTCTTGGAGTTCAATGTCCTACATAGTCCCCTCTCAGTCACAAAGCGCTACAGCGTGCACATTGATACACATAAAATCGTCAAAATATTCAAAGTTTGCATGATTTAAAAAAAATGATATAAATGACAAAGGTTCATGATTCCACAGATCTTGAACTATCAATGAAATAATGAAACTATACCACTCAACACTTGATAGGCATACAGCAGAAACCAGGGGAACATGAATATATATATATACTAATATATACTGTATTTCCTCTATTAGACGCCAGGCCTCTAATAGAAACCGGGTCAATTGTTCAGTGCAAAAAATAGAAGCCGGGCCTCTAATAGACGCCGGGTCGATCAATTAATGATTGAATGACATTCGTGGTCATAGTGAAATGGGGGTATTAATAGAAGCCGGGCCTCCACTAGACGCCAGGTCAAAGGCTTGTCCAAAATAAATAGAAGCCCGGGCGTCTAATAGAGGAAATACGGTACATGGTAACTTGAAATAAGATGACAGATGTCAGTTCCATGGCAGTACTATTCGAGTGACAACATCTCCAAGCAATAAGTCAGATTCAGACCTTAAATGTCCACTGAATATCCCTGTCTTTATTTAAGTGGTATATTTCCATACTGAGTGGCTGGAATTACAACATTCGGAGGTGTGGAGCCTCTTAGAAGATGATCGATTCCGTCACGGCGGCTGATGTGCGATGTGTGTAGCAGTGTTCACCCAAGCACCATTCAGCTGTGCCTAGACTTCAACATTGTCTTACTTATCTAGGTGAGGTGAAATTGGGTTTAACATCGCGTCCAAGATTATTGCACTTATATAGCGACGTGCATGCACGTGTTTGCGTGGCTGCTTGTACTAGTCCGGACTGATGCCGATTTATAGTGCTAACTCACTGAGATACCATGCTGCAGTTTAATATGAATACCCACTCAGACACAGTATACTGACTCCGAGCCAACCAGTTCTTGTTTTAGCTCCTTTATGCCGAGCGCCAGACAGGGTAACAACAAGTACCATCTTTTAACGTCTTATGGTATGACGCGGCCGGGGATTGAACCCCGGACCTTCCGCTCTCCGGGCGGATGCTCTACCACAAGACCACGGAGGCGGCCTCTTACTTATCTAAGACACATCAGGGATACCTTCATGGACCCTGCATCGTCATCTTACTTTCATTTGTTTGTCTTCTTCGGGAAATAATTAATAATCCTTTACTCTTTTGCAATTTCTTATCCATCATGTATGCTTCTCAGTAAATTTACTGCATATAACAATTCTTTAAACATACAACATTAAGGTCCAATACTATTGTTATACCTTCAATTCTACACAAATTAACATTTGACAGGGATATTCTGAGTGTTGGACCTGGATATTATTGGCTGCTTGGAGATGGAGTCATACAAATAATATTCCATATTGCCACATGATTAAATCATGTTCAGCTTTATTTAAAGTTACCTAAGTACACATTCAAGTACACCAGCTGCTGCCCTCTAGTTATGAAACAGTAGGAAACAGCCTTGTACCAATCTCAAATGTTGAGTAGTATATTTTAATATTGATTCTGAATTGTTGCTCTGATGCACCTCCTGGATGTGGGTTTAAAACAACTGCTGACTTGCTGCGCTGCGCTGCGCTGTTTCAGCGTGTGTAGGCCGTCTACCGACACACAATGACTTGATGCTTCGGTGTGTGTAGGCCGTCTATCGACACACAATGTCTTGATGCTTCCATGTGTGCAGGCTGTTTACCCGACACACAATGACTTGATGCTTCCGTGTGTGTAGGCCGTTGACCCGACACACACGTCAGTAAGGAAGGAGAGACTGTTCTACATGGGGTAGTTGAGCATCACGTCCTGCTTGGCCAACTCCAACAACATAGGGTCGTCGAAGAACTTGTTGATGGATACATCCTCGCTCAGACCCTGGAATCAGTTTTAATCCACAATTAATATCTTGCGGACTAAATACTTCACTTAAAAATTTACAATAATATTTGCGTTAATGGAGGCATTAATGTAAAAAAAAGTTGCACATACTGAGTAAAGACAAATATTTTTTTTTTTAAATTGTCGACAACAATAACTTTACAGACTGCTTATTCAATCATTAACACACACAAAACAAAAACGGTTGACAAAAGTCTGAGACGCATGAAGATCCGGGGTAGAATAGGTCTTTAGTAACCCATGTTCTTTGTAAAATGCAACTACTACAAGGTATGCTTGTCGTAAGAGGCGACTGACGGGATTGGGTGGTCAGGCTCGCTGATTGGGATAATGCATGTCATACTATCCCAATTGCGTGGATCGATGCTCACGATATCAATTACTGGATTGTCTGGTCCAGGCTCAATTATTTACAGACTGCCGTCATATAGCTGGAATATTGCTGAGTGCGGCATTAAACAGCAAAAGGACAGACAGACATCAGCACAAAATCAGTGGCATCATTCAGTGCAATAATGTAACAAAAACCCCGCCCCCACCCATTTTCAGCTAATCAGGACACAGTAGTACATTAGTGGGCATGGCCTATCTGTTTGTCACCTTGCGTCTCCGTGTCTTGATCATGAACTCCCGGGCGAGATGTGTTGCGGGCTGCGGCTCCAGGGGGCGGATGATGATGGATTTGTCCAGGGGGTCACCGGGCACGATCTGCAGACCAACATGAGACAGGGGTTATCGTCAGGCCAACTTGAGACAGGGCTTATTGTCAGGGTACTTTCACTGTTATTCAGCTAGGTATCAAGTCAATGATTACATGACCAGGACTGCTGACACCCAGCGGTGCCCTTGCTAAGCCTTATGCTGCCCCAGCTATCATGGCCAATTTGGCTGTCCCAAGGGATGCGTTTCTATATTGATTGACCCCAGTGATGTCCCCGCTAATTTGGCTATCCCTAGTGATATTCCAGCTATTTTGGCTATCCCCGCTATTTTAGCTATCCCTAGTGATGTTCCCGCTAATTTGGCTATCCCTTGTGATATTCCCGCTATTTTGACTATCCCCGCTATTTTAGCTATCCCTAGTGATGTTCCCGCTAATTTGGCTATCTCTAGTGATATTCCCGCTATTTTGGCTATCCCCACTATTTTGCCTATCCCCAGTGACGTCCCCGCTATTTTGTCTATCCCCAATGATGACCCTGCTATTTTGGCTATCCCCAGTGTTCCCACTATTTTGACTATCCCCAGTGACGTCCCTGCTATTTTGCCTATCCCCAGTGAAGTCCCCACTATTTTGACCATCCCCAGTGACATCCCTGCTATTTTGGCTCCAGTGATGCCATCCTATGTTGTGTGACCCTGAGAAAGTCCCTAAGGGTCCACATTCCCTCTGCTGATTTGATAAGAGGAGTTGCCTCACCTGCCAGTGGTGGAAGACCGAGAGACAAAAGGCCTGGCCCTGTGTGTGTGTTCTCAGATCGGTCTCAAACCCAAACGAGTCGATGGCGGGCAGGAAAGCTTTGATCGTGTACAGTGGGGAGCCAGGCACAGGAGCATCCTGGGTCACATGACCTCTGGAATAGAAGTAGTCAAGTCCCATTAATCCCATATTGTTGGTTGCATATGATTATGTCGGATTAACGAGTATGTCAGACAAACGAAATTAGGTAGTATCAACATTTATGATTGAAAATTGGACAACTATACGATACATAACGATTCAAACATGTTGTAATAAAATAAGGAAAAAGGAAATATTCATATTGTTGTGTTACACTGTTAGCGGAATCTGTTTTCTAATCATGCAACCTCTAAAGTTTAACACAAAACTACTGTTACAAACTGTATGACTGATTCAAAATACTTTTTAAAGCATAGTCTGGAATTGTAGTCGCCAATTTGAAACTAGTACCGCAATGCTTAAGAAAGCTGCTTTCTTAGTGGCTAATGTCGACTTCCTGTTAGTAATTTCATTGGTCAGTCAAAGTTCGGGAAAGGTCTTTCTGTTTTGTTTATTTAAAGTAATAATTGTTTATTCTTAAGCAAGTTTATCTCTGCAGCCGTTGAAATATGCAGCTACTTGCCGACTCGTCTCACATCCAAACACAGGGCTGTGTACTCGCGGGCATTGACCACTGAGTACGCTGATCACTGTGTCGGATCAACGAGACTGATTAATGAGTGATTTCAGCAAATTAGGAGTATCATGCTCTTTTTCGCACCAAAACGGGGAAAAATTCTGTGCTCCAGAACCCAATTATGGACTCAGCAATGAAACAATCATTTTTATAGCTTGGAATGAGAAAATATTTCATAAAGCTGCAATAACAGTGTCACAGCTACTTATGGCTAAACTGTCTCTGGAACTATGTGATATACATTACCCAGAAGCTAAACGGACATCATCTTTTTAAAACTATTCCAGAGGATAAGTGGAAACCTTGTTTCACTAGTCCTTAGATTTTGCAGCTAGTCCTGTGTAACGAAAAAAAAGCAACTTACCTCCTCTTTGCCAGCACTGTGTAGACTGCGGACACACAGTCAGCTGGCGCCATCACCTCCACGAAGTTGTAGGGCTCCATCATACGCGGGGTGGCCTGACGATCAGAAACATAGGGAGATCATAGCATATTCTTTCACAATACTGTAACAAGAATATTGGCTGTCCGGTTTAGGCAGAGTGAGGGATTAAAGAGAAACTGGTTTAGACAGAGTATGGATTATTGAGATACTGGTATAGACAGTGTGGTGAATTAAAGAGATACTGCTTTAGACAGTGATGGATTATAGAGATACTGGTTTCAACAGGTTGAATCATAGAGATACTGGTATGGACAAAGGTTGGTTTATAGAGTTACTGGTTTAGACAGAGGTTGGTTTATAGAGTTACTGGTTTAGACAGAGGCTGGATTATAGAGATACTGGTATAGACAGAGGTTGGTTTATAGAGTTACTGGTTTAGACAGAGGTTGGATTATAGAGATACTGGTATAGACAGAGGTTGGTTTAAAGAGTTACTGGTTTAGACAGAGGTTGGATTATAGAGTTACTGAATGGTCGGCACACTGACTCACCATGAGGAAGGCGGAGTAGGCCACTCTCCTGGCTGTAGGGATGATCTGACCGCCACCTCGGTGTATCGGCTCCCCGGCAATCATGGCATCTAGGATCTTGAACTTTACGTTACGAATTGCTGAAACAAGAGTCAACATATGGGTAATATAGCACTATGACAGGAAATATAGCATGTGACATAGGTCATACAGCAATATGACACAGGTAATACAGCAATGTGACATGGGTAATTTAGCACCATGACATGGGTAACATAGCAATATGACATGGGTAATTTAGCACCATGTCATGGGTAATATAGCACCATGACATGGTTAATATAGCACCATGACATGGGTAACATAGCAATATGACATGGGTAATATAGCACCATCACATGGGTCATATAGCAATATGACATGGGTAATATAGCACCATGACATGGGTAATATAGCACCATTGCATAGGTAATACAGCACCATGACATGGGTAATTTAGCACCATGACATGGGTAATATAGCACCATGACATGGGTAATATAGCACCATGACATGGGTATTACAGCAATATGACATGGGTAATAAAGCACCATGACATGGGAAATATAGCAATATGACATGGGTAATAAAGCACCATGACATGGGTAATATAGAACCATGACATTGGTAATATAGCACCATGACATGGGTAACATAGCACCATGACATGGGTAATACAGCACCCTGACATGGGTAATACAGCACCCTGACATGGGGAATACAGCACCCTGACATGGGGAATACAGCACCATGACATGGGAAATACAGCACCATGACATGGGTAATACAGCACCCTGACATGGGGAATATAGCAATATGACATGGGTAATATAGCACCATGACATGGGTAATACAGCACCATGACATGGGTAATACAGCACCCTGACATGGGGAATATAGCACCATGACATGGGTAATACAGCACCATGACATGGGTAATACAGCACCCTGACATGGGGAATATAGCAATATGACATGGGTAATATAGCACCATGACATGGGTAATATAGCACCATGACATGGGTAATACAGCACCATGACATGGGTAATATAGCACCATGACATGGGTAATACAGCACCATGACATGGGTAATATAGCACCATGACATAGGTAATACAGCAATATGACATGGGTAATATAGCACCATGACATGGGTAATACAGCACCATGACATGGGTAATATAGCACTATGACATGTAGTATGTGATCTGTGATGACATCTACGTACGTTCATCACACAGCGGTCCTTCTCTGGTTGCCCACTGGAATCCCTGCACGATGCTGTCCTTCACCAACCCCAGGACTGACTTGTCAACCTGAAAATATCACAAAGATAGTGTTAGTTGAGAACACAGAAAGAGCTTATCATGGAGATGTTTTCTCCTGTACATTCCACAACAATAAAACAAGACACACCATCCAAACTTAATAACGTTACCCTATTCCAATACAGTTCAGATATTCTTTTCAACTCAAAACAAGTCGAAGAACATTCCACCATTGGAAGGCGGTGTTGCAATACCAGCCATGATTAACTAGTCATATGACAAAAAAACAAGTGTTCTTAACTTCATTTGTGTAGTATACATTGTATCTGATTGCTTCTGAAGGAAAGCAGCTGACATGGTAAAGCAGATGAAAAAGTATTAACAAAGAATAACTGCCAGATTTTCATGTTAAGATCAACGAAAGGTTTCATTTCTCATTTGAAACACAGTCTATAAAGTGGCAACGGTTCACCAAACTATTCCCTCACCTCGGATGGCAGAGTATCGTCCACCAAGATGTTGGGTCCCATTGCGTCGGGTCCGAAGGCCCAGATAGATCGAGCAGCCAGCAAATCCCAGTCATACTTGGTCTGGAAGAACTCCCCGAGCTTCTTCCTGGGCCATGTGATCTGCACCACCTCGTTCTCAATGTCCTCCGCCAGACCCTTCTCCAGGGGTTCCGCAATCATCGTCAACTTGTTCCTAGCAAACACAAGCTTCATATAGCAGGGCTCTCACTCAATTTCTGAATTTATCTCTCTGCCAAAATCAAAAGCCATGCAAATAAAACAAATGATTTATACATGCCATTTACATATTTTGTTTGTTCGCTTGTTGTTAAATGACACACTCTCAATATTCCAGCTATATGGCAGTGGACTGAAAAGAATCAAGTCTGGACCACCAGATAATCCAGTGATTGACATCATGAGCATTCATCTACACACCTGGGATACAATAAAATGTAGGAACCAAGTGAGTGAGCCTGACCCCTGATCCTGTTAGTTGCCTCTTACGACCAGCATAGTGAGTGAGTGAGTATGGTTTTACGCCGCTTTTAGCAATATTCCAGTAATGTCACGGCGGGGGACAGCAGAAATGGGCTTCACACATTGTACCCATGTTGGGAATCAAACCTGAGTCCTCGGTGTGACGAGCGAACGCTTTAACCACTAAGCTACCCAACCGCCCCTCGACCAGCATAAGTTGCTGGGGATCAATTAAAACCCGGAATCCCCACTGGGTCCTGATACCAGACTATAATACCACCAAAGTTTCTGCTGTAGACCTCAAAGTTACAGCATCGTAAAAGACATATAAACTCACATGATCCTAAGTTATTGAGATTTTACTGTAATATTTATTTATGACTTTCACCCGAACAACAGATTATCACAGTTATCTCAGCAACAATAAAATGTCAGATCAACTTGGCATAAAAAAATAATAGGAAAAAGTATCTGTTCAGTAATCTAAACACGTGATGAATTTGTACTTGTTGCTTTCAGTGACCCTTTATTTAAAAAAAATAATTATTTCATATTAGGTAACATCAGAAATGGACCATGTAATGATAGAGTGAATATCAGAAGCTGTGCCTAAGTCTACGAAGCCTGCACATACTACGACCCGTTAGGCCAGCCACGTGGTCCTGTAGGGTCTGGTGTAAAATCCTCTTCAGCAGAGCTCCAGATAACTTTTTGACCAATTGAGTTTTTACTCTAGGGTTTCTATTTCATTTGGGTTATTACATTTTTCATTGGGTAACCAATATTTTTTCACTCATCTTGTCATCACTCTATTGGGTTTTTCCCCAAATTTAGTGAACATTTTAGGATTTAAAAAATAAATAAATAATGTTTTAGATGTATCTAACATATATATAGGCTTGACTAGGAAGTTAAATTAGCTTGTAACTGTGTTTCTGAAATTAGCTCCTTTTTTCACTTGCTGAAAAAGCTTCATGGGTATTTACGGGAGCTGTTTTTATACATATGAGGTTTTCATTTAATGCATGCATTTCTGTACGCAAGTTACTTGAAAGTAATTGGGTTTTGAATAATTTTAGGGGGTATTTTACGTAAATACGCTGCTCAGCTGTAGCTCTGTTTTCAGTGACCCTTTGCCCTACTTCTTGTTTGGTGTTTCAGCGAAGCACTTGAGTGACGATGTTTCCACCACCGTCTCACAGAAGGACACGACTGGGTCAGCCACCTTGATGTCTGTGAAACAAATCAGCAACTTCAATGACAACACTTACTACACCCTCATTTTGTTAACATGCTCATGCTTCAATATCCTTTCATAAATCACATGGTTAAAGTTTCAATTTGTTGTTTAACTGTGCGCTCAGCAATATTCCTACTTTATGATGGCAGTCTGATAATAATTGAGTCTGGACAACACAATCCAGTGATTGACATCATGAGAATCGATCTAGGCAAGTGGGATACAATGACATGCATCAAACAAATCTGACCACACAATCACGATGGCTCTTATGACAAGCAGAGGTTGCTGAAAGTCAATTCTACCCCGTCTTTCCCACAGGGGTACAAGTTAAAAGGGGTTCTGGGTCCTTCAGGTTTGATGTAATTGTTCTTGAAGCCGAGGACCCCTTTACTTCCATGGTTAACTTCCAACACAGATTAGAGTGCAACATACACTAAACAAAACTACAGTTATAACAATCTCAAAGGGACCACTAACTTTAGTTCTTTATAACCGTAGTTTTTTTTAAGCATATATACAGCAATGGTTTTACGCCGCTTTTAGCAATATTACAGCAATATCACGGAAGGGGACACCAGAAATGGGCTTCACACATTGTACCCATGTCGGGAATAGAACCAGGGTCTTCGACGTGACGAGCGAACGCTTTAACCACTAGGCTACCCGACCGCCCCGTAAGTGCAAAGTAAGTGCGAAGTAAACTTATTTGTTTTCCCTGCCAATAGAGTACTGGGACGAAACACTGGGACGAACCACTGGGACAGGGACTAAGACTTGGCAAAAACAAACTGATGATGTTTCTATGCATTCCTTCTATGTAGGAACTGAAACATGTTTTCTAAGCCGAAAGCTTCATCAAGAGTCCTGTACTGACCTATCTCGGAGTACATCTTGCGGAGGTCGTGCATCACACAGTCCAGGTACAGCTCCCCCGTCCCCAGGATGATGTGCTCGCCCGACTCCTCAACCTGCAAACAAGGTCCAGACAATAGAACATTTACTCAAACACTTATGGATCATCTGTCCTGGTTGACGTCACTGCTTACTTCCTGATGCATGGCGAGGTCCTTTCAACAAAACTTCATGTGTGTGCGTGTTTGAGTGTGTGAGCGTGTGCGTGTGCGTGTGCGTGTGCGTGTGCGTGTGTTGTATAATGCTGCACTCAGCAATATTCCAGCTATATGACTGCTGCCCGCAAAATAACAAGAGTTTACCACTAACGTGGCTATATCCCCCGCCCCTGTTGCAGAATTTATGACATAATCAAATCTAAACAAACCCTAACCTTTTTTAACCGAAGTGGAACTTGTCATGGAAATTGTAAAAAAAAGAAGAGTTTGGAACCTAAGTCCATCTTGTTGCCATGGAAACGTAAAAAATAAAATTTTCTAAAATTTCTTTATAGCAAAAGGCACCAGTTCAGCATGTACTTGACAGACCTGCAAAGTTGCATGAAAAAATATTGAACGGTTTCTGAGTTATGCTCCGGAAACGAAATGTGACGTACGTACGGAAGGACGTATGGACGTATGGAGCCCGTTTCTATATCCCCCGCCAACTTTGTTGGGCGGGGGAAGGTTGGCAGGGGATAATAAATCAAGTCTGGACCAGACAATCCAGTGATTGATATTGTAGACAGTGATTGGGGTAAGCTGTTATGCAATCAACCAAGTCACTGGATCCACTTATTCGCATCAAGGTAAGTTGCTTCGGACTAATTCAAACCCAGAAAACCCCACAGGGAACAATACCTCATGCGGAGAATAACTAAGGTATTATCTGTCCTCAGTGAGTTCAAATATAAAGTCATGTTGGCAGTCTGGACCAGATAACTCAGTGATTGATATTGAGAGCAACCATCCACATGGTCCGGGTACAATGACACTCTATCAACCAAGTCATGCTGGGTCACTATGTCATTAAACGTCATCAATAGTATTACACTGACATAGTGCCATTGGCAGAGCTGGTGAGCAGTTATGTAATTGGTCATCTGAAGAACACAGTGTACTATCATACACATTTAAACATGGAACAGGAAGGACAAACATGAAACAGGAAGGACAGACACTGGCTTACCTTGGTGGTCAGGAGGGGATAACTCTTGTTCACCTTCCTCAACCCATCCAACATTTTAGGCAGTTCGGACGGATTCACTGGCTCCACTGCTATTTTGATGACAGAGCTTGTGTTGAACTTAAGGGGGCGGAATATATACACCTGAAAGACAATTGAGTGAGTGAGTGAGTGAGTTTGGTTTTATGCCGCTTTTAGCAATATTCCAGCAATATCACAGTGGGGGACACCAGAAATGGGCTTCACACATTGTACCCATGTCGGGATTCGAACCCGGGTCTTCGGCGTGACGAGCGAACGCTTTAACCACTAGGCAACCCGACCGCCCCGAAAAGACATTTGAGAATTGTACCTGTGTAAGAAATCTATTTGGGGTCGACAGTACAGACTTGTGCTGAGGACAAGTAAAACTCCAACATCAGTAGTCCTCATTGACTGATAGCATTTAAATGCTATACTTTTAAACCAGTTCTCAATGCTTCAATTTTGCTACAAATTGGAACTGAATAAAAGATGTAAAAATAGTAAGCAATATTGTTGTTCAAGAGGGACTAGCTACAAACTCTGAGGAGTAGAATGTAGTTGACACTAGTGCCCCCCAAAACGGATTTCTAAGGCTGGGACGCCCTACCTCCTCGTTGCTGGAAGTGTCTGTGATGGTGGAGGTCTTCACGATGGGCTGGTCGATGCCCTCTATCAGCACCCAGTTCCCAGCAGGGACTCTGTTCACCTCTACCTTATACCTGCAGCACACACAACGCAACACAACGTAACACAACGTAACACAACGTAACACAAAGTAAAACTAAATCATTAACACTTCATTCCTATGGTTTATTTCCACATAGGCCAAAGGCCAAAGGCCAAAGGCCAAATACAATTCCGCACATACCGGGGTATATAAAACATTAATCTCATGCATACAAGCATTACAATGTTCCCCAACCCACCTATACACTCGATAAAAAATAGCTTGGTAATTAATCTGAGATACCATCTTTCTATGCCATTACTGTCGTATTATGCCCTTAGTAAGGCTAATTAATCCAGCTGGCTTCCATTTGTCCATTGCTTATTACCAATGAGTGCTTATCAATCCCTGGCTTCCATTTGTCCATCGCTAAACACCAATCAACGTTAATTAACTGTTGGCTCATCTTGTTAACTTTCCACCTTTGTTATCTTATTACTTCTACATGCACATATCTACCCTCTGCATCCCAGCATTTATTCAAATGATGAAGGAGGAAGCATATAATCTGAAAAGTTGTGTTCCTCATAATAAAGAAGTTGACGTCTAAAAATTCTCTCTCTTTTGTGTATCACATCTAAATGACATTCAAACACTTTATACATTTATTATTTTTGTTGATTGTTGGTTTTGGCTCCAGCTGGTTAAATGCATAAAACCAAAATACTGCACTGCCTACCTACTTCTCAGCTGACTTATTACATCCAGCATAGCTAGTTTCAACTTTTCACCAGTACCGGTATATTTCAAATACACTATTACCCAGGACTGAGTGATAATTGCTTAAAGTCAAATCAGCAACTTTGCAGCTATTCATGGCCTGTTACTCAGGTAACGCTACTCTGCGACAACTACATTTGGAATTCTACATCATGTTAATCCGGGCTTTTCATTGGGAAAGGTAACATTCCAACATGCTATTTTTATCACGATGTTCAAAGATCTGCAGACAAATTCTGCAATGCAGTTTACAGGTAGCAGATTCTGGAGAACCACTTTCCCTGCTTGTTACAGTTCCTGTTCCTGGTCTCTGTGTGTTTATTTAATGACGCAGTCAGCAATATTCCAGCTATATGACATCAGCCTGTGCGTGGGTGGGTGAGAGAGTGTGCGTATGTGTGTGTGTGTGTGTGTGCGTGCGCGTGCGTCTGTGTGTGTGTGTGTGTGTGTGAGTGAGTGAGTGAGTGAGTGAGTGAGTGAGTGAGTGAGTGTGAGTGAGTGAGTGAGTGAGTGAGTGAGTGAGTGAGTGAGTGAGTGAGTGAGTGAGAATGCTTTACGTCACATCAGCAATATTTCAGCCATATCATGACGAGTGTGAGTGAGTGAGTATGGTTTTATGCCCCTTTAGCAATATTCCAGCAACATCACGGCAGGTGACACCAGAAAAGGGCTTCACATATCATACCCATGTGGGGAATTGAACCCATGCCTTAAAGCGTGAAGAGCGAACGCTTGGACCACTAGGCCACCCCACCACCCCATCAGCCTGTACATAATCAAGTCTGGACCATACATTTAAGTGATTGATATTGTGATTGATATTGTGATTGATATTGTCAACCAACTCACTGAGTCTGCTCACATGATCCATTAAGTCATCTCTAACGACCAGAATAGGTTGCTAGGGACCAATTCTAACCCAGAATCCACATGGAGGTTCCTGATCTGAAATCTCACCTTGCTTCGGCAATCCAGAGACGTCCCACCTGTCCGAAGCGCGAGTCCTCCTCGTCTTGCAGTGTGTAGTTCTCTCCAAGAATCCTCACTTCCTGGTTGGAGTAGAGAGTTCCGCTCAACACACGACCAAACACATGGAAGCTCGTCCCATCTGACGTCGGGAACAGTTTTGTGGTGTGGATCATCAGGGGGCCCTGAGGAGTAGACACATGTTACTGGCATATATAAGATAGCCACGCGATAAATAGCAAAGAACACTAAAGAACGAAGCGTGGTTTATTTCACAATAAAACATTGTTCTATCATGATGCATTACTGGAGATTCGAATATGCGCTTGCAACTTGATGACGTCGTATATTGGATGACGTTATTTTTGAGAGGGGTGTATCTCGTGAGTTGTTCCCCACAGCTGGGCAACGCAGATAAAAAGCAATGACCAAATGATCGCATCCAAAAGCGGGAGAGATGTGACAACTGGTATTGGGAGAAAAGTTACAGATAATCAACAGGAAGATTTGCCGAGGTCGGATTCTATTGAGTGAGTCATCATTATTAAAATTGGGGTAAATATTTTTAAAGCTTGTACATTTCATCATCAGCCTTAAAGAGGCTGTGCATAATATTGATATCTTATAGAAGAAATAAACGAATCGTGGTCGTTGTTTATTGTACAATAAAACACTGTTGCGCCCCTCATGGTTTATTCTCCCTGCAGTATATTATTGTATGATAAACAAGTCCCACTCGTCATTTATTTCTTAAATACAGGATACTCAGATATACAGGACATACTTATACACACTAGGGCGATACACTCTTGATATCTACGATACTTATCATGATGCACTAATTATGAGTAACTGTTTGTATGGGAAGCTGTCAAACGATCATGCCATAATAAGGGGCCACACACTTAAACATTATTGGGGTTTGTCACTGTATACTCCCCAGGGAGCTGAGAATGAAAACTGATTGCACACTGATCCACTGAGTGGGGTAATAATAGTGAAGCGCTATGAGCATCCACTTAGTGAATGGACTTTGGTGTAATATAAATAGAGGATTCATCACGAGTGTTTTTTAATATGGGAAATATCAACCGAGTCTTAGTTAATCGGTATTTGCCGAGCCTTTGGCGAGGCAAATACCGATTAACGGGACAAGGTTGATATTTCCCATATTAAAAAACACGAGTGATGAATTCTATTTATCATTTTCACATTTTTGCTTCCAAATTAAGGAATAATTGCATTAAACATTAACATCAGCAACTTGTCGAAATCTTACGTATAGATCGTGCGTAGTGATACATGTTTTCCATAGCCATGTAAACCAAAAAAACAATTCGCTGAGAAAAAAAGTTCCTCGGATTATTTTAAACAAAATACTTGAACAGACTTTTGCAGAATAATTGAAACTTTAATAACGGTAACAACAACGATTCTGTGTAATCTGATTATATCTCTGGTGTAACTTCACTTATAATATATAGTTTCAAATCAAACCGCTCGCTCTTCCAGTTATCTAATTTGCACATCCAATTTGCATACTTATGTCATTGGGGTATGACATACATGTTTTTATGTCATAAGCTTATGTCATGGATAAATGCTTAAGTTAAATGATAAATGCACATATTATTATTATTAGTAGTAGTAGTAGTAGTATTTGTAGTATTATTATTATTATTATTATTATTATTATTATTATTATTATTATTACTATTATTATTAGTGGGTGGGACCATGTTGGAACTAGACTAAGGTAAAGCCTGCTTACATCCGGGTCACAGTGGGTCATATCCTCCGCCAGCTCGGAGTCGGCCGGGCCGGTGTAGATGTGTTCGATTTTACTCTTTGCGTTCTTGACGGGGGAGTGGATGTGCTCCACACACATATCCACAAACCCTGGAACAAACGGTCACATGTCAATAGCCATTTTTGTTTCAGGTTAACGACTTTGTAAGCTGCTATAGAATTCCTATCAAGCTCCAAACTCAGATTCCCTGTTACATGTTTTCTAAAGTTGTCCATTACAGATTCGCTGTCACAAGGATTATTTAAACCAGTGCCTAGCTCTTCTGTGCATCCTGACATAGTCTTCAGAAACCAGTGCCTAGCCCATCTATGAATCCAAACTTTGCTGAAACCAGTGCCTAGCACACTTATGAATCCAGATTTTGCTGAAACCAGTGTCTAGCCCATCTATGAATCCAGATTTAGTCTGGTGAAACCAGTGTCTCGCCCATCTATGCCTCCTGACTTAGTCTGGTGAAACCAGTGCCTTGCCAATCTATGAATCCAAACTTTGCTGAAACCAGTGCCTAGCCCATCTATGAATCCAGATTTAGTCTGGTGAAACCAGTGTCTCGCCCATCTATGCCTCCTGACTTAGTCTGGTGAAACCAGTGCCTAGCCAATCTATGAATCCAAACTTTGCTGAAACCAGTGCCTAGCCCATCTATGAATCCAGACTTAGTCTGGTGAAACCAGTGCCTAGCCCATCTATGAATCCAGACTTAGTCTGGTGAAACCAGTGTCTAGCCCATCTATGAATCCAGATTTAGTCTGGTGAAACCAGTGCCTAGCCGATCTATGAATCCAAACTTTGCTGAAACCAGTGCCTAGCACACTTATGAATCCAGATTTTGCTGAAACCAGTGCCTAGCCCATCTATGAATCCAGACTTAGTCTGGTGAAACCAGTGTCTAGCCCATCTATGAATCCAGATTTAGTCTGGTGAAACCAGTGCCTAGCCCATCTATGAATCCCGACTTTGCTGAAACCAGTGTCTTGCCCATCTATGAATCCTGCCTTAGTCTGGTGAAACCAGTGTCTTGCCCATCTACGAATCTAGATTTTGTCTTGTGAAACCAGTGTCTAGCCCATCTATGCCTCCTGACTTAGTCTGGTGAAACCAGTGCCTAGCCCATCTATGAATCCAGTCTTTGCTGAAACCAGTGTCTTGCCCATCTATGAATCCCGACTTTGCTGAAACCAGTGTCTTGCCCATCTATGAATCCTGCCTTAGTCTGGTGAAACCAGTGTCTTGCCCATCTACGAATCTAGATTTAGTCTTGTGAAACCAGTGTCTAGCCCATCTATGCCTCCTGACTTAGTCTGGTGAAACCAGTGTCTTGCCCATCTATGAATCCCGCCTTAGTCTGCTGAAACCGGTGTCTTGCCCATCTACGAATCTAGACTTAGTCTTGTGAAACCAGTGCCTAGCCCATCTATGAATCCAGACTTAGTCCTCCACATTCAACTGTCATCCTGTACCTGTGAAGTCCCCAAAGAAGCGGCGCCCAATCAGCCTCATCAGCGGTTTGATGTTCAGTTTCTGCTCCTCCTTTGTGAGATGGATGCCGAGCTCGTCACACACCCGCGGCAGACACTCATCGACGTCCCCGACAATCTGTCCACAGGAAAACATATATACATGCATCAAGGACATCATCACAAAGTAGACAAATGTGTTTGAGATTACTGAGCTGGGTTTAATGGGGAGATATGCATTCTGTGTCCTCAATATAGAGTCATGCTTCCGGTAGATTTTATTGCATTAAATTGAATTTGTAATTTAATGCGAAGTGATGCAAACATAAAAAAAAACAAACAGTTGTGTCAATCACATTTTTAGGGATTTGATAATCGTTATTAACTAATAAGAATAGAGTAATTTCCAAAGTCGTGGGAAGAGTATTTCTGTCATATCATGGCCTGTCATTTTGTGCAAAGGCCCATCAAATAAAATTAATACCGTATTCGACGTAATAAGCGCCCAGGGCGCTCTCAAAATTAGAAATAGGGGTCTCTTATTAGAATGTTATTTTGGTGAAAGAAAACAGAGTTGAAAGATAAATTTTGTGGTTTATGCTGACAGCCTGAAATGTTTATGTACGACAGATATATTTTTCCAGAATTAAATGCCCATAATTAAGGGTGCATATAACACACGAGTGCATATTATACGCGAATAAATAAGTCTTGTGTACATTGATCAATCGGAAGGGGTGCTAATTGGGATTGTTCACTAGCCAATATCTTAGCAAATATCGCTGTGGGCGCTTATTACGTCAAATACGGTAATCCTAATATACACACAAAGTCCTGGGAAGAGTATTTCTGTCATATCATGGCCTGACATTTTGTGCAAAGGCCCATCAAATAAAATTAATAATCCTAATATACACACAGATGGAAATGGATAAGGGAACACTTAGTTTCAGACACAGTAAAATGATTTGCTATCATGGATTTCCAGCCTTGTCTACCAAATACATGTTGGAAACAATGCACATAAACACATCTCAACATCTGATTCTGACGTGTTGAATCTGTATGTGCTATTTCAAATGTACTGACAGCAAAAGCTTATTTCCCTAATATACTACTCAAAAGAAGTTAAGGATCACCCGATTCTTTCATATTGGTAATGTTAATCTGTCATGGCAAAAGAGAGATTAACTATTGTAATATGAAAGAATTAGGTGATCCTTAACTTCTTTTGAGTAGTATATTTTTCGTTGTTCCCTTATTCGTTTCCATCAGTATAATTACGACACAGTAAATAATCTCTATATCCCCCAAGTACATTCATTTAAACTTTCTACTTAAATCTGTTCGAAACCTCTTTTGTGAGCACAGTTGCACGCACATGGTATGACTTCAATCATTGATACAAATCTGCCAGACTGCAAAGCGGCCATCTTGTAACAAGGCTGATAGCTAAGAAAAGACATATTTACTGACAAGGAATAAACTCATTGATTATTCTTCCCTACCTGGGCAAATATCTTGTACAGGGGTTCAAGGATGAACTCCACGAAGCTTCTCTGGGACGTGTTGTGGGCTGGCTTCTTTGTGAACTTCCTCCTGAAAAAACAAATCAAACAGGTTGTCTCTATGAAGATGACAGGCATAGTTTGTTTGTTGTTTAACACCAGACTTGGAAATATTCCAGCTATATGAAGGCGGTATGTAAATAATCGAGTCTGGACCAGACAATCCAGTGATTGATATCATAAGTATCGATCTACGTAATTGGGATTGATGACATGCATCAACCAAGTCAGCAAGCCTGACCACTCCATCCCATTAGTGGCCTTTTACGACAAGCAGTGGCCTCTTAAGACAAGCATGGGTTGCTGAAGACCTATTCTACCCCGGTTCTTCACTGGTTGATAGACATAGTGACAGAGCTGCACCACATTTTAAGTTTAGAAATACTCCAATCTGATATTCAAACAAGGTTTTTGTCATACTTGAATGAAAATAAGCATTGGATATTTCATTATCACTCACAGCTGTGTTTTCAATAGCCCTTTTTCAAACATACCAATACTTTTCTCATGAAGAAATATTTGTAAACAAAATGGACGTGTGTGTCCGTACTGGTCCTTCTAATGAACTACATCCGATCAGTGGAGGGAGTTTCATGACTTACGTTTTACTGTTGAAATAAATGTCTCCCCAGAGTCTACGAGCAAACTCCTTCTCATTGATGCCACCTGGAACACAAATATAGTGAGATGAAATGGGGTATAATGTGTCGTGTTGAAGATTATTGCACACACCTGTGTGTGTGGTGTTGTGTGGTGTTGTGTGGTGTTGTGTGGTGAGGCATGTGTTGTGTTGTGTGGTGAGGGATGTGTTGTGTGGTGAGGCATGTGTTGTGTTGTGTGGTGAGGCATGTGTTGTGTGGTGTGGTGAGGCATGTGTTGTGTTGTGTGGTGAGGCATGTGTTGTGTTGTGTTGTGTTGTGAGGCATGTGTTGTGTTGTGTGGTGAGGGATGTGTTGTGTTGTGTGGTGAGGCATGTGTTGTGTTGTGTGGTGAGGGATGTGTTGTGTTGTGTGGTGAGGCATGTGTTGTGTTGTGTGGTGAGGCATGTGTTGTGTTGTGTGGTGAGGCATATGTTGTGTTGTGTGGTGAGGCATGTGTTGTGTTGTGTTGTGTGGTGAGGCATATGTTGTGTTGTGTGGTGAGGCATGTGTTGTGTTGTGTGGTGAGGCATGTGTTGTGTTGTGTTGTGTGGTGAGGCATGTGTTGTGTTGTGTTGTGTGGTGAGGCATGTGTTGTGTTGTGTGGTGAGGCATGTGTTGTGTTGTGTGGTGAGGCATGTGTTGTGTTGTGTTGTGTGGTGAGGCATGTGTTGTGTTGTGTGGTGAGGCATGTGTTGTGTGGTGAGGCATATGTTGTGTTGTGTGGTGAGGCATGTGTTGTGTTGTGTGGTGTGGTGAGGCATGTGTTGTGTTGTGTGGTGAGGCATGTGTCTTGTTGTGTGGTGAGGCATGTGTTGTGTTGTGTTGTGTTGTGTTGTGTGGTGTGGTGTGGTGAGGCATGTGTTGTGTGGTGTGGTGTGGTGAGGCATGTGTTGTGTTGTGTTGTGTGGTGAGGCATGTGTTGTGTTGTGTGGTGAGGCATGTGTTGTGTGGTGTGGTGTGGTGAGGCATGTGTTGTGTTGTGTTGTGTGGTGAGGCATGTGTTGTGTTGTGTGGTGAGGCATGTGTTGTGTTGTGTTGTGTGGTGTGGTGAGGCATGTGTTGTGTTGTGTGGTGAGGCATGTGTTGTGTGGTGAGGCATGTGTTGTGTTGTGTTGTTTGGTGAGGCATGTGTTGTGTTGTGTGGTGAGGCATGTGTTGTGTTATGTTGTGTGGTGAGGCATGTGTTGTGTTGTGTTGTGTGGTGAGGCATGTGTTGTGTTGTGTTGTGTGGTGAGGCATGTGTTGTGTTGTGTTGTGTGGTGAGGCATGTGTTGTGTTGTGTTGTTTGGTGAGGCATGTGTTGTGTTGTGTGGTGAGGCATGTGTTGTGTTATGTTGTGTGGTGAGGCATGTGTTGTGTTGTGTTGTGTGGTGAGGCATGTGTTGTGTTGTGTTGTGTGGTGAGGCATGTGTTGTGTTGTGTGGTGAGGCATGTGTTGTATTGTGGTGAGGCTTGTGTTGTGTTGTGTTGTGTGGTGAGGCATGTGTTGTTTTGTGGTGAGGTGTGTGGTGAGGCATGTGTTGTGAGGTGTGTTCTGGTGTGGCGTGGCGTAGCATGGCGTGGCATGGCCACTTATATATCACAATGGCCTGCACTAGATCATCTGCTGCAAGTGAACCAGTGGTTGATTGTTGGTGCACGATGATAAACAATCAGCCAATTCTCAGATTGCAACCAACCACCCAATCCTCATCAGCCAGTAGTTACATCAAGCATGTGATACGTTCTGGATTCTGCACTTGCTGTTTGAACAGTTCTTCAGTCATCCATCGATAATATTCATAAAAATGTGACACGATAGGTAGAACTGTAGGGATAGGGACAGTCCTGAGTTGTGTCCCTATCGACCACAGCGTGTCATGCACAAAGAAGAATAGTTAGGGATTGGTAACTCACCGTACGTGTCGGCGTAGATCTTGCCGAAGGACTTGAGTGTGAAACAGAACCGGTAGTAGGAGCTGGCGAAGCTGACGTTGCCTAGCAGCGGCGAGATCATCAGCCCATCCTCCTCCTCCGAGTACATGCTGCAGGGAGACAACAGCTTGTTTGATTGGTTACCAAAAGAGACAGGTTTCCCCTATTTACAGTTAAGGTGCCCCGAGCCGTCAGGCTCACACACAGGGTACATCACACCATATGCCATTGACATTGAATCTTTCTTACAAACACTAATTCATAAAGGTCTGGAAAATATGTCCGCAGTTTCACCGAGTAAGCAAAACTCGCGCAGACAATGCAAACGAACCAAGTTAATTCCCTTTACCAAATTATACCCATTATTGTTGACCGAGTATTATATCCGTTATTGCGTTATGAGCGTGTTCGTTATATCGATCAATTTTACATGACAAATTATATTGCAAATGGTCGGGACCAAAAGAACAGTTCGTTATATCCGTCAGTTCGTTATAAGCATGTTCGTTATGAACATAGTTTACTGTATATCAATAGGAAAGTTTTTGGTTTGTTTGGTTGTTTGTTTGCTGCACTCTAGTATTCCAGCTATATGAAGGCAGTAAATAATCAAGACCAGACAACCCAGTGGTTGATATCGTGAGCATCGATCCACACCATTAGGGTACCAAGACATACAATCAGCCAAGTCTCAGTGCCTGACCACTCAATCCATTTAGTTACCTCTAGCAACCACCATAGGTTGCTGGGGACCTATACTCCTACCCAGAGTCACCAGTCTTCTATATCATTACCTAGACATCTGGCTAGAGAATAGGTCTTCAGCAACCCATGCTTGTCGTAAGAGGCGACAAATGGGATCTGGTACGTCAGACTTGGTGACTTGGTTGATGTCATCGTATCCCAATTGTGTAGATCGATGCTCATGATGTCAATAACTGGATTGTCTGGTCCATACTTGATTATTTCCAGACAAGTGTCATATAGCTGGAATATTGCTCAGTGTGGTGTTAAAACAACAAACATACAAACAAATATCATTACCAAAATTGAATAAAAAGGACAGTTTGGTTGACGATCAGTCAAAGTCAAATGAAATGAACTGATCTGCAACCCTTACTACAAATACCCCTACTCTGAGGCCTCCTTTAAGAGGGTTCTCCTATTTTCCCCACCTGATGACACCGTTGATCTCGTCCAAGATGTTACGCAGCTTGTAGTAGGCGTCGGTCGGGGGCAGCTTCAGCTCCAGGATGAGGCGGTCGATCTTGTTGATGCAAATGGTGATGGCTAGTTTCTCATGGAGTGCGTGCTTGATAAGACGTTCCGTATTCAACATCACCTGCGGACGGGATGCAGACTCTTAAATCACATGGTTCATTCAAACCTTTAGTCACCAAGCATGCCGAGTAAAAGGCCTGGTCACAATGGTCACTAGGGCTGTTATGATTCACTCGTGTATTCAGTGAATTGAACCGTATCCATTATTGAATTCGTTATTCGTTGCCACTTGAAACGAATATTTATGAATATGCAAGCATGTGCATTTACATAAAAATACCCATAAGAACATATTATATGCATAGATTTCTTCAAAAGACAACACCCTTATACTATTTACTTTGACAGAATTGTGGTCACTGGACATTGTCGCATTTGAGCAGATACTAAAACCTGGATAAGTGCAGTATATAAATGTATAATACATCAATAATTTACAAACCATGTCAAATAATTTATGTTATTGTTTCACTGAATATAACAAATAATACATCAGCTGCTGACTTGTTATTGTATTCGTGAATTAATATTTGTATTTGTTACCCTATATTCGTGAAACGAATCATATTCACCTCATAGTGTATTCGTTGCAGCCCTACTGGGCACAACTTCAAAGACCCAATTTTCCTTTAAAAAGACTTTTCAGGACATTCTTACTCTAAACATTTGCAAGAGTGATACCACTTCAACATACAAATAATCTTATAATGTCCTACACACAAGTAAACACATCAAGGCCCATTTGCACAAAGAATTGTTAATGCTAAGACTATTGTTAGCCTATGTTAAAGTATGGAAGTAACCCTCATCTTAGTGCTAAGATTGCTTTGTGCAAGTGGGCCCAGTGCAGCAAGCATGAAGTACTTTGGACCTAGGTCGAACCCACAAAGTGATTGTAGAGCTATGATTGCCTTAAGTCTGTGTTAAAGTATGGGAGTTACGATCACCTTTGTACCAAGATCGATAAGTGGAACAGGGCCCTTGTCATCACCAGAATCTTGGAAAATACATTTTCCATGATAGCTGGTTCAAGGATATACATGACAAAGAAGTAAATGAAGTGTTGTCATCTTTCATGGGATGCAGTAAAAGAGAATTGCTCAGATCTTAGCAATTTGTCATTGCTATCTGGGAAATGTGTTTGGAAGACAAGGTGTTTTTTAAAATAATCATCTGAACTGTAACCATGTTTTTTTTTATGACATCAACTCACTCCTTCAGCAGCATCAACAAAAATGCAGACACCATCACTGAGCCTCATTGCCGCTGTAGCCTCATCTGAGAAGTTCACATGGCCTGAAGGAAACAATGGAGAAATGTCACAAACTCTGACAACTGTATCTTCCTTTCACAATGTTCACACCCCTTATACTTACTGCACCTCCTCCCTTCTGCCACCCAATACTGACCCCACACCACCCTATACTGACCCCCACACCACCCTATACTGACCCCCACCTCCCAATACTGACCCCCACTCCTCCCAATACAGACCCCCACCTCCCAATACTGACCCCCACCTCCCAATACAGACCCCCGTACCTCCCAATACAGACCCCCGTACCTCCCAATACTGACCCCCTCACCTCCCAATACTGACCCGTACCTCCCAATACTGACCCCCACCTCCCAATACTGACCCCCACCTCCCAATACTGACCCCCACCTCCCAATACTGACCCCAACCTCCCAATACTGACCCCCGTACCTCCCAATACTGCTGACCCCACACCTCCCAATACTGACCTCCACTCCCCCTAATACTGACCCCCACACCTCCCAATACTGACCCCACACCTCCCAATACTGACCCCCGTACCTCAAAATACTGACCCCTGTACCTCCCAATACTGACCCCACAACTCCTAATACTGACCCCCTCACCTCCCAATACTGACCCCCTCACCTCCCAATACTGACCCCCATACCTCCCAATACTGACGCCCACACCTCCCAATATTGACCCCCACTCCTCCCAATACTGACCCCCATACCTCCCAATACAGACCCCTACACCTCCCAATACTGACTCCCACACCTCCTAATACTGACCCCCGTACCTCCCTATACTGACCCCACTCCTCCTAATACTGATCCCCACACCTCCCAATACTGACCCCCGTACCTCCCTATACTGACCCCACTCCTAATACTGATCCCCACACCTCTCAATACTGACCCCCTACACCTCCCAATACTGACCCCTACTCCTAATACTGACACCCACACCTCCCAATACTGACCCCCACACCTCCCAATACTGACACCCACTCCTCCCAATACTGACCCCCTACACCTCCGAATTCTGACCCCTACTCCTCCTAATACTGATCCCCACACCTCCCAATACTGACCCCCACTCCTCCCAATACTGACCCCCTACACCTCCCAATACTGACCCCTACTCCTCCTAATACTGATCCCCACACCTCCCAATACTGACCCCTACTCCTCCTAATACTGACCCCCACTCCTCCCAATACTGACCCCCACTCCTCCCAATACTGACCCCCACTCCTCCCAATACTGACCCCTACTCCTCCCAATACTGACCCCCACTCCTCCCAATACTGACCCCCACTCCTCCCAATACTGACCCCCACTCCTCCCAATACTGACCCCTACTCCTCCTAATACTGACCCCCACTCCTCCCAATACTGACCCCCACTCCTCCCAATACTGATCCCCACACCTCCCATTATTGACCCCTCATACCTCCCAATACAGAACTGAATGCTTCACTCAACAATAAATAAAATATATTATTACTTAACATTCTAGTCGTTGATGATATTTACATCTGTCAAGTGAAAAAATATAATTCTTTCACTCTTCAAAACAATTCATGTTAATCCTTTGAAACAAACGCTAACTCTTGGGAGCTAGATGAATTTGGAGCAACCTAAATATCCCAATATGATCGCTGAATTATCCACCTCCACTGTTGCCACCACTTCTGTTGTCATAGAAACACGAGCTCACCCAGGTAACAAGTTCAACTCTACATTCTACACTGATGGTAGCCATACACACCTGGAGCATCGAAGACGTTGATGAGGTAGGACTTGTTCTTTGTGTCCTGCATCACCACGGTGATGGGCGTCGACTTGATGCTCACACCCCGCTGACAAAATAAACATTTCTTGTTTACAGCATTGTACAAAATTACAGAAATTGTTTTCTCTAAAAGTTTCATGTCTTCATCATGTTCATCTGACTTCTAAATACATTGGACGCAAATGTGTATGAATGTTGGTTGACAAGATAATATATACTTATACACTTTGAAAATGCATATCAAATTTTGGTAATATTTGGCAAAATGGCCACAAAACTCAAATTAAGTCCTTGTGGATATTTTATCATCCCGAGGCAAGCATGTCCACAAGCTTATATCAAAGCCTAGTTTCTGCCCTTGCCACACCATGGCCACTTTTCTTGGCCCAACCTTACGTAGATCACGAGTTGTGCCCCTTGTTATGAAAACGTGATAGCCAATCAGATCGCTGTTCTTATCTCGTATAACTTCACAAAGATGGCAACTACCATAGGCGACGATCTAGTAGATCAGATAACGAAAACATTCGCGATTTCACCTGACACAAAAACATGGGCAATCGTTGGGGGTTTAAAAGATGAAAAAGACATATCCGGGTCAACAAAGACAGGCAGAGGTAAATCACTTTCATACGAATATGTACCAGTCATTTCTGGCCTCATATGAAATGCTATAAATGTTTGAACAGTGCATGTCAGATTTTCTTTACTCAATCCCTACATTACTAGGCAATTGTCATCTACAATCAAAAAAAAGGAAAACACCACACATGCTTTGTTTGTTTGTTTGTTGTTTAACGCTGCATTCGGGAATATTTGAGCTATATGGCGGTGGTCTGTAAATAATCAAGTCTGAACCAGACAATCCAGTGATTAATATCATGAGCATCGATCCACGCAATTGGGATCTATGACATGCCTCAACCAAGTCAGCGAGCCTGACCACCCGATCCCATAAGTCGCCTCTTACAAGCATAGTCGCCTTTTACAGCAAGCATGGGTTGCTGAAGACCTATTCTACCCCGGATCTTCACGGATCACACATACTTAGTAGTCCATCTGCTGTCTGTACACTTGTCATCCTAACACCCCTTGTCATGTCTGGGACACCCCTGATTCATCACAGATTCTCCAGGACCTTTCACATGACGCTTCTTGTTATTGTTAATGTGTCGTAACAGTAGAACAAGAAACAGAATTTCGGAAGTGTCAATAACATCGAGTGACAGAAACTCGGGAATGTTCACATTGTTCCAGTTCCACATTGCTGATGTTTAGGCCCACAGATCCATACATTAAGAATGATATTAACAAATAAACTGACAACTAGTTATTTAAATTATAAATGCATAATCCATACCTCCTGTTCTGTGAAGAGAGTGTCAGTGTATCGCATCTGGAACAGAGAAAGACATGGATCAGTTCGAAGTCCTGCTTCACCTCAGGTGCAGCTAACATGCTTCTACCCTGAAAAGTCCCCCGCAAAGATTCAGGTGGTGAGGTGAGGTGAGGTGAGGTGAGGTGAGGTGAGGTGAGGTGAAATGGGGTTTAACGTCGCGTCCAAGATTATTACACATATATAACATTGTGCATGTACGTGTGTGTGTTTGTGTGGCTGCTTGTACTAGTCCGGACTGATGCCGATTTATAGCTCACTGAGATACCATGCCGCAGTTTAACATGAATACCCCACTCAGACACAGTATACTGACTTCGATCCGACCAGTCCTTGTTTTAGCCCCTTAATGCCGAGCGCCAGACAGGGTAACAAAAAGTACTATCTTTTAACGTCCTTTGGTATGACGTGGCCGGGGATCGAACCCCGGACCTTCCGCTCTCCGGGCGGACGCTCTACCACTAGACCATGGAGGCGGTGTTCAAAGATTCAGGATAGAGGTGATATGATGCATCAGTTTCATGCCATCATATCCTTGAAGATCTGGGTCAGAATAGGTCTCAAGCAACCCACGCTTGTCGTAAGAGGCGACTCACGGGATCTGGTGGTCAGACTCGCTGACTAGGTTGATGCATGTCATTGTATCCCAATGTTGTAGATTGATGTTCAGGATTCCAATCTCTTGATTGTTTGGTCTAAACTCAATTTTTTACAGACCACCATCATATCTACAGCTTAGATATTGCTGATTGCGGCATTAAACAAACAAACACTGAATGATACCATTCAAGACAATATGTCTGTTCTTTAACACTGCACTCAGCAATATTCCAGCTATATGACGGCGGTCTGTAAATAATCGAGTCTGGATCGAACAATCCAGTGACTGACATCAGAGCATCGAATCATGCAATTGGGATACGATGACATGCATCAACCAAGTGAGACAGCCTGACAACCCGATCTCGTTAGTCGCCTCTTACATCAAGCACTGTCGCCTCTGATGACAAGCATGGGTTGCTGAAGACCTATTCTAACCCAAGAGTGAGTCAGGGTGTGGGCTTCCCACCCATTTGAACGATATTACAGGTATATATCGTGATGTGATATTGTGAGATGAGGTGAGGTGATTATTGTACTTATATAGCGACGTGCATGTACGTGTGTGTGTTTGTGTGGCTGCTTGTACTAGTCCGGACTGATGCCGATTTATAGTGCTAGCACACTGAGATACCATGCCGCAGTTTAACATGAATATCCCACTCAGACACAGTATACTGACTCCGAGCCGACCAGTCCTTGTTTTAGCCCCTTAATGCCGAGCACCACACAGGGTAACAACAAGTACCATCTTTTAACGTCTTTTGGTATGACACGGGGTCAAACCCCGGACCTTCTGCTCTTTGGGCGGACGCTCTACCACTAGACCATTGAGGCTTTTGTGAGATGAAAGCCTTAAGTTACACTGGTGCTTTCAGCATGGCGATCAGGGGCAGATGGTGACAGATAAAGGATCATAATCTAGACAAGTCAGCAGATCCTTGCACATCAAAGGGACACAACTCTGCACAACTTGCTAGAGATATTTGGCCAAAGAATCCAGGTTAGTAGAATTAAAAAAGTCTATTTTCAAATAATTATTTTCTCAAAATGTTAGGTACAAGGGTCAAATAAAAAGTGGGGTCAGGAGGAATAGGGATTCGTCATAATTTGGTATGTTAAGTTTTGAAGATAAATTTTCAACAGATATAAATTATAGTATCTTACATAATTCATTTATATTATAGCAACAGTAGATGAGGTTTTTTAAACATTTTACTTATTTCTGGTCGGCTGAACATAAAAGCCAGAGACTTTCATTTTATAGAATTAAACAAAATCACATTTCAAATTTTGGGAATCCATGGATTGGTAAACACCAAGTCTAAAACACAGTTTGGCCTAAAGGTGCCAATTGGGGCGCGGGTGGCCCAGTCGTCTAAGGCGCCGTGATTCATTGTGCAGAGAGAAACCTATGATTGTAGGTTCGAATCCCTGTTTGGCCCGATTATGTTTCTAGGTTTGTCGGCACCATACCCGTGCTCGTGGATTTCACCGAAGTGGTAAACGTCTGAGACCTGCATCACTTCGGGCTTTCCTCCCACATTAAGCTCACACGCCGCGATGTAACTGGAATACTGTTAAAAGCGGCGTTAAACCCAACTCACTCACTCACTAAAGGTGCTGAACAACTTACATCCTTGTCTGCCCGGCCCTGGATGTCGGGGTGAGTCTGCTCCAGGAGGCAGTCGACGAAGGATGTCTGGAGACAGGAAGGCATCACATTACCACACACAATCCTTCATGACAACTTACATACATGCACATACAACGCGGTGTTTGAGCAGTCAAACCGATACATAAGTACTGTAAGAATTATATGGAACATTTTCTATTCAGTCTGTACCATATGTTAACAGATAATTGAAACAAATTTGAAGTAATATTCAGAATACAAATTATAGTATTTTCATTTTTATTTTTAAACTTTTGAAATCACAAATAAATGGTAAAAACTGGATTTGTTTTTGAGAAGACAAGGAAACAAGAGATTCTTAGAACCATTGTGTACAAACAGCTCCCAGACTAGAAGAACGTAAGAAGTTCCCAGACTACAAGAGCACTAGTAGCACCCAGACTTCAAGAGCATAAACACAGAGCTACAGATAAGCTGCGTATTTGCATAAAATACTCCCCAAAAATATTCAAAACCCAATTACTTTCAATCATCTTGCGTACAAAAATGCGTGCATTAAAGGAAAAACTCAAATTAATATAAACAGCACGGGTAAATACCAAATGAAGCTTTTTTTAGCATACAGAGCTACTTTCTGAAACACAAGTATGAGCTAATTTACTCTCTGAGTCAAGCCTATATATTTAGAACAGTTATATACATCTAAAATATTATTTCGTTTTATTTTAAATGTTAAAATGTTCACTAATTTTGGGAAAACCCCAATAGAGTGATGAAGGGATGAGTGAAATAATATTGGTTACCCAATGAAAAATATTATAACCCAATTAAAATAGAAACTCTAGAGTAAAAACTCAATTGCTCATAAGTTATCTGGAGATCTGATAAACAGCTCCCAGATGAGACAAGCATAAAGAGCTCCCAGACAAGAAGAGCATAAAGAGCTCCCAGACTAGAAGAGCATAAACAGCTCCCAGATGAGACGAGCATAAAGAGCTCCAAGACTTCAAGAGCATAAACAGCTCCCAGGCTAGAAGAGCATAAACAACTCCCAGATGAGACAAGCATAAAGAGCTCCTCGACTTCAAGAGCATAAACAACTCCCAGACTTCAAGAGCATAAACAGCTCCCAGACTAAAAGAGCATAAACAGCTCCAAGACTTCAAGAGCATAAACAGCTCCCAGGCTAGAAGAGCATAAACAGCTCCCAGACTAGAAGAGCATAAACAGCTCCCAGGCTAGAAGAGCATAAACAGCTCCTAGACTAGAAGAGCATAAACAGCTCTCAGACTAGAAGAGCATAAACAGCTCCACGACTAGAAGAGCATAAACAGCTCCCAGACCAGAAGAGCATAAACAGCTCCCAGACTTCAAGAGCATAAACAACTCCCAGGCTAGAAGAGAATAAACAGCTCCCAGACTTCAAGGGCATACACAGCTGCCAGCCAACAAGAGCATTAGCTGCTCCCAGACAGCATGTATAAGCTACTCCCACACTACAAGAGCATCCGCAGCGTTCTTACCTTGCCATGATGGAGATGTCCACAAAGTGTGACATTTCGTATCAGCTCTGGAGAGTCCATTAAATCAGCAAGAAACCTACAATCATACAACAATGCTGTAATGGGACAATAATCAAAGACACCTCAACTAACATGCGTTCACGGATATCAACATTTTCACTTTAAGTTCATCTAGGCATGAATTCTCAACATACACACACTGTCTAGCTGCTCATGAAAATACTAGATACAAATCCATTCCCTGACTTACTCCATATTGTATGTAGTTTCTGGAAGATCTTGCTCGGCCATGGAAAACTTTTTCTTTTTCACCGGCGCTATGATGGGTTCTGTTAAGGGCTGTGTGTCTTCCTCTTGTACTATAGTCTGACAACAGGGACAATATCAGACATTGTATCATGCAGTGAGAGGTGATGAGACCTTTCTGTCACAAAATAACACATTTTTTAATGCATAGTATTCAGCTCTAGATCAGGATCAGTTGAGAAAGTTAAAACACACTGCGAATCCAAATTTATTACCTGACCCCCGACCCGACCCAGATACCCACTGCAGGTGGATACCCACTCAAGAGATGGGGTAGAAAATGTCAGATTGGCAATTGTTTTCCAGAGCCCTGATTAGAAAATATTTCAATATAAATATAATAGGATCAGATCATGCATACACTAAAGTTGACTGAAGCTTCATCTTTATTCAAACATATCAAGTAGAAGGAATGCATGCAAAGTCAAAAAGAAATGCAGACTTTTGCGACTGGTAGTGCAACCATGGAGTTTTGTTATTGTCATTAAACAATATATCACGTGATTTACCATGTGTCTGGGAAGTCCTGAGGGTACCCGGGTCTTACTTAGGACCCACCCAACCTGAGTATCTGAATTAACCATATTTTTAGGTATTTTTGGTCCGACTGTTAAACACAACTACAGCGAAGTACACCCACCTCCACATCCGGCCCGTACACCTCCTCCGCGGTGGGGTAGTACTTCTTGTCCTCGTGCAGCACCACGGCCATCTCCGGCTGGTCATCCATGTCATCATGATCCATGTCTTCATCATCCTGGACAAACAATCATCATCATCATCATCATCATCATCATCATCATCATACTGCTTCTGTTCTCTGACATATACTTACTGCCAAAAGAAACGTGAACTATAGAAACATATAGAGAAGTATGTATGTTAAGATGAAATGTTTCCAATGTGTACCAATTAATGACAAAATGAACGCTCAGTTGAGTGTTACCACAGAGTGTCATTATTCTTATCACGATATGCTTCGAAACTTTACACGCTAATCCTGCACAAGACAAACTGTGCATCTCAAGTCATGGATCTATGACGTCACATGTGATGCGTTCATGATGTGCATCAAAGCAGTATAATATCTCTTGAATATGAGTAAGTCTTCATATATTAACCAACATGTATGGTATTCACTTTTCTATTGAGTATATATATTATATTTTCGGTGAGTATATATTACACATTCTACCATGAATTTGGAATTTACTCGATTCTGATTGGTCAATCAGAGGCTATTAAATCACAATAAACCCCCTCTCATTGAAACAGCTGGTTTGCAGCCGCATCACCGCGGAAGCTAATATTCATAGAATAGTACTATTTTCAGTCATTGTCGGTAGGCATATTTAAATAATTATATCTACAATTACAGGTTACAAAATGCACAGATGCGGTTACGACAATATTCAAAGGATGTGTGGCAATACATTTCGTGCAGAAAAACACGACAGAAATCAACAAAGGGAATGTAATTACGTTTTGGAGACAACAGAGGGCTTGGAATTTTGGCGCTTTTCTATATACGACTGTGACGTCATATCTTTTGCGTCACAATGAGCGACATGATGTCATAATGGTGACGCGCGAGTAGAGCGAAAGCCTTGCAAAGCTTGCTTTGTTTTCTTTAGGGATATCCACCTCATCATGCTCATGTTAGCTTACCAAGTTGTCGTGCTTATATGCTTTCAATGCCTGTCATATGTTCGAGTGAAGTATTACGGTGTAAACAAACTGTTTGAGTATATACGGCACCATATTTTATTCGGTGATTCCGTTATTCAGATCGATAACCCACTCAAAACACTGAACTCAACCCATGCCGCTTCATTTTCGCATTTTATTTAGTCATGGTAGAATGGAGATAAACATACTGTGTTTTCAATGTAGAGCTAGGTTACCTGTAGATTTAACCGTGCTAAATTTAACATTTGAAGCCTCACGCTGCGCATTCGGTTCCAAATTCAATTTAGCGGGGTAAAATTGGAAGTTAAAGATGTTGGTCCCTACGCCTAGCAAAAGGTTGCTTTGATACATATCGTGTATTGCTGTGTAGAAAGCGAGTTTTTCTTATCTAGAATTAAGGTGCTTTCTTATACACAGGGTTGAAGAGTTTTGATATTTTTTTCCCCTAACACAAAGACATTACTGTGAGCACGTAACAACGGAAATACCATGTCAACAAATCCTAATCATGCAATTACAATGTCTGGTTATAAAAAGAGTTCATAATATATCTGGACTTACGTTTGTAATCTATTTTATTAATTTTATACAAAATTTCATTCAATACTGTTAATATTCATTTTGGCGAAATTGTATGTGAAGTGATCGGAAGATCGCACAACTCACCGTTATTTACGGCAACCATGGTCATATTACCACTATTGACGCCTTGAAACCAACATTAGTGGTTAGAGAATAATTACATATATCATAAATGCCATACTTTGACTCGCAAAAAGACATATTTGTTGTAGTTTGACTATTATATGTCAACATAAAGATTTCACTATTGCGAGCATGGGAACATAGACGGTGATTGGTCAAATTGTTCCATACGACAAAATATCTGGTAATAGCGATCAGCTCTACCAAAGTGCTATGCTTATTGTTCTTAAGTTATTTGAAACATATATATAGAAAAATACTACTAAATGCCATGATATTGGAATAAATTATTCTTGATAAACTAATAGTTTCAAATACAATCCTTTCCATCAATGTATCAAAATTCTTTAAAGTTATATTATTAAGTAATTATTAAACAAATCCCCAGTAGATTCCAAGGAACGTGTATAGAGTTGATTGCTACTTCATGCTTAGTTTACGAGAAAATACACATGTTCATCTTAATCTCCACAACAGGAAATACAATTTATTCGGTAAATCATCATGTCTAGCGTTTTTTTTTATCTCAGATTTTAAATTTGTATTGACCAAGTTTAATTGTTATGATCTGTTCGTTTCCCTGAATACGCTGAAGAGATACGATGTAATTATTTTCTGCTGAAGACAAACATGTTTTTATTGCAAGGGATTGTGTATGCGCTGGTGATGTGCTTCATTCCGATTCGCTTTACAGATGGGGTAAATAAATTAGCATCGATTTTAAAGGCTTGTACAGGGGGGTCGTCTTATACGTGGGGTATGCATCTATGTTATGATCCAGTATATATGTTCCTTAACTTTGTTGTTCAGTTAATAAATGTTTATCGTGTTGTTACCAGCCGAAAAGTAACTCACATTCTAAAAAGATTAAATGCAATGTTAATAAAGTACAGATTTTCACCAATCGGCCAGTGCTGTTTCATTTGGGTTATTTGTTCTCTTCATTGTCTGGACACTTCACTACAGTACTGTAACAGGACGGGGTACTCTGGTTAGGTCAAGGATGTAGGGATGACTATTGGTCTGGACATCACTATTGCGATAATTATTGATATTGAAAGAAACTATTGCGATAACTATTGATATTGCAAGCAACTATTGCGACAAATATCGATAGTTTTCAGTGTACCATTTTAGATGGATTTTAGAGTTTAACCTTGGAACTGAAGTTTCCTTTGAATAAAAAGTAAAGTTTGAGATATGACTGATTTGTTTTTTCTTTACCCTAATAATTTCAGAAAAAGAAACTTCCACATTACCATGTGTAAATTGCTACCATTCATGATCAAAAGAAACACAAATTTGAACAGCGTTGCATGTATTTTATTGATATGGTAAATACAATCGAAACTATCAACATTCCTAAATGAAATTGATACTATTGATTGGAAACTGATTTAACAATCGATTTATTGACTTTAAGTGCTTACTAATAGCAATATATTGATATTTTGATTTATTGGGACACCCCTACAAGGATGTCTGCTGGTCTATAGCAAGAGCCTTTGTTTAAGTTGTGCTAAGATTTTGAAAAACTAACTATCAGTGGTTTACACCATTGGACAAATATAGTCCTGAGCTCATTTTGAATTCATGGATTATGTAACATAACTCGATTTTTTATTTATGAAAACAACAAGTCCCTCTTTATTAAACTAATCTCAGGCTAACGGACAAGTGGTCGTGTCTATCCAAACAGACTAAAAAGAAGGGAGATTGTGTGCAGTTGATTGTGTAAGGCAGCTGAAAAGGGTTTAGTTTACAAAATAGAATACAAACTGCAGGTCAAAATCGTCTACTCAAAGACATCTAAACGTGAATGTAAATGAAGTGAGTGAATGAGTATGGTTTTATGCCACTCTTAGCCATATTCCAGCAATATCACAGCAGGGGACACCGGAAAATGGGCTTCACACATTGTACCCATGTTTGGAATCGAACCTGTGTCTTCGGCGTGACGAGCCAACGCTTTACCCACTAGGCTACCCCACTGCGCCAAATGTCAATGAACATGTGATGAAAGGGATTTATCTAGGATTTCACACAAAGTGCCCCTGGCAGCCAAATTGGGAAAACATTTTTATTTTGTTCAAAATTGGGATTTTTTTAAGTTTGTCTTTCCTTAATTTCAACATTATAAGGGACAAAGTTTCACTTTCAAGTTTCACTGGTGTTAACATGACGAACACCTTCAACATGAACTCCTTTTTGTTATGTTGTTCACAAATACTGTCCACTCACATCTCTGTCCATGTATTCATCGTCATCACGATCATCTTCCTCATCATCGTCATCATCATCACTATCCAGTTCAGGGCCAATATAGTTGCCAAACTCATCATACAAATCAGCATCCATCTTGGAGATGTTTCACGGAAACTGAAACAATTGATTCACAAAGTAATGAACAGGTTAGTCATATATATACATGTCAGGGATATTTAAAAAGTCTACAACTGTATAGACTAAACATGCTGAATGCAATTATTTAACTTGATTGGAGCCAAATGCAAAGTGTTGAAGACAACAATGTGTAATTCAAAATATCAACTGATCAAATACCATTACAGAGCTACAGAAAAGCAGTGTATCTGCGTAAATCCATAGTACTTTGTTATGATTCACATAACAGTCATACAATCCTAACGTACAATCATGACATTACCAAATATTTTCTCAAAGTTTTGTGTTCCTGAGGAGCATTAATCAACAAAAACAAATTAATTCTTATAATACTTTGGTTGGGTCTGACATGTACATTGAAACCCTTCCAGATTCAGAAATATCCTGATTAACGGATCACTGTTTCAGAGTGCTTTGTAGCCTACAGTGTTGTATACATTATGTGTAGGAGAGAATCCACCAGACAAAATATACTGTCCAGACTTACAAAGTTCACAGATTGTGGTTAGAGATATACTGATTGAAGTGTAATTCTTCAGAAGACTAGCTAGCCCCAATCTGCAAATACTCCTTCACAGCGATAGAAACTAACATTTTTAGTCCACTAGTCCTTATAATGAAAACATATAGCAAAACCCTTAAAAAGGGCAAATTTCTACTAGTCCTTATGATACCTTAACTATTGAGCAGTTTGCCAAGGACTACACGACCAGTGCCAATTTCTAACGCTGCTTCATGTTCAACACAAGTTGAACACATTTAGAAGTACTGGCTGGGATAATTAACGTTTACAGTTATATTACACCTGTTAAACCATGTTAATAAGACATTCCAAAGATAACATGTTCATCAGTTTTGGGTTTTATGTTTTTTAGCAGCAGTTGTGCAGAGAAATCTCAACAGGGATCCGAGAAACCAATCTAACTAGACTAATGTTTAGTCTAAGCAAGATTCAGCCAGTTCATTTCATTTGTTCTGTTGATCGAAAACCGCACATGCAGATATATCTTTGTTCATATTAAAATTGGAAACCAAACAACCGTGCCTTCTAATAGCACATGGGACGGGTGCATATGGACATACTATGTAAGTTTTCCAAATGACGTATTAAAAAGTACATCAAACCTATATGTGTTTTTGAAGATCGGCCGGCTTTTCCAAAACAAGCGTGGGAAAGAACCGGAAGTCGTAGTTGAATCGTATTTACAAGGGTATACCAACCGATAAAATGTATTGGAAATGTATTTGTTGTAACAACTATCGAATTCAGTTCCATTTACAATTCTGACAGACTTCTTTCATATGACCAAAATCTGTATTTTTACTTGTGTTATGAATATTATTCATTTTTGCCAAGTATAATCACTCCTGTTTTATCACGTAGTATGTTGTAATCGACTGTATTTGCGAGAGTCCACACTCTGTTCCAAAAACAATGTTCTAGCATCGTTACACATGAAAGCAATAACAGTTTACAGTTCATACAACAAACTTTACCAAGTCGTATATTCGAGACATATACATACAACAAACTTTACCAAGTCGTTATTCGAGACACAATGGAACAATTTCTGTTCCTTGATATCAACTGAATCACACGTATTTCTCGATCAAGTAACTGTTCGCGGAACGAAAATGTCCGTAAAAACACGGTCGAAATGGCGACTTCCACACTGACACACTGCTGTGGTGATACGAAGAGTCGCTAGGAACACCACACGGCTTTGAACCGTTGAGTTAATGTTAAATTGCAACTAGTTACACGGGATCCCATCTTCTCTACTGTCGTGAAGGCGTGTCAATGGATGTACAGTGAGTAATCACTATTCACAGACGCCGTGGACAATATCCAAAATTAAGATTTATTAATTCTGTGTTGATATGATCATACACCCCTGTGTCATCATGCATTGTTCGGTTTATAACTTTATAACAGATGTAATAAAGGTTGTTCAGTCTCTAAGTACTTGACAAAAGCTGCTAAGTTATTTCTGATGTTATTTTCTTGATGATGGTGTCATGGAGTTGGAGTAGGATAGGGTTCCATTGCTGTTTCTCTTGTTTGAGGTTGATTATTTTATTATTCTAAAACTAGTTTTACAATTAGAATCTGTGATATTTTGCTAGTTGTTATACTGTCCTTCGACGACAGGTCTTAAGATATTATACAAATGCATAACTTGCTCAAGTCACGATATGGCTGAAACAATGCCGATTTGACTTTAAATATTAACTCACTCACTCACTCTTGTTTGAGGTAATTGTAATATACAATATTTAAGAAATAAATGGCGAGTGGGAATTGCACTATAATATCAGCATAAGTGTAGACTTGTACAAGTTGCTACACACACACATGCATGCAATAAGGCACAGTTTCTTGGCACTATTATTGTTGCAGTCAATGTCAATTAAATGAGGTATGTTGTGGGCTGGGACGGGTAACTCGGGTACCCGGGTTGGGAGGGTACTGAGTAGGACCCGGGTACCCACAGGACTACCCGTATCAGTGGCTAGTCAGGTGATATATTGTTTAATGACAAAAATTATCTGGAACTCTATGGTTACACTACAAGTCACCAATGTTCGCATTTTTTTCTCCCTATGCACCCATTCCTTCTGATTTTTCAATTGGTTGAATAAAGATATAACTTATTTCAACCTGGGTGTATGAATGACATGTATCTAAATACATGTATCTAAATACGTTCTGCCAGGGCTATGCTATAAATGTTCCCTTTCAGACATTTTGAGACATCTCAGTGGGTACCTGGGTAGGGTCGGGTAATAGGGGGCTGGGTACCCGGCAATTCTGTACCTATCTCCTGAGACCTACAGTGGGTACCCGGGTAGGGTCGGGTAATAGGGGGCTGGGTACCCGGCAATTCTGTACGTATCTCCTGAGACCTACAGTGGGTACCCGGGTAGGGTCGGGCAATAGGGGTGTGGGTACCCGGCAATTCTGTACCTATCTCCTGAGACCTACAGTGGGTACCCGGGTAGGGTCGGGCAATAGGGGGTTGGGTACCCGGGTAGTAAATTTGGACTCATCCCAGCCCTAGTATGTCGTATCGTAAGTTGGTACACATGTATTTTGGTGCCTGTGGTTAAGAAGTAACAGGATGTTGCCAAACTTGCTAATGGCACAATAGGGGCGGTTGGGTAGCCTAGTGGTTAAAGCGTTCGCTCGCCACGCCGAAGACCCTGGTTCGATTCCTGACATGGGTACAAATTGTGAAGCCCATTTCTGGTGTCCCCCGCCGTGATATTGCTGGAATATTGCTAAAAGCGGCGTAAAACCATACTCACTCACTCACTAATGACACAATAATTACCCAGTGAAATCATACAGATTATTATTAGTGAGCCTTCAGTTATTGTTATTCTCAGGACAAAATCACTTCAGTCGTTTTCAACAATAAACTATTGTATGACTGTTATAGTTTTGTAATAAATGGAATATGCTTTATTGAAAAAAAAAGAAAAACATTATAATGTCCTTGTCGCTGTCTGCCTTGTGAATGTTGATTTCAGTGTGTCTGCTGTCATTATGAAACAATCGCCGCTGTGTTTCAGTCCACCATGCCTCGCACCAAGATGAAGCTGAAGGAACTGGAGAGCCACCTGCAGGATGTGGATGTGTTTGAAAAACCGAAAGTTGTCCTGGAGCAGTATCCTACCACCCCACATATTGCAGGTACACAGAACACTTCTGTGACTACTACCTCATGTATTGCAGCGAGACAGACCATAATGCATTGCACTAGGGCTGGGACGGGTAACTCGTTTACCCGGGTCGGGTGGGTACTGAGTAGGACCCGGGTACCCACAGGACTACCCGGACCCGTGGTTAGTCAGGTGATATATTGTTTCATGACAAAAAATCACTATATAACTACATGGTTACATGACAATTTTAAGTCTCCAATGTTCGCATTTCTTCATGACTATGAACACGTTCCTTCTGACTTAAATATGTTTTAACAAAGCTAAAACTTTAGTCAGCTTCAGTGCATGACCACATCGTTGTATACATGCATCTAAAAACATTCTGCCAGAGCTACTGTCAAACGTTTACCAATCGGACATTTTGTACCTATCTCTTGACACCAACCGTGGGTACCCGGGTAGGGTCGGGTAATAGGGGTGTGGGTACCCGGGTAGTAAATTTTGGACCCTACATTGCACCTTTCGTTTTCATTGTATTAAAACTTGACTTAAAGTTAGAGTATTGTGATACAAGTTGTATCATGAAAGCAGATGATACCCATATCAGTAGACATCTTCCCTAGGCAAGGGAGTTAACTGACAATAGAAGTCAAGTTTCCACCCTTGCCAAACTAGGCTGGAATTCCGGAGTTATAATTTGGCTGGACTAAAGAGTCTATACATAGTCCAATCAAAATAGGGTAACAAACTAGACATCTGGTTCGTAACAACATGGATTTCAACGTGCAGATCTAGGTTGATTGCAGTGTTTGCAAAGTGTGTGTACCGTCAACTGGGCATTCACAGATATTTTTCAAATCAATTGATATTTCATATCAAGGTGTTCAAGTGATTTGTTGCACTTCGCAAGGTAAGACCTTGACTATTGATCAGATCGTCTTGACTGGGCGCCGCCGAATGCAGATGATATGAGAGGTGGAATCTGAATGGTCAGTAGGAGGGACGTAGAAGAGACATTACTCATAATGGCCACTGGTGGCACTACAATAGAGCCATGGTCGCTAGCTTCGACGTGTACACTTTCAAGTGTATCCAGTCCAGAATGACATATTGACATGTTTTAAGTGTTCGAAAATAGGGTATGTGAAAATAGGAAGGCGGATGCCTCGATGCACACGCGACCCGCCAGTCATGACCTTGGCTGGATTGTGATCCCTCTCGGCAGTGGATGATTTTACATAGCGCTTTAATTACTTTCGCAGAGGTCGCAGGTGACAGCACAGCCACGGTGATTGAATTAAGTAGTATCAAGCACTTCACTGAGTACTGCTAACCGAAACCCGTCTCGCATACACGTTACCTCTGCGACTGATGAAATTCCAGCCTAGTTTGGCAAGGGTGGGTACTGGACTTTTACAGTCAGTTAACTCCCTTGCCTCAGGAAGATGATCAATAGATGGGGAGAGGTGTTCTGATGCATCAGTGTCTATTACATGCCATTAACAGTACTGCTGATTATTTTGTGCAGGTTGTATGCTACATACAATTCACACCCGATATGATGACATCGAGGACAAGCTGATAGCAGACCTGGGAGTAGGCTGTGGAGTACTCAGCATTGGGGCGGTCATGTTGGGAGCAGGGTGAGTGAGGCAGTGGTCATGTTGGGAGCAGGGTGAGTGAGGCAGTGGTCATGTTGGGAGCAGGGTGAGTGAGGCAATGGCCATGCAGGGTGCAGGGTGAGTGAGGTAGTGGTGATGTTGGTTACAGGGTGAGTGAGGTAGTGGTCATGTTGGGTGCAGGGTGAGTGAGGCAGTGGTGATGTTGGGTGCAGGGTGAGTGAGGCAGTGGTCATGTTTGGTGCAGGGTTAGTGAGGCAGTGGTCATGTTGGGTGCAGGGTGAGTAAGGCAGTGGCTATGCAGGGTGCAGGGTGAGTGAGGCAGTAGTCATGTTGGGTGCAGGGTGAGTGGGGCGGTAGCCATGTTGGGTGCAGGGTGAGTGAGGCAGTAGTCATGTTGGGTGCAGGGTGAGTGAGGTAGTGGTGATGGTGGGTGCAGGGTGAGTGAGGCAGTGGTCATGTTGGGTGCAGGGTGAGTGAGGCAGTGGTCATGTTGGGTGCAGGGTGAGTGAGGCAGTGGCTATGCAGGGTGCAGGGTGAGTGAGGCAGTAGTCATGTTGGGTGCAGGGTGAGTGAGGCATTGGTGATGTTGGGTGCAGGGTGAGTGAGGCAGTGGTCATGTTGGGTGCAGGGTGAGTGAGGCAGTGGTCATGTTGGGTGCAGGGTGAGTGAGGTAGTGGTGATGGTGGGTGCAGGGTGAGTGAGGCAGTGGTCATGTTGGGTGCAGGGTGAGTGAGGCAGTGGTCATGTTGGGTGCAGGGTGAGTGAGGCAGTGGCTATGCAGGGTGCAGGGTGAGTGGGGCAGTGGTCATGTTGGGTGCAGGGTGAGTGAGGCAGTGGTCATGTTGGGTGCAGGGTGAGTGAGGCATTGGTGATGTTGGGTGCAGGGTGAGTGAGGCAGTGGTCATGTTGGGTGCAGGGTGAGTGAGGCAGTGGTCATGTTGGGTGCAGGGTGAGTGAGGCAGTGGCTATGCAGGGTGCAGGGTGAGTGAGGCAGTGGTCATGTTGGGTGCAGGGTGAATGAGGCAGTGGTCATGTTGGGTGCAGGGTGAGTGAGGCAGCTGTCATGTTGAGCACAGGGTGAGTGGGGCAGTGGTCATGATGAGCGCAGGGTGAGTGAGGCAGTGGTTGTGTTGAGCGCAGTGTGAGTGAGGCAGTGGTCATGTTTGGTGAGTGAGGCAGTGGTCATGTTGGGTGCAGGGTGAGTGAGGCAGTGGTCATGTTGTGTGCAGGATGAGTGTGGTGGTAGTCATGGTGGGTGCCGGTCGAGTGAGGCAGTGGTCATGTTGGGTACAGGGTGAGTGAGGCAGTGGTCATGTTGGGTGCAGGGTGAGTGAGGCAGTGGTCATGTTGGATGCAGGGTGCAGGTTGAGTGAGGCAGTGGTCATGTTGAGTGCAGGGTGAGTGAGGCAGTGGTCATGTTTGGTGCAGGGTGAGTGAGGCAGTGGTTATGTTGGGTGCAGGGTGAGTGAGGCAGTGGTCATGTTGGGTGCAGGATGAGTGAGGCAGTAGTCATGCAGGGTGCAGGGTGAGTGAGGCAGTGGTCAAGTTGAGCGCAGGGTGAGTGAGGCAGTGGTCATGTTGAGCGCACGGTGAGTGAGGCAGTGGTCATGTTGGATGCAGGGTTATTAGGTATATACAAATCTTAGAACTAGATTCCTTTTCCTTAATATCTGACGACTTCCGTAAGACGTAACCACCAACCTTCACTCACGCTTGTGTCTCTCCCCAATAGGTCTGTCGTGGGTATTGACGTTGATGATGATGCTCTACAAGTGTGTCAGCAAAATGTGGAGGAATTTGAGATAGACAACCTTGACCTGATTCAACAAGACATCAGATCACTGACGAAGAACACATGTAACCTCCACAAGAAGTTTGACACTGTCATAATGAACCCACCCTTCGGGACCAAGCACAATGCAGGTGAGAATGCACGGTATATAGGTAGACCGCAGTTCTGCAATACGCTTTATAAATGATATGTATTGCAATAGTTAATCGCCTAATTGTCCTGTCACTCACTCACTCACTCACTCACTCACTCACCCAACAATTCATTCACACACACACACATACACCCCCCCGAAAATCACCCACCCACTCACCCACTCACTCACCCCCAAAACCAACCACCCACTTATTCACTCTCTCACTCCTTACAGGTATCGATATGGAGTTCCTGAGAGCTGGCCTTGACCTTTCCACCAGTGCTGTCTACTCCCTGCACAAGACATCAACAAGGGAGGTAAGCTTTTTCCACATGTCAGCCATCTTTTTTAGCACCCAATTTGTCCTGCGTTTGGAGATCAGGATTTATCAGTCTATTCACATTTCGGTCCTAGTTTCAACATTTGAGATTTTTGTCATCAAAATGACCCATCGGTGTTCATTCTTGCTGAGTGAGGCATTAAGCATCAATAACTTGCTGCCATAGTTTCCAGTAACTTGCTTGGCATCAGATTTCTATTGCCAATGACACTGACTGGAGAGCTATGTTTATTGTCCAAGTAATAGATGGAGGACCAGTACTTCATCAGGTATAATCCTACTGTTGCGAGAACAGAGGGAAAGGCATAAGTTCTCCATCTGAGAGCACAGGTACTCAAGTTTCACAAACTATACACTGCAGATTGCACAAACTTCACCATTCACAATCGAAACAGGCTGCACAATTTTGCTGTTGGCTATAGTCTTCTGTTTTCTTCCAGCACATTACAAAGAAGGCAAGTGACTGGAATGTAGACATGGAAGTGGTGGCTGAGCTCAGATTCGACCTTGTCAACACGCTCAAGTTTCATAAGAAGAAGTCTGTCGACATAGAGGTGGATTTCATACGATTCTGTCACAAGCAGGGAGCCAAGTGTAAATCGTGACAGATGGTCACTCAATAGATGTCTCATTACTATTTTCATGAGGGTGGTCAGGTAGCCTAGTGGTTAAAGCGTTCGCTCGTCACGCTGAAGACCCGGGTTCGATTCCAGACATGCATACAATGTGTGAAGCTCATTTCTGGTGTCCCCCGCTGTGATGTTGCTGGAATATTGCTTAAAGCGGCGTAAAACCATACTCACTCACTCACTATTTTCATGAAGCTATGTATAAAGTTTTACAAGGTTGTGTAATTTTTATTATAACACTATGTGTCAGGTGTCATCTTGATCTTCTAAGACTTAAAGCATACATTATATACTACTCAACTATTGATAGGGAGTATCCAGGTGGGGTCTGCATGTGGCTGATTGTTCGGATATGTTGACAGACAAATAGTATTTGATATTGCTATGGAACTGAAGCATGTGCAGCTTCATTTAAAATTGATTAAACATAAATGCAATGTTCAATAAGTTGTCATCACGTTACAGTATGAAATATCTCAGTTTATTACCCACGTGGTTAGGATACAGGTGGTAAGATACTAAGATACTGCACGACCAGATCACTAAAAGTGAACATTTCCGATACAAATCATTCGATAACTATGTAGAAGTGTGTAACAGTTTGTTGTATCCGTTCGTTTGCTCTATCCTTGTTTATTCTATCCGTGTTCTACTGAATTGACGATGGTTTAATTCCTAATTCCAAGTTAGTTCAACAAAGTTATTTGGTAAATTGTTTGTTTGTCTGCAAATATTTCTGTATGATAGGTGTATTCCTCTTGTCAGCAAGACTGTCACTATGCTCAAAATGTAAGTCATGATTGTATGTCATTATGACTGCCATGTTGTTTATACCAGTGTTGGGGGCAGTTTGGATTTAATTGTTTTTTATTCATTTTTTCATTCCAACTAGGGCTGAGACGAGTCCAAATTTACTACCCGGGTACCCACACCCCTATTACCCGACCCTACCCGGGTACCCACTGTTGGTGTCAAGAGATATTGCCGATTTGGAATAGTTTGACAGTAGCCTTGGCAAAATGTATTTAGATACACGTATAAAACACTGAATGCACACACTAAAGCTGACTTAAAGTTTTTATCTTTATTCGAACATATATAAGTCAGAAGGAAAGCATTCATAGTCATGAAGAAATGCAAACATTAGTGACTTCTTGTGTAACCATGTAGTTATAGTGAATTATTGTCATGAAACAATATATCACGTGACTAACCACGGGTCCGGGTAGTCCTGTGGTACCCGGGTCCTACTAAGTACCGACCCGAGTACCCGAGTTACCCGTCCCAGCCTTAATTCTAACCACTCACCTGAGTGGAACATCACTAGCTTATTCTCTACGATTGTATGACATTGATGTATTATATATGTGGATTTACTCATCACAAAAGGTCCTGTGATACACAAAATACTGGTATGATGTGGGCCGTGTGAGAACACTCCATCCACTGGAGGACAGATCTGGTTGGTTCTGTCTTCACACTTTCTGTCCGAAATCTTTGACAAGCTTCTTCATGGCATTCATTGTGTGATGTTGTGAGCCATGTTGTCCCTTTTTTACAACTAATGACTGACGGTGCAGACTGGATCACTTCTGCATGTATGTAGCAGGAACTTTTATTGTTGAGTATATTTGCACATCAACATGGCCTAGTGGAAGTCATCGTTGTTTAATTGCTTATGAAAACTTGTACATCTTGTTCATGTTATTGAGTAAAATGTTATATGTAATAACGTACTATTTTCATGTCTCTAAAGCTATATGTATAACAGGTATGTTATTGCTGCTCAATGGTTAATAACAAAAATGGATCATTCAATTTTGACTTCTTGTTTCATGTGGCAGTCCACAATATTCCAGTTATTAAACGGTCTGTAAAGACAGACATGAGAAGAACAAAACTTGTTTTTGGAGGAACATCGCCAATCTCTCCCCAAGAAAAGTTTTAGAAGAAGGATTAAATAAGTGCATTTTACAACCTTCTGAGAGGTAAAATCCGAAATTCTGGAAATCCGAGGAAAATTCTCATGTCTGAGAAGAAGTCTGAACCACACAATCCAGTGATTGACATCATGAGCATCGATCTACGCAATTGGGATTAGATGACGTGCATCAACCAAGTGAGAGAGCCTGACAACCCGATCTCGTTAGTCGTCTCTTACGACAAGCATGGGTTGCTGGAGACAAATTCGAATCCAACCTTCATGTGTGCATTCAGTCTTGAAAGAGTTTCCTTCGATAAGCAGTGTTCACACAATCTTCATCTTTTGGAAAGTGTATGACAGGGATAGAATAAATAGAAGAATTAGTATGAATATGATGCCTCTTTATTCAAAACAGTAAAACAGTATTTCAGAAGAGTCAAGAACTAGAAGAATCTTGCTATTAACATGACGTTTTATCACAGTTGTAAAGCCTTGGAAACATAAAACAAACATCAATAAATAGCTGAATATATAAAGATATCAATGTTAACAATAATTTACCAACGCCAAAACAACATGTACATTATGCTGGCAGGACCTTAGGGTCGCTGTTGCTAGGGGTTACGAAACTGAATCTGTGTCTGTGAAGCTGCAGCATACAGTGTGTCTGTGGTAGACCCTCCTGGCCATGCCCAACTAGTCCGCAGCTCATTTTGGACAAGTGGCCTATGGTAAACAAGCATGAAATACTCCTATCCCCCGCCAATATGACATGTCCGGATGTGTGCAAGGCATTAGCCCCCCGGAAACGAGCACTACCATTTTCAGTCTTTCTCATAGTCATTGCCATGGAAACTTGAAAAACACACTTTAAAAAATCCCCAACTATCAAAAGGCTCCAGTTTACCACTTGACCTATCTATGTGCCAAGTTTGGTTAAGATATCTCATTGTTTTTGAGTTCTGCTCCGGAAACGAAATGTGACAGACAAATGGAAGGATGAACAGACAGCACCTATTCCCATATCCCCCTTCCACTTTGTGGTGGGGGATAATAACTAGAGTTTGGTTGAAAACAACTAGTCCCTCTGGATTTTCACTAGCCTCAGACTGGTGGCCAAACCTGTATGTTACTGTTGTATTTGTCACTAGTTTGTAACTGTTCACTGCAACACTCCTAAAACCAGAGGCCTACAGATGACCTCATATGACTCCATTTTCTTGACTTTTGAACTGATAAAGAAAGAATTAAGCATCTTTCTTTTTTGTGAGTGTAATATTGACATCTTGAGAGATATCTTTAAATGCTTTAAAGGTAGTCAACTGTCAACATAAGTGACAAGACTGACAAGAAAACTTGAAAAGGTCCAGTCGTTTACAGATATTGCTACGTATCATCCACAGGAGCAACGTTATGGCATATTTCACACACACATGTGGATGGACTATACATTCAGCACAGCCTCATGTTTGCCGTCATATGACCCTTGACCTCTGACATACAACCTCTTGGAGGCCTCTCCCAGAGCACCCTGGAACAGGAAAACTGCCTCGTAGTTCTCCGCGTGCCTGGAAGGGAGAAAACGCACATGAGACACTGTTAACTTCACATCAATGGTCAGAAAATCAAGTGAGTGATTGAGTGAGTTGGGTTTAACACCGCTTTTAACAGTATTCCACTTATATCACGGCGTGTCAGCTTAATGCGAGAGGAAAGCCTGAAGTGATGCAGGTCTCGGACGTTTACCACTTCGGTGACACCCACGATCACAGGTATGGTGCTGACAAACATAGAAACATAATCAGGGCGAACCGGAATTCGAACCCACAATCATAGGTTTCTGACGTGCCCAAGGGACGCAATTCTGCACAGCGAATCTCGGCGCCTTAGACAACTGGGCCACCCGTGCCCTCCAGAAAATCAAGACATCCAGTGTTGCAATTTAAGCATGAATAAGAAGGGGTTCTTGTAATAGTCCTCATGTTTAAAGTTAAAGAGAGTCCCCAGATTTACATACTATGAAGCAAACCTCAAGGAGGCCCTTTAATTTCGAACATTGACATCAGTTAAGGCAGTACAGAGTGGTCTAATGACTAATGGTCTATGCTAGAGCTGTGGCTTGTGTTAAAAAATCTTTGTTATAATTATAACAATATTACTAAACAGATACATGGCCATATTATGTATGACTAGAATATCGACTGGTTGACAGACCAGGGAGCTCTGTTATTTCTGTTGGCGACGGGCCAAAGGACCAGTTGTTGAATTTATGCTTGTGTTGCAGTGTTGAGATGATAATCAGTTTCATGAACGCATATATATGGAGACCATCCTTTCATCATCCTATGGTCATTCTGGATGCGGGGCATGGGTGGCCCAGTTGTATAAAGCGCTGCAATTTGCTGTGCAGAGTTGCATCCCTTGGGGTTCGCCCCGATTATGTTTCTAGGTGTGTCAGCACCATACCCATGGGTTTCACTGACGTGGTTAACGTCTGAGTCCTGCATCACTTCGGGCAAACCTGGATTCCAACCCACAATTATAGGTTTCTTGTGAGCCCAAGGGATGCAACTCTGCACAGCGAATTGCGGCGCCTTAGACGACTGGGCCACCCCTGCCCCCATAAATACATGGAAAAATAAAGTTTGTTTTACTTTTAGAACATAACTTTCAGAAGAAACCTGAGTTCTGTTTTGCCAACTGTTGTACGACTATAGTTTCAATGTCCTAGTGATTATTGAAACACTTACTTGGCTTTGAAGTGAACCTTTATCAGCATCTTGCTGTTGCTGACGTGAGTGATGTGAGCGTCCAGCAGCCCACTAGAGGGCAGCACCTTGAACGTGGTTTCGGATACACACGTGTCTGACGGATTCTCTGGAATAAGCAAGGTCAATGTCAAGCCTATGAACACATCATTAACACATACACGGTCTTATTGTACAAGATTCGATTGGCCCAGATTCGATAACTTACAGGCTGCTGTCATATATGTAGAATACTGCTGTGTGCGGCATAAACAACACACAACTTGAGGACCAGTTCTAGCCTGGATTTCCAACAGGGCCTTTGAATGAAAACAACAACAAACAACTGACTATATTAAAGTCCAGTTTCTACCCTTGCTGAACTAGGCTGCAACTATGGAGTTATATTTTGGCTGGTCTAATAATTCTGCAAATGATTCTATGCATTGTTCAATCATAATCACATTACAAAATCAACATCTGTTTCATACACTGCAGTGCAGATTTTGGTTCATTGTAGGATTTTCAAAGCATGTGTACCGTTATCTTAGCGTCAACAGATATTTTCCAAATCTTTTCATGTTTTTAATCAAGGTGCTTACGTGGTTTGATGCACTTCGTGAAGTAAGACTTGTTTTATTACAACGTATATCTTGATTATCGATCACATCGTCTTCACTGGGTGCTACCATTTTGTTTAAAGAAAATGCAATTGACATCAGAGGTGGAATCTGATTGGTCAATAGGAGAGACATAGAAGGGACATAACTTGTAATAGCCACTGGTGGTGCTACGATTGAACCAAGAAGGTTCGGCAAGGGTGGAAACTGGACTTTTATAGTCAGTTAACTCCCTTGCCTCGGGAAGAGGGAAAACAACAACAACAAATAACTAGTCCCTGAGTACCGGTAGCCAGTTATGTGCTACTGACCGATGGTTGCAGTCCAGAAGCTGTGGGAGGATGTATGGTTGGTGATGAAGAACTCCAGGACCCTCTCCTGTCCCACCAGGCACGTGCCGAAGTCCAGCGACTGCTTCGACAGCTCAATCTCCGGGATGGCCAGTGTGGCCTCCAGTGGCACTCGCTGTAACACATAACACAAGACTCAGTCTCATTGAGAGAACCATGCATTCTTTCATAAAAAGAAAGTATACATAGCAAAATTATAAATGTTCAGGAATGGGGTAAAGATTTCAATTTAGGAATGTCAGAATCCAACAATTATGTGATGATGTCACTTATATAGCGACTGCGTGTTTGTGTGGCTGCTTGTACTAGTCTGGACTGTTTTATAGTGCTAGCTCACTGAGATACCATGCCGCAGTTTAACTTTAATACCCTACTCAGACAGAGTCTACTGACTCCAAGCCGACCAGTCCTTGTTTTAGCCCCTTAATGCCGACCAATTATGTTGTGCTGTAAAAACACACAAAGATTGTGTGATGGTCAGGCAGTGTTCAGGTGGTCAATGAGCTGTGTGTTTCAGCTGACCTGTATAGTGTTAAAGGGCAGGTAGAGTGCATGTCAGGTGAGGTAAGGTGAAATGGGGTTAAATGTCGTGTCCAAGATTATTGCACTTATACAGTGACATGCACGCACGTGTGTATATTTGTGTGGCTCCTTGTACAAGTCCGGACTGATGCCGTTTTATAGTGCTAGCCTACTGAGATACCATGCCACAGTTTAACTTTAATACCCCACTCAGACACAGTTTACTGAATCCGAGTCAACCAGTTCTGGTTTTAGCCCATTAATGCCAAGCACCAGACAGGGTAAGAACAAGATTCATCTTTTAATGTCTTTTGGTATGACACGGCCAGGGATCGAACCCTGGACCTTCCGCTCTCCGGGCAGACGCTCTACCACTAGACCACGGAGGCGGTCGCAGGTCAGTGTTTAGGTGGACAATGCCGCTCTCCGGGCGGACGCTCTACCACTAGACCACGGAGGCGGTCGCAGGTCAGTGTTTAGGTGGACAATGCCGCTCTCTGGGCGGACGCTCTACCACTAGACCACGGAGGCGGTCGCAGGTCAGTGTTTAGGTGGACAATGCGCTGTATGTTTCAGCTGACCTGTATGGTGGTGTTGTTGAACTCGATGATCAGGTCGTCCTGTATCTCCAGTTTGCGACCTGACAGCTGAACGTCGTCACCGTCCACATAGCCATACGTGTCCAGCAGCTGTGTGGTCGTCTGGAACGCCACCTTCACCTGCAGGTGAGATAACTGTGCTTATAGAAACCTTACATGCATCATATCAAAATGTACCAAAAGGCCGAGATGTCAAAAGCTAAAGGAAATAAAGATAAACTACAGCACTAGTGAGTGAGTTGTGTTGAACAGTATTTCTGTCATATCATGTGTCAGCTAGGTGTGGGAGGAAAGCCTGAAGTGATGTTGGCTGCCATCTTCCCGAGGCAAGCATGTCCACTAGCCTATATCAAAGCCTAGTTTCTACCCTTGTCACATCAAGGACACTTTTCTTGGCTCGACCCTTCCGCCACCTCGTGTAGATCAAGGAGTTGTGGCACTTGTAATGAAAACACAATATCAAATCATATCGCTGTTCTTATCTCGTATAGCTTCACAAAGATGGTGACTACCACAGGCGACGAACTAGTTGACCAGATAACGAAAACATTTGCGATGTCATCCTTGACACAAAAGAATTCGTTGGGGGGTTTAAAACATTAAAAAGACATATTCATGTCAACAAAGACAGGCAGCAGTAAATCACTTTCAAACGAAGGTATACCAGTTGTGGATGTTGATTTTGTGAAAAGTTCTCTGATTGGACTATCGATATGTGCGATAGTCCAATCATATTTAGCACAGGAAAGAGGCAAGGGTGGAAACAAGACTTTGATAAAAAGGCTGGTGGAAACTCTTGCCTTGGGAATATGGTAGGCTCTATATTTGTTACTTTGGTGAAACCCACGAGCATGGCTATGCTTGTTTTTTATTGTTTTATGATGCACACTTCAATATTTCAGCAATTTGATGGCGGTCTGTAAATAATCGAGTCTGGAACAGACAATCCTGTGATTGACATCAAGAGCACTGACCAACACAATGATGCAACTGGGATTTGATGACATGCATCAATCAAGTCAGTGAGTCTGACCACCCGATCCCACTAGCTCTTCAGTAACCCCATGAATGCCGTAAGAGGCGACAAAGCTTATCACAGGATTGTCTTGTCCAGACTCAATTATTTACCGACTATATAGCTGAGTGCGGAGTTAAACAACAAACAAACAAGCATAAGTTTGGAGGCGTTACTTGATATACTTCCTCACAACCCATGTGGGGATGCCAGTTACAACAGGCCCCCAGAAACCTATACTTGTCATAGGAAATGAAAAACAGATCAGGTTCAGGCTCGGTGACTTGGCTGATTGTGTGTCATCATAACCTGATGGTGTGGGTCGTTGCTCATAATATCAATCACTGGACTGTTCAGACTTGATTAGTTTCAGGTTGCCTTTATATGGCTAGAATATCCCAGAGTGCTGTATTAAACAAAAAACAAACAAAATAACTTTCTCACCAGCAGGTTGTGTTGAGGACGAAGGGTGTGGAAGCCTGTTTCCATGGCCACGGAAGCTCTCATCTGATTGGTTGCTGGGTTCAGGTCCACCAGCTGGAAGGGCTTGTTGACCTTAAGTCGGAAGATGAGAGGGGTTTCGGTGTTGTTGGACAGCATGGTGCTGCACACCCTCAGTACCTCCGGCATCGTCTGTGGGGATGCAGATCAGGATCAGGAAACATGGTATTCATCAGTGTTTGAAATTAAGGGGGTCCTGGGGTCCTATACAAGTGAGTGAGTGAGTCTGGTTCTGGTTTTTAGCAATATTCCTGCCATATCTTGGCGGGGAACACCAGAAATGGGCTTCATACATTGTACCCATATGGGAATCAAACCCGAACCTTCAGCCTGACGAGCAAACGCTTTAACCACTAGGCTACCCCACCGTCCTTCTCCTATACAAGGTTCATACAAATATGGAACACTGAAATTCAAGGCTGTTTCAAGGCTGCCAGCGGTCATTTTTAAGGCTTTATTAGTTAGGTTATTAGCCTTTGTCAATATTTTATTACCGACGTATTAAGCACCCTGTTCTAATAAGAGCCCACGGCGATATTTGCTAATACATTGGCTAGTGAACAATATATTGGCTAGCACCCCTTCCGATTGATCAATGTACACTTATTTATTTGTGTATAATACACACTCGTGTGTTTTATGCACCCTTAATTATGGGCAGTTAAATTCTGGAAAATATATCTGTCATGTATAATACACACAGACTTTTCTTTTGTATCATTTCAGGCTGTCAGCATAAACCATGAAATTTACGATCTTTCAACTCTGTTTTTTGTTCTCACCAAAATTATATTCTAATTTTGAGAGAGCCCTGGGTGCTTATTACATCGAATATGGTAAATCATCCATATTAGTCGTAAGACCTAAATAGCAGTGTGACCACCACACATTTTCCAATCAGATTACAGATTAATTTTTGACCCATGAATTCTTCAGGATCTTTGGCACACAAATCTATCCCTGTGATAAATCGCACTTAAAAAACTTTGCTACATATCTTTGTGTGCTTTGGCACAAGTATATGTCATCGTGAACAGACTGTGGTTTCACCTCATGATACGTGTAAATCTTAAATATGATTTTTTTAAATATTCATTAAACTTATCTGCTTTGGTAACATTGTCACTTATTTTCTATGCTGTGAGTTTCAAAATGTATTTTATCATTTATACTTATCCTGACTCATACACATGATAACATTATTACATTTGCATAATGTTTCCAGAGTTTAGACACATGATGTATAGTTTGGAATGTAATTTAAGGTACCGACGTTGACTACAATATCTGAAAAACTATTGGACCTACTCCAGTCAAAGTTGGTATGAGATTATTAAACAGTCATACATAACTGGATATTACATTTAAAGATAATCGGTGCATGAATAAAAAATCAACTCAACTCAAAAGGGTGCACGGGATCACGCACGCGCGAATACGGTGTTAGCGTTGGGCGTCTCAACTCGCGTGATTCCTGTGCACCCTTTCGAGTTGAGTTGATTGGTTCAACTGTAATTTCCAGTTATGTATGACTGTTTAATAATCTCATACCAACTTTGACTGGCGTAGGCCCGATAGTTTTTCAGATAATGTAGTAAACGTCGGTACTTTGAATTACCTTCCAGACTATAGCTTCCAATGAACTACCACACCCCACACCTAAGTTGACAGGAGAACCAGCCTGTTAGTATTGACAGTGAATCTCCTACTGAAAATCTCTATGACAAGCGTGAGTGAAGGTATTGACTGGCTCCGTTACCTGCCCATCCTGCAGGAGGTCACTCATCGCTGACCGGTACCTCATCCCTTCATCCTCCGTGTACTCAATGCTCAACCTGGTGGAAGAAATGCAGGCAACCATTTATTATTGTTGTTTTAGTTGTATAGAAATGCATACATTTTGTACCCCTGAAGGCTCGCTGACTTTGTTGATGCATGTCATCGTATCCCAATTGCGTGGATCAATGCTCACGATGTCAATCGCTGATTGTCTGGTCCAGACTCGATTATTTACAGATCGCCGTCATATAGCTGGAATATTGCTGAGTGTGGCGTTAAACAATAAGCAAAACAAAGCATACATTTTGTGTTAGAAAGTGATCTATTGTATCTTTATGATGTTGTAATACCCATATATATTCTTTAATCGACTTTGTGTGTGTGATGTGCATGTGTGTGTGTATGTGTGTGCAACGTGCGTATGTGTGTGTGATGTGCATATGTGTGTGTGTATGTGTGTGACGTGCGTATGTGTGTGATGTGTATATCTGTGTGTGAGACGTGCATATGTGTGTGCATGATGTGCATGTCTGTGTGTATGTGTCTGTGTATGTGTGTGTGATGTGCATATATGTGTGTGTATGTGTGAGACGTGCATATGTGTGTGTGATGTGTATATCTGTGTGTGAGACGTGCATATGTGTGTGCATGATGTGCATGTCTGTGTGCATGTCTGTGTGTGTGTGTGTGATGTGCATGTATGTGTGTGTATGTGTGTGACATGCGTATGTGTGTGTGATGTGTATATCTGTGTGTGAGACATGCATATGTGTGTGTGTGACTTGCATATGTGTGTGCGTGACGTGCATGTGTGTGTGACGTGCATGTCTGTGTGTGTGTGTGTGATGTGCATGTATGTGTGTGTATGTGTGTGACATGCGTATGTGTGTGTGATGTGTATATCTGTGTGTGAGACATGCATATGTGTGTGTGTGACGTGCATATGTGTGTGCATGATGTGCATGTGTGTGTGTATGTGTATGTGATGTGCATATGTGTGTGTGTGAGATGTGCATATGTGTGTGTGTGTGAGACATGCAATGTGTATGATGTGTGTTTGAGCCACGTGCATGTGTGTATGTGCGACGTGCATCTCTGTTTGTGTATGTGATGTGCATGTGCATGTGCGTGTATGTGTTTTTAAAGTCTATGTAAGTTTGGCAGTTACAACAATCATAGCTCGACAATCTTTTTTTAAAAGGCTCTAAGTCACAGGTAAGCAGTTTGCTATCTGGTTTCCCTAAGCAGAAATCACATTAATGTCAGGAGCTTGTGCAATGTACAGTGACTGGTATCAGTATGATAATATGTGTCTGTGTAGCTGGTTCAACTCACAGGGCCGGCTTCAGGTGGGCGGTCATGTCCAGACGAGTTGTAGCGGCATCAAAGGCCTCGGGGCGGTAGATTCGGCTGTCATTGCCACGAGCCTGAGTTAACCAACATGAAGAAAACAATCTTAATGGTGTGTTTAGCAAATGAAAAACAAACTTTTAAGGAACATTTATAAGAAGAATGTTGCACAAAATTGTTTCAGAATATTGGAATATATTTTAATAACTTATAACCCACCATGTCTTATAAGGCAATGATACTGATAAAATGTGTGAATGGTACGTCAAACAGGAGCCCTTTACAATTTCAGGATTCATGTTGGGTAGTCCTGTAATTTTGTTCACGTATCAACGAATTAGTTACAGTGTTGTAATACTATTTACACTATTGATATCTCTGATCACCTACAAAGATCTTCATGTATAAATGTTCAGTATTCTTAAAACATGGGAGTGTGCTCCCTGCATCCCCCCTCTGGATCCTTGTATGTACCTCCAGGAAGACTCCGATATCCAGACACTCGGATATGCAGCTACTTGGATATACAGCTACTCATTTATCCAGACACTCTGATATCCAGATACTCATATATCCAGATACTCAGATATCCAGCTGCTCGGATATCCAGCTGCTCCGATATCAAGATACTCGGATATACATCTACTCATTCATCCAGACACTCGGATATCCAAATACTCAGATATCCAAATACTCAGATATCCAGATATCCATATATTCATATATCCAGACACTTGGAAATCCATACACTCATATACCCAGGTACGCGGATATCCTCACACTCAGATATAGAAATACTCAGATATCCAGACACTCAGATATCCATAAATTCATATATCCAGACACTTGGTTATCCAGATATACAGATATCCTACTATTGGATATCCAGATAAACAGATATCCTGCTACTTGGATATCACACTACTCGGATATCCAGATACTCGGATATCCAGATACTCATATATCCCGCTACTTGGATATCCAGATACTGCGATATCCATATACTCATATATCCAGACACTCATCTATCCAGGTACTCGATATCCAGATACACATATATCTAGATACTCATATATCCAGATACATGTATATCCAGCTTCTCAGATATCCAGATACCTGGACATCCAGCTTCTCAGATATCATTAACTGAAATAATCATGACGGTTCCAATACCGAAGTTATCTACCTCTCCTGTGTATGTGACATCACAAGTTACACCTGGCTTACCTTTCCGTCGACATTCATGTAGCCGACAGCAAAGCCCTGGCACTCCATGTCCTGGCTGACCTCCGATGGGGGGAGTGGCGTGAACTGAGCGGTCACTTGGCAGTGACCATAGGCTGGAACAACCTGACCAAACAACACACATCTCACTTCATCTGGATGACATTCTGACAGAAGCATTATACGGTAGAACACGGATATAACGAACACGGATAGAGCGAACAAACGGATACAACAAACTTAAAAAATCCCCGATTCATCTCCTATATATTATCATATAACATTTACGTACATAACAAACTCTCTACAGCGAACGAACGTATATAGCGAACTGATATCTGATCACCGACAAGCTCATCTACCACTAATTAGTGACGTGTATAGCGAACTGAGAAATTTCACTCAGTGTCAAGTGTCACTGACAATTGGCTGTACGCAATCAGTGGCGAATCAACACAATCACGGCAAATCACCACAATCACTGGTGACGATTCAACCTTGTTAAACTTACATTATGTTACTCTTACCTGTCCAATGTAATTGGACTAATCTTGTCTGTAAAACAAACTTTTTAACTGAATCACCGGTAGATGCGGGAGGAAACATGTATAAACGTGTATGTGTATTGTGTTTTGTTTTGGCCAAGATGGCGGATGTTTCCGAGCGAAAACGTACATAACGAACAACATATATAACAGACTGATTTCTCTGGTCCCTTGTAGTTCGTGATATCCATGTTATACTGTATATGCTATTGCTGTTGCATATACTGTGTATCGGGCCACTATACAATAAGGATTAGATTTTCAGCCATTTTCCTTTTAAATGTGAGATGGGAGGAATTGTTATTTCATATTTTATTTCGAACAAACTCACGGCAAATGTATACATAAACTGACTAACATGACTAAAATCTAATAATGAATTTACAATGGCCTTTTCGCTAACACCTGGTGTCATCACTGTTTGATAGGGTCGTAATCGTACAATGAACTCTGCTTTTGGCAGAGATTTATGATTGTGAAAAGGGTTTTGTCGCTTTGGAATTATAGGACTTAAATTCAGATTGACCCAATGATAAACACTATACAGCTGTACATGTACATCACACAATTATTTCCAGCAGTGTTTAAATCTATTCTCCATTGGCAACACCCTCTTCACTATCCGGTTTGTGATCATGACTTGTTCAGCCAGGAAATACAGTAAGGTTTAATCTGTTACTTACTGAATTTTATCATTTAAGACAAAACACTGCCTATTCATGCAAGGAAAATGCCTACAACAGACCCCAGAAACCGATCAATTCTGACGTCAAATGCACCAGGAATTAATCTGGACCTGCTCAGAGGCCAATATTCAGCCCAAGTCTGCAGCAAATGTCTGTTACAAATCTCCAAGTGGAATTAAAAGTTTCCCAATTTATGATAATACTCCCAACCTTTGTTGTAGCTTTGACGAGGTGACTTGTATTTCACTGATAAGAGGAATAAGGAACAAAAAAGGTGTAGATTTTAATTTACATTATTGCATAGATTGCAATTTTTAGATCCATATGAACTTAAGAAAACAAGAACTTGGGTAAATTATGAAATTGAAACCAAACTATAATTTTGTTCCTCCCAATTTGCCTGTCAAGGGCACGTAGGTTGGAATCCTAGAAGAAGCTCCACATACCAGTTGATTTGGGATGATCTGGAAGGGTTGTGTGGAATGTTTCCCACTGTGAGTCGCCAGACAAAGGGAGACAACTTTGAGTGGCTCCTCGACGACAGACAGAAGACTCTCGACGGTCCAGGTGGTCTGGCGGCTCATGGTGGGGGTAGTATCGGGGGAGTTGGGGATCAGCTCTGTTGGCGCTCGCTTCAGGGGGAGGGGTTCTGTAACAGGAGGAGGTACAGCATGGAGCTTATCAAAAGATGGTCGAATGAAGTTGAATTTCAGTGATGTATTTTACACAAATCTATGTACACATGCACCAGATGTACTTCAGCAACTGGGTTGTTGTTCTGTTCACATAGAAACAATAATATGAATTACCAAGACTAGGAAACAGTAGATATTTACCATATTTTGTTTTTTTCATTACTGACAAATGAAATATTTGGCATATGTTGTCGAAATAGAAAAAGTTATTCATGGCAGTACACTGCAGTAGAGCAGCTCAAACAGTTTTAAGTCTTACCATCTTCTCTTGGTGGAATCTCCTCTCCATTTTCATCCCTTGGTGGGAAGGGTCGACCGAAACACACATTGAGGTCCAGAAGCTGGTCATCCTGAGCTTCGATGCAGAACTCGCGCCAGTCGACACGGATATCTGACAGTGAGAATGAAAAGGGTCAGTCAATATGGAACTGTTGCCAGTCAACACGCATATCTGACAGTGACATTGAGAAGTGTCAGTTAATATTGAACACTCGCCGGACAACATGGATATCGGACAGCGACAATGGGTCAGTCAGTCAACATTGAACACTTGCAAGTCAATATGGAACATTCTCCAGTCACCTTTGACTTTGATGTCTCAGTACGACACATTCAGCCACAGAGAGACATTACTTAGAGCTGTCTCTAGATTATGCTGTCATGGTAACCATACTGACCGTGGGGACTGTTGTTGTTGATCCTCATCCCCCTCTTCACAGCAGCCACACCCGATACATGAGTTCCGAACCTGAATAGCAAACACAGACACATGAGTTCCGAACCTGAATAGCAAACACAGACACATGAGTTCCAAACCTGAATAGCAAACACAGACACATGAGTTCCGAACCTGAATAGCAAACACAGACACATGAGCTCCGAACCTGAATAGCAAACACAGACACATGAGTTCCAAACCTGAATAGCAAACACAGACACATGAGTTCCGAACCTGAATAGCAAACACAGACACATGAGTTCCGAACCTGAATAGCAAACACAGACACATGAGTTCCAAAGCACAGACACATGAGCTCCGAACCTGAATAGCAAACACAGACACATGAGTTCCGAACCTGAATAGCAAACACAGACACATGAGTTCCGAACCTGAATAGCAAACACAGACACATGAGTTCCGAACCTGAATAGCAAACACAAACACATGAGTTCCAAAGCACAGACACATGAGCTCCCAACCTGAATAGCAAACACAGACACATGAGTTCCAAAGCACAGACACATGAGCTCCCAACCTGAATAGCAATCACAGACACATGAGTTCCACACATGAGTTCCGAACCTGAATAGCAAACACAGACACATGAGTTCCGAACCTGAATAGCAAACACAGACACATGAGTTCCGAACCTGAATAGCAAACACAGACACATGAGTTCCGAACCTTAAAAGCAAACACAGACACATGAGTTCCAAAGCACAGACACATAAGTTCCGAACCTGAATAGCAAACACAGACACATGAGTTCCGAACCTGAATAGCAAACACAGACACATGAGTTCTGAACCTGAATAGCAAACACAGACACATGAGTTCCAAAGCACAAACACATGAGTTCCGAACCTGAATAGCAAACACAGACACATGAGTTCCGAACCTGAATAGCAAACAAAGACACATGAGTTCCAAACATGAATAGCAAACACAGACACATGAGTTCCGAACCTGAATAGCAAACACAGACACATGAGTTCCGAACATGAATAGCAAACACAAACACATGAGTTCCAAAGCACAGACACATGAGTTCCGAACCTGAATAGCAAACACAGACACATGAGTTCCAAAGCACAGACACATAAGTTCCGAACCTGAATAGCAAACACAGACACATGAGTTCCGAACCTGAATAGCAAACACAGACACATGAGTTCCGAACCTGAATAGCAAACACAGACACATGAGTTCCGAACCTGAATAGCAAACACAGACACATGAGTTCAAAAGTACGGACACATGAGTTCTGAGGAACAAACACAGACACATGAGCTCTGAAGAACAAACACAGACACATAAGTTCTGAGGAACAAACACAGACACATGAGCTCCGAAGAACAAACACAGACACATGAGTTCTGAGGAACAAACACAGACACATGAGCTCTGAAGAACAAACACAGACACATGAGTTCTGAAGAACAATCACAGACACATGAGTTCTGAAGAACAATCACAGACACATGAGTTCTGAATAGCAATCACAGACACATGAGTTCTGAAGAACAAACACAGACACATGAGTTCTGAAGAACAAACACAGATGCATGAAGTCCGAAGGGTGAGTTAATTGGGTCTAACTCCTCTTTTAACAGTATTATCGCAGCATGGCAGTGATGCAGGTCGCAGGTGTTTATGACTTCGGTGAAACCCACGAGCACGGGTATGGTGCTGACAAACCTAGAAACATAATTGGGGCAAACCCGGAATCGAACCCACAATCATAGGTTTCTTGCGTGCCCAAGGGATGCAACTCTGCACAGTGAATCACGGTGCCTTAGACGATTGGGCCACCCGTGCCCCCTGAGTTCCGAAGAACAAACGCAGACACATGTGCTGCGAAGAACAAACACAGATGCATGAGCTTCGAAGAACAAACTCAGATGCATGAGTTCCGAACCTAAACAAAAAATAATTGTGTGAAGGGATTGTCAGATCATCATTGTGAGAGGCATCATATCAGAGTAGCAAGCCGCTCACGTGCTTCAAATCAACAACCAATCAGAATGCCTTTTCTAAATATGAGCTTGGCATAGATATAATTTTAAAATTTGTCAGAGCAAGCCCTTGATATATTTAATCAAATCAATTTGCTGGAATTTCTTATTCCTGATTATTAAGATAGGGGAACAAAAAGGCATTCCTAGTTGTATTTGAGACGGTATGCAACAAGGCAAATCAAATACTGGTGAACTTGCAACTTGTTACAATGATGAAGATTGGACAACTATTTTCAGCTTTGTGTCATCGCTACCGGACTCTGGAGCTATGGTGACAAATGGGTTCAGGGTGATCCAGAATAGGTGAGGTGAAACGGCAACTTCAAGGTCAAAATTACTGACGTTCATGCATGTGTCCTTGTGTCTGTGGCTGCTTGTACTAGTCCAGACTATTGCCAGTTTTATATTGCTGTCTCATTGAAATACCATGCTACAGTTTAACATGGATACCCATCTCAGACACAGACACCCTGAGCCAACCAGTCCTTTTATTCCATCATGCCGAACACAGGCAGGGTAACAAAAAGTACCATCATTTAACAACTTTTGGTATCATGTGGCCAGGTATAGAACCACCAAATTCTGATCTCCGGGCAGACGCTCTACCCACTGGACCACGGAGATGGTTATTTATCATATTAGAATATAACTCACAGGACAAAGGAGGCTACACACACTTGTCCATTACACATCTACACAAGTTGAAGGCTCCTGCTGACTGTACCTGACCACTGGGTTCTGGTCCGGCTTGGCGGCAGTTATCTGAAACTGTAATGGACAGCCCACAACGGTCATGGTGAGGGGTACCTCTGCTGGCGCCATGTCTCCAATCTGAAAAGATTTAGAGACCATTACTGCAACATTCCATCATTAAACCTGACCTATGCAAACAGTAACTATTGGGCATCATATTTGTTTGTTTGTTTGTTGTTTAACCAATGCTAATTAAGCACAATACTCAAAAATATTTTGCTTGTGCTATTAAGGACATTTTCAATTGTTTTTTTCTTTGCCTGTTTCAAGCCGCACTCAGCAATATCCCAGCTATATTATGACAGCAACCTGTATATAATGAAATCTGAACCAGACAATCCAGTGATAGATTTTGTGATCATCAATCCACGCTATTGGGGTACAAGGAGACACTGTCAACCAATTCACCAAGTGTGACACCTGATCCATTTGGGCGCGTCGCAGGACCAGCATATTTTGCTGGGGGAGTATTCTAACCAGGAACCCCCACGGAGTCCGACCCCATCTGAAAGAAGATGAACATCAACATCCACTCCCTCCACCCCGACCCCAGCTGACCTTGACCACCAGCTTGTCAGTGTAGCTGCCCCACATGTTGCTGTAGGCGGTGACGTCCAGCCTCTGTGTCCCGTAGGCCTGCAGGATGCCTGTTGCCGGGGTAACCGTGAAGGAAGCACCATGGCCCTGGGACAACATGGCTCGTTTCAAGTCTGTAAAACAAGCACAATACTCATGGATAGCACAATATGCATGGATAGCACAATACATAAAGATAGAACAATACACATGGTTAGCACAATACACATTGATAGTACAATATACATGGGTAGCACAATTACAAACTTGTCATCAATATTTTGTTGTATTTGTAGAAGTATAAACACAAAAACCAGTGTAGCATTCTGTGTAAATCTGCAAAGGAACCGGTCCTTACGTTTATAACTCCAAGAATGCAATAACATATTGCAGTCAGTTCCTATAAATAGCCATGTCAACAATGATAACTTCACAGGCTGCGTTTTAAATCACTAGCGCACAAAAACTGAAGACAACGATGAGAAATCAGTGACATCGCTCAGCACAATAATCTAACACAAGCCCCTCCCATTCTATCATCAGCCAAGACCCGTGCAGATCCGGGGTAGAATAGGTCTTCAGCAACCTATGCTTGCTGTAACAGGCGATTATGCTTGACGTAAGAAGCGACTGACAGGATCAGGTAGTCAGGCTCGCTGACTTGGTTGATGCATGTCATCGTATCCCAATTGCGTGGATTGATGCTCATGATGTCAACCGCTGTCATATAGCTGGAATATTGCTGAGTGCAGCATTAAACAACAAACAAACAAACAAAAATATTATCAGCCAAACAGGAAGAAGTTCCCATTGGTGGAAGTTGCCAAATTTTATGGAAACACACATACAAATTTAACTGCATGGGTAGCCAATCAAATGACACGGAATCACTGACAATTTATTTATGTTGGCATAAAGCCAATATGAACTAAACAAAGCCAAGTGTTGGTAAGTGACAGTATCATTCTTGGAGGGTATGTGCGATATTTGCACAGCATGGTAGTGTAATGGACTTAAAACATCTTCTTCAGCTTGGATCAAAAGCTAGTTACCATACTGAGAACAAAACATATAGTGTTGAGTTACAGTGGGAGTACTTCAGATGATGAATGCACTGTATTCGACGTAATAAGCGCCCAGAGCACTCTCAAAACTAGAAATAGGGGGCTATTATTAGAATATTATTTTGGTGGAAAAAACAGAGTTGAAAGATAAATTTCGTGGTTTATGCTGAGGGCCTGACTGTTTATATACGACCGATATATTTTTCAGAATTTAATTGCCCATAATTAAGGCTGCATATAACACACGAGTGCGTATTATACACGAATAAGTAAGGGCTTGTGTAAATGGATCAATCGGAAGGGGTGCTAATTGGGATTGTTCACTTGCCAATATATATTCAGATATCGCCGTGGGCGCTTATTAGAGCGGGGCACTTATTACGTCGAATACGGTATGCAATTACCTGCTTCTGCTTTGTCTGATGTCTTACTGAACGGGTCGGCCAGATTGGGTGTACGACCCAACAGAGTTCTCCGGCTACAAGGAAACAGGTGAAGGCAATGCTGTTTCAATAACATTTTAGCATTTTAAGTTGTTAGTGAGACCCTGTAATTTGGAATGAAAACACAATTTGGGACTTGGGTCTTTGTATGAATATTTGCCAAATAATGCTAACTTCATAAGGAAGAGAATTTATGGATGTCAACGTCTTTATTATGAGGAACACAACATTTCGGAGTATATGCTTACTCCTTCATCAGGTGAATGAATGCTATGAGGCAGATATATTTACATGTAAGAACAATAAAAGTAATAATATAACGACAGGTGGAAACTTAACAAGGGAAGCCAACAGATAATTGCTGCTGATAGTGATTAGCAAAGGTCAATGGAAGTCAACACTTTACAGTACTTAGTGCTGATAGATATGGACAACTGGAAGCCAGGACTTAAATTATCAATAAAAGCATATACTCCAAAATGTTGTGTTCCTCATAATAAAGAAGTTGAAGTTGAAGTTCTCTTCCTAATATGTGTATCACTTCTAAATGCCTTTCAAAGACAAATGCTAACTTCTGCTGAAATATAGTGCCAGTTTCTTACTTTATCAAGGCAAATTTATATGTATAGCAAATTTACACCTCTAATGTTAGTTTTCTGAGTTGTCTTCCCCTAAAATGTGAAAAGAATGGAATTTAAATTTACACCAAATCAAATATTAATTGTGACACACCTTTTTTGAATTGTCTCCCCCTGTTTTTCGGGTGGTGTCGGTGGCCTGGCAAACAGGAAGTCCACACTGACAGTGTAGGGAGCATTAATGGCTGTCATATTCTGCATGAACAGGTATCTGTGAGGGGAGCTACCCAACTCCACAGCTTGACCAAAGTGCAGTATAAGCTGATCGCTGAAACATAAGACATTAAATGTTGACTTAAAACACAAGTGAGGGCTCAAGTTGGTCTTTTGCTACACTCAACAAGCATGAAATACTCATAAACCCTGCCAATATGACATGTCTGGTTGTGTGCAAGGTTATTGTACGGTTTTCAAGATCTGCTCCGGAAATGAGCACTACTGCCATTTTCAGTCCAAGTCAAAGTCGTTGCCATGGAAACTCGAAAAATATTTTTTTTTTAAATCCCAAACTATCAAAAGGCACCAGTTTACAATTAGACATATTTATATGCCAAGTTTGGTGAAGAAATTTTTTTGTCTTCAAGATCTGTTCGAAAATGAGCACAATCGCCGATTTTCAGTTTAAGTCAAATTCGTTGCCATTGAAATTCGAAAAATAATTTCTAAAAAAATCTCAAACTATCAAAAGGCAGTAATCTCTCATGGTTTTTGAGTTCTGCTCCGGAAACGAAACATGATGGACGGACGCACAGACAGCACCCATTCCTATATCCACCTTCCACTTCATAGCAGGGGATAAAAAATATCTCACCAATAAAGTAATTGTTTCTATGGCATGCATCCACAGGCCCAACAGTTACACTTGCTTCAAAATGTATACTAAAAATGAAAGGAGACACACAAATCCAAAACGTTGACTATAGAGGTGTCGATTCCCTTTCAAAAAGCATACCTCAAACATGTCAACTGTTGAAATAATATTGTCTAATGAAGCACTCGACAATATTCCAGCTCCATGACTGCAGTCTTTATGTAATCAAGTCTGGACCAGACAATCCAGTGATTTACATCACGAGCATCAACCCACGCAATTAGGATACGATGACATGCACCAACCAAGTCAGTGAGCCTGACCACCCGATTCCGTTAGTCACCTCTTACTATTCATACGTATCAGAAAAACTTTGACGTCGTTCATTATTATTTATGCATGCTAGGACTTAGTTGTCATTGAACATATGACATCATCCATTGCATCGTGATGTCACAGTATTCCAGACTGATGTCATGTATGGCCCATGGTAGTCTCCTGACTCCCACATTGTGGACATCTACCTTTTGATCTCTCCATCTTCTGATGCAGAGAACTTGACCGACATCCCCTTGACATAGCAGGACACACTGAACACCTGCGGCAGCTCCATGCCGTCGACGTACACTGGGAAGCGCACGTCGGAAAATATACCCTGTTGAAAAAAATGGTTAGTGTCTATTGTGATGTGTGAGAGCAATTCTAAATTCAGAATACTAAACAAACAGGGAGGTAATTGGCAACATAATTCTGACGTACATGTGACATGATTTCTAGTTTATGGGGAAGGATAGCGATTTATTATTAGAGATAGGAACTGGTACCTCTCTCTTCGCGACAAAGTCGAGGTTGATGATGCACTCTTCACGAGGTTTGATGAAGGCTGCCGTCTTGTCCATCTCCACACTACAGTCCTCTACATCTTCCCCCTCAACCTGCAGACAGTACACACATGTAGAGATACACCACATGGGGAGATACACCACATGTAGAGATACACCACATGTAGAGATACATCACATGTAGAGATACACCACATGTAGACAGTACACACCACATGTTGAGATACACCACATGTAGACAGTACACACCACATGTAGAGATACACCACATGTAGAGACACACCACATGTAGAGATACACCACATGTAGAGACTCTCCACATGTAGAGATACACCACATGTAGAGATACACCACATGTAGAGACACACCACATGTAGAGATACACCACATGTAGAGATACACCACATGTAGAGACTCTCCACACGTAGAGATACACCACATGTAGAGATACACCACATGTAGAGATACACTACATGTAGAGATACACCACATGTAGAGATACACTACATGTAGAGATACACCACATGTAGAGATATACCACATGTAGAGATAGACCACATGCAGAGATACACCACATGTAGAGATACACCACATGTAGAGAAACACCACATGTAGAGATACACCACATGTAGAGATACACCACATGTAGAGACACACTACATGTAGAGACACACCACATGCAGAGATACACCACATGTAGAGATACACCACATGTAGTGACACACTACATGTAGAGATACACCACATGTAGAGATACACCACATGTAGAGATACACCACATGCAGAGATACACCACATGTAGAGATACACCACATGTAGAGATACACCACATGTAGAGATACACCACATGTAGAGATATATGTAGAGATACACCACATGTAGAGACTCTCCACATGTAGAGATACACCACATGTAGAGATACACCACATGCAGAGATACACCACATGTAGAGATACACCACATGTAGAGATACACCACATGTAGACAGTACACACCACATGTAGAGATACACCACATGTAGAGATACACCACATGTAGAGACACACTACATGTAGAGATACACCACATGTAGAGATACACCACATGTAGAGATACACCACATGTAGAGATACACCACATGTAGACAGTACACACCACATGTAGAGATACACCACATGTAGACAGTACACACCACATGTAGAGATACACCACTTGTAGACAGTACAAACCACATGTAGAGATACACCACATGTAGAGATACACCACATGTAGAGACACACTACATGTAGAGACACACCACATGTAGAGATACACCACATGTAGAGATACACCACGTGTAGAGATACACCACATGTAGAGATACACCACATGTAGAGACACACTACATGTAGAGACACACCACATGTAGAGACACACCACATGTAGAGATACACCACATGTAGAGACTCTCCACATGTAGAAATACAACACATGTAGAGACACACCACATGTAGAGACACACATGTAGAGATACACCACATGTAGAGATACACCACATGTAAAGATACACCACATGTAGAGATACACCACATGCAGAGATACACCACATGTAAAGATACACCACATGTAGATATACACCACATGTAGAGACACACAACATGTAGACAGTACACACCACATGTAGAGATTCACCACATGTAGTGATACACCACATGTAGAGATACACCACATGTAGAGATACACCATATGTAGCGATGCTTACCTGTTTTATTTATAGCATGGTACATTTTTTCACATAATATAAAAACCTGTCAGTTTCTTTTTGAACAGAAGGTAATTTAAGATTGTCATGTGATGAGAAACATAAAATAACACAGACCGCCTTACAATTATGGCTTAAAACATTTATATCTTCTGTACATAAGTTTTATAAATATTCTAGTATGTACTAACATTAACCATACTGATATAAAACAATAAGCAGTTGTTTAATGACTTGCCTCTGGCTACAGATGGTTTACCATCTAATCAATCCGTTTAACATGTCAGTTTCCATGACATCACAATCAAATAACATCACTAATCTCTCTGCCACGGATGGTGGTTAGCTGTACTCTTTACATTCAAGACTGTGTACTGTTTACAAAGTGAAGTAGAATGATTTTGGATGACAAATCTACTGAAATAGAATCTGACCATGGTGTTTTTTGATCAAATATATCAACACTCCTCCTTTTATTGGCTCATATACATATTTAATATCAAAAGACATGAGGGTGAGGTTCTCTTTATGTCAAAGAAAGAGAAAAAGGGAAAATGAAAGTGGATGGAGAGAAAGAAAGAGAAAGGGAGACGGAAGACGAGAGATAGAAAGGAACAGGGAGAACAAGAACGAAAGGTAAGTGATGTGAGAGACGGACCTCTCCGATGTGGAAGCGGGTGGGAATGAGGCCCTGGTTGAGCAGCACGACCTCCGCCCGACACGGCACCCCCAGGTACACCTTGGGCAGGGTCAGGCTGCTTTCCTTCAGGCACACCGACGGGCTCTGTACTTCCGCGTACGCTGCGATAGAGCTGTCAACACAAGCAGAGAACTACATTCTTGTACCCATCAGTCCATGATATTGTAATAATTCCATCATATTGTTACAACATAAATTTGCTTTTTAGACATATTATACATTAGTGAAAAATGTAAAAACAATATTAGTGTTTTATTACAATTATTACAAAACAAACAAACAATATACTTTACAGTTATAAATAAAGTTTCTCCATGGCATTTGATAAGCTAACCAAGCAGTTTTTGTGTGTTTTGTTTCCGTAATGATGCCACTGAGTTTTCTGCCTACGGTTTGTTGTGTTGACAATTAAAGAGTGAGTGAGTGAGTGAGTTGGGTTTAGAGCTGCTTTTAACAATTTTCCAGTTATATCACGGCGTGTCAGCTTAATGTGGGAGGAGAGCCCGAAGTGATGTAGGTCTTATACGTTTACCACTTCGCTGAAACCCACGAGCACGGGTATGGTGCTGACAAACCTAGAAACATAATCGGGGCGAACCGGGATTCGAACCCACAATCATAGGTTTCTGGTGTGCCTAAGGGACGCAACTCTGCACAGCGAATCGCAGCGCCTTAGACGACCGGGCCACCCGTGCCCCCGACAATTAAAGAAGCAGTCTGTGAAGTTATTATTGCTATGCAGACTTACAGAGTGCACATCAGTTATTATCCCTCCACAAATTCAAACATATTGAAGTAAATTCTTAAATAAAACATTTTCATCAAGAATTCCAACATGTGAAGACTGATAAAGGCTCAAGTCAGGTTGATACAGAATCGACATTCCTCAGTGGCAAATTGTACATTAGTTCTATATACGAAGGCAACTCTACCTTTTGTTTCCATCTTCAATGTCTATCTCCAACACTCTCTTGACCGTCTGCGCTGATTTTGGGGTGAAGGTCACAGTAACGACCTTCCTCTCCAGAGGTCGAAGTTCACCCGACTCAGGACTGAATATGAACTCACTGGGTGCCTGTGTGAGAAGGAGACAAAATACAATAATTATTTATTTGAAGTTTACACAATATACGGCTTTTCCATTGGACGAGAGGTAGGTCACATGACCATGAAATTGACGTTCATAAGTGTGGCTGTGTTCACCAAATGACGTACAGACTGACAGACTACTTCCACATTCCCGGGGGAACCCCTGGGAATTCCCAAACACGAATACATACAGAAGCATTCTTTCTGATCACCCGACTGAGGACTGAACAAGGGCAAAAGTGAGCGTGGCTTACTAATACCCCCGACCCGCCTAGTGTGTCAGTAGTTTCAAATTAAATAATGGTTAGGGTTAGGGTTTGAAAAATTCATAAAAAAATGGAAAATCAATAAAAACAATTTTTCTTTTTGACTACACACCTCCATATGACACAGATTATATGTACTAGGTTTGAGATGAATCCACTGAATAGTTTAAGAGAAATCGCTCAGACAAAGTCTTCGGACGTACGGATGGACGGATGGACGGACGGAACCTTGGTATAACTATATACCCCCGACCTAAAAAGGTCGGGGGTATAATAATAGTTTGATTTTCCTCACTGTCCACCTCACGACTTAACACACCTGCTGCATGTCATATTTGACCCACATAGCAACAGAGAACATCGCTACGTTTGTGCTCTACTTTCTTTATACTATATAGTTTGTCCTACCATTCATGCTTCATATGTTTTTGCTTTTCATTTAATGCCACACTCAGCATAATTACATCTGTATGACGGTGGTCTGTAAATAATCTGGATGAGACAATCCAGTGATCGATATTGTGAGCAACTGTGCTTTATGTGAATCACTTCCATCCAGAGATGCTTAGAAATGCCTCCCGCCTCACATCAATAAATAACTGGATGAAAATCTATCAAATTATTGTGACCTGATATATATTATATATATTATATATATATATCTTCTTATATTCATATCTTGAATTCAATGTTGTTTATTTTTTAAGTGTTAATAAGCGAATTCCAAATCTCTTCTTCAATGTCTCCTACAAAGGATGGAAGATAAACGAAGAGTTGTAATGTTATGACCAGAAATATTGTTCAGTTGTCTTAACAGTAGGCTGCAAGGGTGAATCCAGCACGTTTAAAAGAGAGGGTATGAAATATCAAAATCCTCTCTCTAGATCATTTTACTGCCTACAACATACTACATTTTGTTTTCAAAAGAGTGTGTATGTATATGAGAGGGGGGGGGGGGGGGGGGGCTTGACCCCTCTCTGGATCTGATTGTGGGCTCTCTCTAGGCTTTGCATTTCGGTAAACCTACACTAACCCCTCAGATTTGGGAATATTTAATGACATTTTGCTGCCGATTTGGGCAAAATATTGGCCTCTGACCAGGTCTAGATAAATCTTTGGGACTATATTTAGTGAGGAGATTAGGCTATACATACCATTGGGTCCTCAGCAAGTGGAAGCGGTGTATCCTGTATGTGCCACTTGGTGACCAGCTGGGACTGGTTGTACAGGGTGACGGTCCGCTGCACGGTCTGGCCGAGGCGCACCAGGCCGAAGTTGACATCAGGCTCCTCTACTGTGATCTCCGGACCCTGCAAGGTGAGGTGCGGTGTAATCAGGCTACTGAGATATGGATACCCAATTCAGACGCAGTATACTGACTCCGAGACCCTTATTGCTTAGCATTATGCAGGGTAACAAGAATTATCATATTTTAACATCTTTGGGTATGACGCTGCCAGGGATTGAACCACCGAGCTTCTGCTCTCTGGCAGACAACACATGGAGGCAGTCAACCCTGCAATATCCACAAAAACCACATCTCACTTTATCAGAAGATACCATACAACCCCTGTCTCAGCAACTTTGGGTTTGGGATGGGAAATGATAGTGACATTTGACATAGTTGCTATATGGCTGAAACAATGCATCTTCCTGAGGCAAGGAAGTTAACTGTCTCTAAAAGTCTAATATCCACCCTTGCCAAACTAGGCTTGATTTCTGGGCTCAATTGTAGCGCCACCAGTGGCTATTACGAGTTACGTCCCTTCTATGTCTCCTACTGACCAATCAGATTCCACCTCTCATATAACTTGCATTTGACACAAACAAAATGGCGGCGCCTGATCAAGGCTATCTGAACCATGTTTTTATGAACTTGATGTCGATTTTGTTAAATGATTTTGATTGGACTGTTCAAAGAATTGTTAGTCCAGCCAAAATATAACTACATAATTCCAGTCTAGTTTGGCAAGGGTGGAAACTGGACTCTTACAGTCAGTTAACTCCCTTGCCTCAGGAAGATGGAAACAATGCTTATGTGATATTAGCTTATAACTTACAAATCAGAGGGAACTTAAACACTTCAACTTCATCAATATCAGCTTTGATGCTTAAAAGTGTCAGGTAAATAACATTTTGTTAGTCATGACTTACTGTTTCTATAAACATCTATTACGAAGTTACAGTAAATAATCCAAAGTCTGGTTGTACCTTCATTTCAGCTTCTATGTGGAGTGCCAGAGGGTCGTCCATGTTCATGACAAAGCAGTACAGAGTCGTGCTGATCTTCTCGGGTTCCACACCAGTCAGACTCAGCTCTAGGTCCATCGCCATACCAGGGTCTGGGGAAACAACGGGGGTCAGTGAAGGATGGAGGTCAGTGAAGGGGGACACATGGACATACCAGGGTCTGGGGAAACAACGGGGGTCAGTGAAGAATGGGGGTCAGTGAAGGGGCACACACGGACATACCAGGGTCTGGGGAAACAACGGGGGTCAGTGAAGGGGGACACATGGACATATCAGGGTCTGGGGAAACAACGGGGGTCAGTGAAGGGGGACACATGGACATACCAGGGTCTGGGGAAACAACAGGGGTCAGTGAAGAATGGGGGTCAGTGAAGGGGCACACACGGACATACCAGGGTCTGGGGGAACAACGAGGGTCAGTGAAGAATGGGGGTCAGTGAAGGGGGACTCATGGACATATCAGGGTCTGGGGAAACAACAGGGGTCAGTGAAGAATGGGGGTCAGTGAAGGGGGACACATGGACATACCAGGGTCTGGGGAAACAACAGGGGTCAGTGAAGAATGGGGGTCAGTGAAGGGGCACACACGGACATACCAGGGTCTGGGGGAACAACGAGGGTCAGTGAAGAATGGGGGTCAGTGAAGGGGGACTCATGGACATATCAGGGTCTGGGGAAACAACGGGGTCAGTGAAGGGGGACACACGGACATACCAGGGTCTGGGGAAACAACGGGGGTGAGTGAAGGGGGACACACGGACATACCAGGGTCTGGGGAAACAACGGGGGTGAGTGAAGGGGGACACACGGACATACCAGGGTATGGGGAAACAACGGGGGTGAGTGAAGGGGGACACACGGACATACCAGGGTATGGGGAAACAACGGGGGTGAGTGAAGAATGGGGGTCAGTGAAGGGGGACACACGGACATACCAGGGTCTGGGGAAACATCGGGGGTGAGTGAAGGGGGACACACGGACATACCAGGGTATGGGGAAACAACGGGGGTGAGTGAAGAATGGGGGTCAGTGAAGGGGGACACATGGACATACCAGGGTCTGGGGGAATAACGGGGGTGAGTGAAGGGGGACACACGGACATACCAGGGTATGGGGAAACAACGGGGGTCAGTGAAGAATGGAGGTCAGTGAAGGGGGACACATGGCCATACCAGGGTCTGGGGAATCAACGGGGGTCAGTGAAGAATGGGGGTCAGTGAAGGGGGACACATGGCCATACCAGGGTCTGGGGAAACAACGGGGGTCAGTGAAGAATGGGGGTCAGTGTAGGGGGACACATGGCCATACCAGGGCCTGGGGAAACAACGGGGGTCAGTGAAGAATGGGGGTCAGTGAAGGGGCACACACGGACATACCAGGGTCTGGGGGAACGGGGGTCAGTGAAGGGGGACACATGGACATACCAGGGTCTAGGGAAACAACAGGGGTCAGTGAAGAATGGGGGTCAGTGAAGGGGCACACACGGACATACCAGGGTCTGGGGAAACAACGGGGGTCAGTGAAGAATGGGGGTCAGTGAAGGGGCACACACGGACATACCAGGGTCTGGGGAAACAACGGGGGTCAGTGAAGGGGGACACATGGACATACCAGGGTCTGGGGAAACAACGGGGGTCAGTGAAGGGGGACACATGGACAAACCACGGTCTGGGGAAACAACAGGGGTCAGTGAAGAATGGGGGTCAGTGAAGGGGCACACATGGACATACCAGGGTCTGTGGAAACAACAGGGGTCAGTGAAGGGGGACACATGGACATACCAGGGTCTAGGGAAACAACAGGAGTCAGTGAAGAATGGGGGTCAGTGAAGGGGCACACACGGACATACCAGGGTCTGGGGAAACAACAGGGGTCAGTGAAGAATGGGGTCAGTGAAGGGGCACACACGGACATACCAGGGTCTGGGGGAACAACGAGGGTCAGTGAAGAATGGGGGTCAGTGAAGGGGGACTCATGGACATATCAGGGTCTGGGGAAACAACGGGGGCTAGTGAAGGGGGACACACGGACATACCAGGGTATGGGGAAACAACGGGGGTGAGTGAAGGGGGACACACGGACATACCAGGGTCTGGGGAAACAACGGGGGTGAGTGAAGAATGGGGGTCAGTGAAGGGGGACACACGGACATACCAGGGTCTGGGGAAACAACGGGGGTGAGTGAAGGGGGACACACGGACATATCAGGGTATGGGGAAACAACGGGGGTGAGTGAAGAATGGGGGTCAGTGAAGGGGGACACATGGACATACCAGGGTCTGGGGGAACAACGGGGGTGAGTGAAGGGGGACACACGGACATACCAGGGTCTGGGGAAACAACGGGGGTCAGTGAAGAATGGGGGCCAGTGAAGGGGGACACATGGCCATACCAGGGTCTGGGGAAACAACGGGGGTCAGTGAAGAATGGGGGTCAGTGAAGGGGGACACATGGCCATACAAGGGTCTGGGGAAACAACGGGGGTCAGTGAAGAATGGGGGTGAGTGAAGGGGGACACATGGCCATACCAGGGTCTGGGGAAACAACGGGGGTCAGTGAAGAATGGGGGTCAGTGAAGGGGGACACATGGACATACCAGGATCTGGGGAAACAACAGGGGTGAGTGAAGAATGGAGGTCAGTGAAGAATGGGGGTCAGTGAAGGGGGACACATGGACATACCAGGGTCTGGGGAAACAACAGGGGTCAGTGAAGGATGGAGGTCAGTGAAGAATGGGGGTCTGTGAAGAATGGGGGTCAGTGAAGAATGGGGGTCAGTGAAGGGGGACACATGGACATACCAGGGTCTGGGGAAACAACGGGGGTCAGTGAAGGATGGAGGTCAGTGAAGAATGGGGGTCAGTGAAGAATGGGGGTCAGTGAAGAATGGAGGTCAGTGAAGGGGGAGACATGGACATACCAGGGTCTGGGGAAACAATGGAGGCCAGTGAAGAATGGAGGTCAGTGAAGGGGGACACATGGTCTGGGGAAACAACGGGGGTCAGTGAAGGGGGACACACGGACATACCAGGGTCTGGGGAAACAACAGGGGTCAGTGAAGAATGGGGGTCAGTGAAGGGGGACACATGGCAATACCAGGGTCTGGGGAAACAACGGGGGTCAGTGAAGAATAGGGGTCAGTGAAGGGGGACACATGGCCATACCAGGGTCTGGGGAAACAACAGGGGTCAGTGAAGAATGGGGGTCAGTGAAGGGGGACACATGGACATACCAGGGTCTGGGGAAACAACGGGGGTCAGTGAAGAATGGGGGTCAGTGAAGGGGGACACATGGACATACCAGGGTCTGGGGAAACAACGGGGGTGAGTGAAGAATAGGGGTCAGTGAAGGGGGACACATGGACATACCAGGGTCTGGGGAAACAACAGGGGTCAGTGAAGAATGGGGGTCAGTGAAGGGGGACACATGGACATACCAGGGTCTGGGGAAACAACGGGGGTCAGTGAAGAATGGGGGTCAGTGAAGGGGGACAGATGGACATACCAGGGTCTGGGGAAACAACGGGGTCAGTGAAGAATGGGGGTGAGTGAAGAATGGGGGTCAGTGAAGGGGGAGACATGGCCATACCAGGGTCTGGGGAAACAACGGGGGTCAGTGAAGAATGGGGGTCAGTGAAGGGGGACAGATGGACATACCAGGGTCTGGGGAAACAACGGGGTCAGTGAAGAATGGGGGTCAGTGAAGGGGGACACATGGTCTGGGGAAACAACGGGGGTCAGTGAAGAATGGGGGTCAGTGAAGGGGGACATATGGCCATACCAGGGTCTGGGGAAACAACGGGGGCCAGTGAAGAATGGAGGTCAGTGAAGGGGGACACATGGTCTCGGGAAACAACGGGGGTCAGTGAAGGGGGACACATGGCCATACCAGGGTCTGGGGAAACAACGGGGGTCAGTGAAGAATGGGGGTCAGTGAAGGGGGACACATGGCCATACCAGGGTCTGGGGAAACAACGGGGGTCAGTGAAGAATGGGGGTCAGTGAAGGGGGACACATGGACATACCAGGGTCTGGGGAAACAACAGGGGTCAGTGAAGAATGGGGGTCAGTGAAGGGGGACACACGGACATACCAGGGTCTGGGGAAACAACGGGGATCAGTGAAGGGGGACACATGGACATACCAGGGTCTGGGGAAACAACGGGGGTCAGTGAAGAATGGGGGTCAGTGAAGGGGGACACATGGACATACCAGGGTCTGGGGAAACAACAGGGGTCAGTGAAGAATGGGGGTCAGTGAAGGGGGACACATGGACATACCAGGGTCTGGGGAAACAACAGGGGTGAGTGAAGAATTGGGGTCAGTGAAGGGGGACACATGGACATACCAGGGTCTGGGGAAACAACGGGGGTGAGTGAAGAATGGGGGTCAGTGAAGGGGGACACACGGACATATCAGGGTCTGGGGAAACAACGGGGGTCAGTGAAGAATGGGGATCAGTGAATGGGGACACATGGACATACCAGGGTCTGGGGAAACAACGGTGGTCCATGGAAAATGGGGGTCAGTGAAGGGGGACACATAAACAAACCTTGGTCTGGGAAACAATGTGGGTCATGTTTGTGTATGGCTGCATGTACTAGACTGGACTAACGCCAATTTTACAGTGTTCGCCCACTGTGATACCATGCCGCAGTTTTACATGAATACCCCACTCCGACACAGTATACTGACTCCGAGCCGACCAGCCCTTGTTTTAGCCCCTTAATGCTGAGCGCCAGGCAGGGTAACAACAAGTACCATCTTTTAACGTCTTTTAATATGACATGGCTAGGGATTGAACCCTGGACCTTCTGCTCTCTGAGCAGATGATCTACCACCAGCCCACTGGGGTGGTAATAAAGTCATAAAAAATACATGAATTAAAACCAGTTTAATAATAAAGTTTATACCCAGGTTTGGAAAACATTAAATACTACCCACATAAACCAGTTCTCAGTTCCTAGAAAGTGATGTTGAGATGCCCTGAAGTTGCATACATGCTATATTATTCTACAGACAGATGGGTCATCATGTGAAGTGTTACCTAGTTCTCCAAACGGAGGTTCCACCTCGATGATGTGCTTGTCACTGTGAGGCTGCCACTGGAAGGTGACCGTGGAGAAACTGTGGTTGGCCATCTGCAAATAGAAACCCACATAGTCAATCAGTGACAACCATGCTTTCATCTCAAACAACAGACAAATGGCTTCAGGCTGGGGGAACTTCAAAAACTGATCTAATATATGCTACTCTTAGAAGTTAAAGAACACCTGATTTTTCATATGACTATAGTTCACCTGTCAGGGCCATGAAAACAGCAGGTGTTCTTTAGTATATATTTTCACCAAAAAATCACTGTTGTGGTCAGTCCTGGAGAATATTTCAGTGTTGAGCTTGTTGATTTATGATAGCACAACAATCCAAAACAGACATGTTTATTGCCGAAAGGATACCCTGAACTGCAAAGGTGAGAGTCGTTTCCATTGAAACAAGTTGCAACAAAAATACAAACAGAATAGATCCTACAAAGCCCATTTTTAATCAAAAATAGAATTTTTTATTTTTTTAATTATTTCAAAAACAAAAAACAAAACGGAGTCTGAATCAAAAGAACGCAGGCTAAGGGTAGAATGGACATACACTTCAAGGACAGTGGCAACCCCATGAATTTTAATAAAAAATATAATTAGTTTCTAAGGAGATGGTATCGAACGTACAGTGAAGAGTTTCTTGATGGTAGTGCCGATGGGGTTCTTGCCTGGCAGGAAGATGGCGTAGGGATGGAGGACGACGTTGAGGGGGACGCTCTTCCCCTTCACCTCCATCTCCAGACCAACGGTGTCACAGTAGATAGGACCTGGTCACACACACACACAAGCCATGACACATCATATGTAGTAGGACTCCATATTAACGCAGGCTCGATATTATTGCGGTATTGGTAGATATTATCAACTGTTTATTTATACAAATCTAAGCACAATATTTCATTGCCCCCTGAAAACAAAGAGTCTGACAGGGTCTGAATGTGTGGGTTTTCAAAATAAATTCATTCAGATAAACTGGCATAAGCCAGTTATAACCATCCTCCCTCAGTGTATCTATCAGTATCCTTATGGTGTCAGTCGTAAGGCCATCGTGGGTTGGCCTCCTTGGGTTGGCCTCAGAGGCCTCACGACCAAAACTGTAAATTATCGAGTCTGGACCAGAGAATCCAGTGTTTGACATCATGAGCATTAATCATGAGCAATTGGAAAGCGATGACATGCATCAACCAAGTCAGCGAGCCTGACCACCTGATCCCATTAGTCGCCTCTAGGACAAGCATAGTCGCCTTTTATGGCAAGCATGGGTTGCTGAAGACCTATTCTATGTATAACTATTACATGTATCAACATTTTGGAGAAAATTAACTGAAATTTATTTGTGAATCGATAAATTATAAAAGGTCTACTCACCATCGATTGGAATGATGACTTCTCCGTCTTCATCTCCAGAGGATTCAGATGACCTTTCAGAGGAGGCTGACCTTGACCCTTTCATCTGAACTGAACTCTCTGTCTTGCTTGACACTGACCTCTTCTGTGACAAGGCTGTAACTGACCTTGCACTTGACCTTCCAACTATGGCCCTCATGCTCTGGCTGGTGCGTGGCACTTGTTGCAGAACCATGTGCAGAATACTGTGGAAGGAGTTCAACTGAAACAGAGCAGGGACTGCATCAGTGATGTTTCAAGCTTCAATACTACAAACAAACTACCGTATTCGACGTAATAAGCGCCCAGGGCGCACTCAAAATTAGAAATAGGGGGCTCTTATTAGAATGATATTTTGGTGAAAAAAAAAGTTGAAAGATAAATTTCGTGGTTTATGCTGACAGCCTGAAATGTTTATATACCACAGATATATTTTTCCAGAATTTAATTGCCCATAATTAAGGGTGCATATAACACGCGAGTGCGTATTTTACACGAAGAAATAAGTCTTGTGTACATTGATCAACCGGAAGGGGTGCTAATAGGGATTGTTCACAAGCCAATATATTAATAAATTTTGCTGTGGGCGCTTATTAGAGCGGGGCGCTTATTACGCCGAATACGGTAATAGTTTCAGTGTGTATTTCAAGCAGCAATACTACAGAATATTACAACCAAAGCATGTGTCAGTGTGTTTCTTGTTTAACGCTGCACTCAGCAACATTCTAGCTACATGTGGCTGTAAGTAATCGAGTCTGGACCAGACAATCCAGTGATTGAAATTGTGAGTATGATTCACGCAGTCGGGGCCATCAATCATGTCTGACCACATTTGGTCACTTCTGATGACCAAAATAGGTTGCTGGGGACCTATTCTATTCTAACCTAGATTCACAAAGATGGGTCGGGGGGGGGAGTCGGATGGTTAAACCATGCCACTAGTAGATCATTAGATGGTAGGCAGCTATGGCAACTGATTAAAAAAATGACTGAACTTCTTTGAATCATGTACACTTACTGGAGATCTATCATTGTCCATTCTGAGTAATTTCACTTTGTGACTGTGTATTAGTGGCGAGTATGTTTAAACTAAAAATCACGTCAGAAGTATTAAAGCCACATAGTGATTACAACACGTCACCTTTTACGGCAATCATGGGTTGCTGAAGACCTATTCTACCCCGGATCTTCACGGGTTGATTTCCACAAGGATAGTCAAGAGGTTCTGTACCTCAAAGCAATCTCAGCACTGTCGATCATAAGATTAATGTTAAAGACTGGAGTTATGTTAAAGAGTTCGACAGTCGCAGCCCTTCGATCGCTTTTTCGAACTGGGCCCTGTTGCACAAAGCTATCTTAGCGCCGAGGTGATTGTAACTCCCACACTTAGGTTTATTATAGTTGTAGTCCTACAAAAGCTTTGTGCAATGGGTCCCTGGACCCAGGGAGCCTGCTTGATCACCCTCTGGATCTGAAGAGGATGTGCTCAATGAATAAAAAAATCGCCCGAGTTGAAACAGCAATGCTGTATTTGATGCTGTGACAGTTCAACAAGGTCATCTATGCATACCATTGGTGGAGCAAACGTGACCTTGAACTCCATCTTCTCATCAGCAGGAACCATCCCGTTGTTGGGGCTGACACTGAAAGCAGTGTCAAGGTCAGGTATGCGATCTCGAGGTCCTGCGTTCTCCGTGTCAAGAGCCTCTGTATCTGGTGGATTTAGATGTGGTTTGTAGGTCAGCCATTGGAAGGGAAGGTCAACTTTCCTGAAAGAAATACAGCTTCATTAATGGTCCTGCAAACTTCTTATAATCCTCATTATGTTATCGGGACAAATATAGAATTTAAAACTGCTGACCAGCTGATCCAGGCATGGGTAAGGGAAGCAAGTCTGCCCAGTGCATTGCAGCATCTTTGCCTTTCGCCCCACCTGAGCCCATACTTACGTCAGGTTCTGGACGGTGATGACACGGTCTGTGTACGTGTATGGGTTGAGGTCGTCAAACACAAGGCGGTGTTGTGCGGAGAAGTCGGTCAGTTCACCTGGCAGGGTCTCGGACTCTCCTCTCTCCACAAAGTCCAGGGCCACCTGCGCTGTCTGACCCTCACCTGTAGTTGAGACGATATCATATGTGACTGACTTTTAAGTGATACAAATATCTTTAAGAAATTTCCCTTTGAGGAGATTGGGTCAGAATAGTGTCTGTGTGTTTGTTGTTTAACAATGCACTCAGCAATATTCCAGATGTATGATGGCAGCCTATAATAATCAAGTCTGGAGCAGACAATCTAGTGATTGATATTGTGAGCACCACCAATGCAGTCAAGGCTCAATGATTCACAATCTAGCAAGCTTTAAGAACCTTTTCTCTCTGTCAATTAGGCCAGACTTTTAGAGGCGTTTACAGATTTTTGGTACAGATAGTTGACAAAACATTATCATGGTTTTAATTGTATTTTCTTCATTCCATCTCTTCAGTGTGTAACAGAAATCCACACAACTTTGTCCTCACACTGAAATGAGCCCATTCGCTCCAAGTTTCTAAAAAATCAAAGTTTGTTCTACATTATAATTTATTTTCGGATGTTCAGAAATAACATGAAAGAAAACACAATAACTGGTCAGTGGCCTGCAGTTACCTCTCAGCAGGAAGTGTTGGACTTGGCAGTTGTCACAGGCGATGGTGATCTCCTGGTTGAACGTCTTGGCTGCATGGGGGTTGAAGATCACCTCCACGATCCCGGACTGGCCCCGCCTCAGCTCAAACGTTGAGGGCCGCACGTCAAATGGAGGCATCACAACCTTGCCTTCGGCTACCACGGACTGTCAGGGAAATATGGAATATCAGAGATATTTTTTGTTTATCATAACTGTATATAATGTAAAATTGTCACCTTCTTTGAGAGGCATATAGAAGTTGGAGTTCTAAGTAAGGATAAGATATATGGATGAACAGCTAATGAGCAACATCAACCGCTTGATAACGGTGTTAGAACCTACACCGAAACATTGCTCCTAATTGTAAAAAAAAAGTTGTTCATCCATATATCTTATTGTTACTTAAAATTGTCAAGACAAACATTTGTTTGTTTTACAGAGAAGGCTGTCTTAAAGGGCAAGTATCATCAACACAATAACTTTGCAGATTTTAATACTTCATGGCATACTTAATCACAAACGCTTGACCAAAATGACAATGAAAATAGCATAATACAGACGATAAAAAAACGACAGACGAAATCGTCCTCCAAATGAAATATTCTGGCACTGAGGGTGTTCCCCCTACTGGGGATAAAACAGGGTCCCGGTGTTTGACAAGCTGCACAAATTCAATGATCTGTCTGCTTATACCTCCAATGTTTTGTTACTTTACGTCTTTTTTCTGTCTGCTCATCCATTTGATTAGCATTTCCACAACTTATCGTCGAATTTGACTTCATTTTGGTTTTAAAGTTTAAGTTCAGCTGTTTTTATATGATTTCACACAAATTAGTGAAATCTTAATATTGTTTACATTTGTATACTTATCCTGCATTACTCCTTAATACAATTTACTGTTTACCTTACGACAAAAGAGACAGCACCTAGCGATGGTCTTGAGTGAAAAAAGAAAAAGCTGTTTCCATCTCAAATCTACTTTTTGTACGACAATCGCTGCTGTCATGTGACCAGATGTGATGTCACATCAAATCATATTACTGCTCGTCGTAGACAGGGAAGGATGTGTCTTGCTTGGCTCTCCAACTTTTGTTTAATGTGGTGGAAAACTTAATGGGTGAAGTATTCCTTTCATAGTACTCTTACTTTTGTCTTAAGGTAAGCAGTAAATGCATTAAGGAGTAATGTAGTATAAGTAAAAACTATAAGCCCTGACAATACATTGTATTTGTTTGTTTGTTTTGTTTGTTGTTTAACGCCGCACTCAGCAATATTCCAGCTATATGACGGCGGTCTGTAAATAATCGAGTCTGGACCAGACAATTCAGTGATTGACAACATGAGCATTGATCCAGGCAATGGGAATCGATGACATGCATCAAACAAAGTCAGCGAGCCTGACCACCCGATCCCGTTAGTCGCCTCTTACGACAAGCATAGTCGCCTTTCACGGCAAGCATGGGTTGCTGAAGACCTATTCTACCCCAAATCTTCACGGGCTGCTTGGAGATGGAGTCACACAAGTAGTTTTCCATGTTGCCAGGCAACTGGAACATGTGCAGTTTCATTTGAAGTAAATAAAAGTAGGTTAAAAATTCAAGTACATCTGTCATATAGTTGCATAATAGTATGAAGTGGAACCAGAATTCTCAACATGAAAGCATATATAAAAATTCAGCATGAACTCTTTCCAAACTGAATTATTGAAATTATCATCTTACCTTAAAGTTAATGGCTGGCCATGCCGACCTGGGCATGATGCAGAACCGGCCAGTACCGCCTTCATTCTTGATGAAGAACTGGGCAACGTGGTAACCACCGACCAGACAGTGACCGGTGTCCAGTATTGGGGGAACTGTGGTGGACAGATAGACATGTCAGAGTGTGTGGTCTACATACAGGGAGGTCAGTCTCAGTCTCCCACCAGACAGTGACCGGTTTCCAGTATTGGGGGAACCGTGGACAGATAGACATGTTAGATTGTGTGGTCTACATACAGGCAGGTCAGTCTCCCACCAGACAGTGACCAGTGTCCAGTATTGGGGGAACCGTGGACAGATAGACAGTCAGAGTGTGTGGTCTACATACAGGCAGGTCAGTCTCCCACCAGACAGTGACCAGTGTCCAGTATTGGGGGAACCGTGGACAGATAGACAGTCAGAGTGTGTGGTCTACATACAGGCATGTCAGTCTGCCACCAGACGGTGACCAGTGTCCAGTATTGGGGGAACCGTGGACAGATAGACAGTCAGAGTGTGTGGTCTACATACAGGCATGTCAGTCTGCCACCAGACGGTGACCAGTGTCCAGTATTGGGGGAACCGTGGACAGATAGACAGTCAGAGTGTGTGGTCTACATACAGGCAGGTCAGTCTCCCACCAGACAGTGACCAGTGTCCAGTATTGGGGGAACCGTGGACAGATAGACAGTCAGAGTGTGTGGTCTACATACAGGCATGTCAGTCTGCCACCAGACGGTGACCAGTGTCCAGTATTGGGGGAACCGTGGACAGATAGACAGTCAGAGTGTGTGGTCTACATACAGGCATGTCAGTCTGCCACCAGACGGTGACCAGTGTCCAGTATTGGGGGAACCGTGGACAGATAGACAGTCAGAGTGTGTGGTCTACATACAGGCATGTCAGTCTGCCACCAGACGGTGACCAGTGTCCAGTATTGGGGGAACCGTGGACAGATAGACAGTCAGAGTGTGTGGTCTACATACAGGCAGGTCAGTCTCCCACCAGACAGTGACCAGTGTCCAGTATTGGGGGAACCGTGGACAGATAGACAGTCAGAGTGTGTGGTCTACATACAGGCATGTCAGTCTGCCACCAGACGGTGACCAGTGTCCAGTATTGGGGGAACCGTGGACAGATAGACAGTCAGAGTGTGTGGTCTACATACAGGCATGTCAGTCTGCCACCAGACGGTGACCAGTGTCCAGTATTGGGGGAACCGTGGACAGATAGACAGTCAGAGTGTGTGGTCTACATACAGGCAGGTCAGTCTCCCACCAGACAGTGACCAGTGTCCAGTATTGGGGGAAACTTGGACAGATAGACAGTCAGGTTGTGTGGTCTACATACAGGCATGTCAGTCTCCCACCAGACAGTGACCAGTGTCCAGTATTGGGGGAAACTTGGAAAGATAGACAGTCAGGTTGTGTGGTCTACATACAGGCAGGTCAGTCTCCCACCAGACAGTGACCGGTGTCCAGTATCGGGGGAAACTTGGAAAGATAGACAGTCAGAGTGTGTGGTCTACATACAGGCAGGTCAGTCTCCCACCAGACAGTGACCAGTGTCCAGTATTGGGGGAAACTTGGACAGATAGACAGTCAGGTTGTGTGGTCTACATACAGGCAGGTCAGTCTCCCACCAGACAGTGACCAGTGTCCAGTTTGTGGGGAACTGTGGTGGACAGATAGACATGTTAGATTGTGTGGTCTACATACAGGGAGGTCAGTCTCCCGCCTGACAGTGACCATTGTCCAGTACTGATCAAATGATATCTCCAAACAAATTATCACTGAAATGAAATTGTATCACAATGCTTTCAGACCCTCGTGGCATCATCAATTACCACGACCACTTATCTCTCTGCCCCTGAAGCTGGTTCACTGCACTTTTTACATTCAAAACACTGGTTGTTACTGTTTACAAACTGAAAAAGTTGGGAAACTGAGTTTGGATAGTAAATAGAATCTCATCCTCGAGTCTTTTGACATCAAACATATCAACAATCATTGACAAAAGCACAAAACCCATCATTTGTAAACCTTTTTTTCACTCATATTGAAATACCGTATTTGACGTAATAAGCGCCCCGCTCTAATTAGCGCCCACGGCAATATTTGCTTATATTGGCAAGTGAACAATCCCAATTAGCACCCCTTCCAATTTATCAATGTACACAGGACTTATTTATTCGTGTATAATACGCACTCGTGTGTTATATGCACCCTTAAGTATGGGCAATTAAATTCTGGAAAAATGTATCTGTCGTATATAAACAGTTCAGACTGTCAGCATAAACCACAAAATTTATCTTTCAACTCTGTTTTTTCCACCAAAGTAATATTCTAATAAGGGTCCCCTATTTCTAATTTTGAGAGCGCCCTGGGCGCTTATTACGTCGAATACGGTAGTTTGATTTTAAAAGACACTTGGCTGAGATTCTCTATGTAACACTAATCCCAAACACAAATTACAACATGTGACCTAAGTATGACGACTACTTACGTGTGAGGATAGGGGGGTCTCTTCGTCCACGCAGGGGGATGACGAGGGGGATGGCGGACTGGGTCTGGATGACAATCTCATCATCAAAGTCCTTCAGAGAGTCGGGGACGAAGCGGATCGGGTACTTGCAGCTCATGCCAGCTGCTACCAGACCATGCTCCCCTGGAAACTGACCTGCCAGGCAGAAACAACAGGCACAGATGAAAGACAGAGTGGAAAAGAGCAGCAATATCATGTCATCCTGAAATTAGGGAATCCAGGTGGTTGATAGCATGAGAGGTGTTGAGGTGAAATGGGGTTTTACATGACATTCAAGATTACTGCACACATAGTGTGTGTGTGTGTGTGTGTGTGTGTGTGTGTGTGTGTGTGTGTGTGTGTGTGTGTGTGTGTGTGTGTGTCACTGTGTGTGTGTGTGTCACTGTGTGTGTGTGTGTCACTGTGTGCGTGCGTGTCTCTGCTCATTAATCGATACAACCAACACAGTTTGTGCACCTAGCATTCACTTCTCATACAGTCGGGTTACTTGCAGTCACTGCACTGTAACAGCTTATTTTATGTAGCTATGGATTCTTTTGTCAATCTATTCTCATCATCTATTTTGAGCCAAAACCCATGTTGGGAGTGGCCTTTTCATTAATGCCCATGGAGTGACGGTACAATGACACACAATCAACCAAGTCACTGAGCCTGACAACCCGATCCATTAGTTGCCTAATACCACAAGCGTGCGTTTCCAGGGGCCTATTCTAATTCTGAATATTACAGAACATCCAACTCGGATTAGCAGTTCTATTAAAGCCTAGCGCTAAACATAGGATTACTGCCATTCTCTTCTAAGCATGGCCCCAACTTACAGTCCTACCAACCTAGACCTACAGGCCCAAACCTACAGTCCTACCCACCTTGTCCTACAGGCCCAAACCTACAGTCTTACCCACCTAGTCCTACAGGCCCAAACCTACAGTTCTACCCGCCTTGTCCTACAGGCCAAAACCTACAGTCCTACCCTCCTAGTCCTACAGGCCCAAACCTACAGTCCTACCCACCTAGTCCTACATGCCCAAACCTACAGTTCTACCCACCTAATCCTACAGGCCCAAACGTACAGTCTTACCCTCTTAGTCCTACAGGCCCAAACCTACAGTTCTACCCACCTAGGTCTACAGGCCCAAACCTACAGTCCTACCCATCTAGTCCTACAGGCCCAAACCTACAGTCTTACCCACCTAGTCCTACAGGCCCAAACCTACAATTCTACCCACCTAGTCCTACAGGCCCAAACCTACAGTTCTACCCACCTAGGTCTACAGGCCCAAACCTACAGTCCTACCCACCTAGTCCTACAGGCCCAAACCTACAGTCCTACCCACCTAGTCCTACAGGCCCAAACCTACAGTTCTACCCACCTAGGCCTACAGTAAAGTAGGGTGTTGAAGGAGGTAAGGATCGGCACTGGCGAATCACTGTTGATATGTTCTTCAATTCCAACACAATCTGGTAAAAACAGAAGAAAAAATACATACATATTATTTGACATACGACATCTTTGAATCTTAATGTTAGCATAGCACAAGTGTAAGTTATTGATCAGTTTACAATGGTACTATGTTTCTTTCTAAACGAATTTATGATTAAAATGAACACCCCCCCAGAGAGGTGAAACTACTCACCTCGTAAACTTGTTCCACCTGGTATTCCCTGAACACTTCCCGGACAGGTCAAACTACTCACCTCATAAACTTGTTCCACCTGGTATTCCCTGAACACTCCCCGGACAGGTCAAACTACTCACCTTGTAAACTTGTTCCACCTGGTATTCCCTGAACACTTCCCGGACAGGTAAAACTACTCACCTCGTAAACTTGTTCCACCTGGTATTCCCAGAACACTCCCCGGACAGGTCAAACTACTCACCTCGTAAACTTGTTCCACCTGGTATTCCCAGAACACTCCCCTGACAGGTCAAACTACTCACCTCGTAAACTTGTTCCACCTGGTATTCCCAGAACACACCACAGACAGGTCAAACTACCCACCTCGTAAACTTGTTCCACCTGGTATTCCCTGAACACTCCCCGGACAGGTCAAACTACTCACCTCGTAAACTTGTTCCACCTGGTATTCCCAGAACACTCCCCGGACAGGTCAAACTACTCACCTCGTAAACTTGTTCCACCTGGTATTCCCGGAATACAACTTCTGGAGGGGACGCCAAGAATATTGGTGTAGGCTCCGGAGGTCTAAATCACAAACAGAATAACTGTGACTTGTCTCTGAACCATCAAAGTAAGTAGTCGTCATACTGAAGCCACATGTTGTAATTTGTGTTTGGGATTAGTGTTACATAGAGAATCTCAGCCAAGTGTCTTTTGATATCAAACAATCTCATTAAAATCAGATCTTAGTTCTCGTTATCACTAAACAAAGATCTGAGGACATCCCATAACGGGTCACGTCAGAACGACCTTTCATCCGACCAATCAAAGCATCGCTTACCAGATCATGAAAGTGACAGTCGGAATGATTGAGAATGAAATTCTTTTCTAAAAATGTTAGCTTCTGTAGTGTTGTGGTGGTCAAGTTAACTGTTTCATTCAGAGGTGGTTACTGTGATTTGAAACCTCTATTGTCTACTGACAATAATTGAGAATGAAATTCTTTTCTAAATATGTTAGCTTCTGTAGTGGGCAAATCAGCTATTTCATTCAGAGGTGGTTACTGTGATTTGAAACCTCTAATTGACCAATCAAAGTCGAGTATTTTACAAGTTCATGGCAGAACATTCCTTTACTTTGCATTATCAGTACATCGATCACGCGATTGGGATCAATGACATGCATCAACCAAGTCAGCGAGCCTGACCACCTGATCCCCTTAGTCGCCTCTTAAGACAAGCATAGTCGCCTTTTACGGCAAGCCTGGGTTGCTGAAGACCTATTCTACCCCGGATCTTAACGGACCGCTATATTACAAAGCTAAGTACCAGTACTTACATGGAGTCTTCTGGTTTGGGTTCTACCCCGATCTCTTTGGCTTTCTTTTTGTGTGACTTGATCAGGGTCCTGATACCAGGGGGCGCTGAACCTGACAGGAAGCGTTGGTTGCGGAGGTAGTTTGTCTTGGCCTGGAGGTTGGCGAGGTCGTGGCGCTCCATCTCTCGCTGTTCTTCTGTCATGTGCTGCTTCCATGCATCAACCCTTGGAAATGTGTCCTGGGACAAATGAGAGTGAGTGAGTGAGTGAGTGAGTGAGTGAGTGAGTGAGTGAGTGAGTGAGTGAGTGAGTGAGTGAGTGAGTGAGTGAGTGAGAGTGAGGTTTAACACCGCTTTAAACAGTATTTCAGTTATACATGACAGTGTGTCAGCTTTACATGGGATAAAAGCCGGAAGTGATGCAGGTGTCATGCATTTACCCAAAGAGCCCATTCGAACCCATGATCTAGGTTTCTGATGTGCCCAAGGGACGCAACTCTGCACAGTGAATTGCGGCATCTTAGACGACTGGGCCACCCGTGCCCCATTTTTATAGCCCATTTCAGAGAAGGCTTTGTTCTCTTTACACTGTATAAACTGTTGATTTCATCAGGGTTTTTTAGATAACAATCAAGTATAAAATATACATTAAATAACAAATGGTCAATATATTATTAATTGATAATAGCCTTTCCCAGACATAAATGATATAAGAGAGTATATGTGAGTAGAACTAATATGATGACACAGTCGGCTACTGGCCGAAAAATTCCAAATCTGAAACTCCCTGTTGTCCCTAAATCTTTAAATACACTATTTTAGTCGGTTTCTATTGTTTTTTTCAGCCTGATATTTATTGTTACACATACTTTGAATAGTGTAGCTTCAGCAACTGCATTATGTAACCTCTAAATGCATATTAGAATGCAAAATGTCTTCTGACAATGACTGAGAAATAAGCAGTTTAAATAGTTTCCACTATGATGTGTCACTCAAAGCAGGTGTTTCAATCAGAAGTGGTTACTGTGATCTGAAACCTCTGATTGACCTATCAGAATTTGCAAATTTCCCAAATTCATGGTAGAATTGTTTACCATGGTTACATCTTTAATAGCAAGTGTTGAGTTGACTAACTCACCAGATCATTTTCATAATCATTTCCCTTAGTCTCCATATCCTCGTCCGAGATGAAGCTTGGGAACTCCTCACTAACAGCCAGCTGGTCCCCCGTGGGGAAGGGGGAGTCCTCACGCCCCTCGTTACGCCGACTGTGTTGCTGTGATGTCAGTGTTTCACGGGCATAACTCGGCACTTTCGAAGCTAGAGCGTTAAGAAAACATCACATGAAATTAGTAAAAGCTAAAGTGAGGTTGTAAACTGTGAATTATTATTGAAGAAAAAAACTTTTGTCCGTAACTCAGACTTCAAATTTTGTGATTCATTAAGTTACACTTGTCATTCACATCATGACATGTCCTGAAAGAGTGAGTGAGTTGGGTTTAACACTTAGTCGAACAGTTTTTCAGTTATATAGTCAAGTCTCGTTAATCCGACACTCGTTAATCCGACAGTAGGCTTTATCAGACACTAATGGTGGGAACTGATTAAATCGGTGCTATTTAGACCCGTTAATCCGACAGTCCCGCACACCGACTCCGACACACCTAATTTGCAACGAATTACCGAGATCACTCATTAATCAGTCTCGTTAATCCGACACAATGATCAGCGTACTCCATGGTCATCTGCCCGCGAGTACACAGCCCGTGTTTTGATGCGAGACAAATCGTGTTTGAATCCTTATCTATCGTGTCGTTGTCCGATTTTCGATCACGAACGTTGGTACTACTTAATTTCGTTTATCCGACATACTTGTTAATCCGACATAATCAAATGAAACCATCGATGTCGGATTAACGGGACTTGACTGTATCACAGTGTAAGAGCTTAATGTTGGTACAACAGCCTTAGAAATTTGTCCCTTTTAATACTACTCCTTATGATCAGTGGAAACCTTATTTCACTAGTCCTCAGAGTCTGTAGTTAGTCCTGCTTGAACGAGACAAAATGTTCACTTTGTTTTCATTTTCTATTAGTTTTATTTAGCTCCAATTTGTTTCAAAATTAAAGCGTTGAGAACTGGTTCAGAATTATAGCCCTTAAATGTTACAAGTCAAAGAATCATTGGATTGTTACTAGTCAGCACAATTTAGAAGTGTTGGGTTGGGTGTGAATTTCGAAGGTTGTAGAAAGCCCACAGGGATCCAAAAACCATGCAACTTGGATAGATCACATGCAGTCAGTGAAGACTGCCTCCCTCCCCACCTACCTTGGGGTGGTGGTACAGACATGGGGTCCTCGGTGGCGTAGTCCTCGGGGGTGAGCAGGTTGTGTTTCTTCAGAAGCTCCGTATCAATACAAGAACGGAAGTGAGACCGACCTGAACACAAATTCATGATAGTGATTAGCATGATGCTGACAGAGTTTTTAAACAAACATTTGATCAAATGCAATGTATAGAGTCTCTAGGCTCTAAACACATTACAAACAGATAAAAAATCCTTCTCTGACAGAAGTAGGTGAGGTAAAAAGGGTCCATCATCACGTTCAAGATTATAATATTGCACTTATATAGCAAGGTGCATGCAAGTGTGTAGCTGCTTGTACAACTCATGACTTATGACGGTTTTATAGTGGGATTAAAGATGTTGCTAACTCTACTAACCTGGTGGGAGTCCGAGATCGGGATATTTATCACAACTTTGAGCTGTTCTGTTCAACTCCCTCTCGTCAGCTGACATTGCCCGGGCCTGAGCTTGCATGATGTGCCGTTCTAGCATGGCTGCCTCATCCATACGTCTCTGCCACTCTGTGTAAACCTGCAACACTCACTTCTGTCAGTTCCCCTTGATGATATTGTGTAAACAATGCGAACTCATTTTGTTCTAAATGTGAACATCATTTAACTAAATTCCACAGCAAGATCATAAAACACAATATCTGCTTCATTCAATTATTTTTTTCTTAATTCAAAAATCTTCTGGGTCAACATGAAAGAAGGCAGAAGGAAAAAATGAAGCTGTTTTTGAAGGTTAATTTCCTAAAAAAGAACCTACTAAAATAAAGTTTTTACCAAAATACAATCATAAAAACGTGACATGTTTCAATGATACACAGCTTTTCACTTTTGCAAAGGTTTTATGTAAATAAATTTATCTGGCCTTATATACATATATTAATTTACTGAAAAATAATGTGTAACTGTAAAACTAAATAATCTGCTCCAGTACACTCTATAACAAGTACATAAAATACATGATAGTAAGGCCTTGGTTACTAAGATTGGTGTTCAGGTGATCGCCAGAAATACAGCATTATGTTGATGTGAAGCCATAATATTGATACAGACACTCACAGGGCCATTGACATGACAAACATGTTGAATAAACAGAGTTAACAAATTTATACTGGATTACCTTCTGTAGAGAGTCAACATATCTTTCGTGATATGGGTCATCCCCTCCTTTTGAGACTTGAAGATTCTTCACGGTCTCGGGTCTTACAGCATCTCGAGTGTATAACTGCCGGAAACATTTAGCCAGGATGTGCCGCACATCTTGAGAGTGCCCTGTTGACGGCCTCTGTAGATACATTGGAGGCTCCTGTCCCGAAGCATTCTGGGGCTCAGGGTTTGTCTTCCCCATGGTTGTGTTCTTGATCTAAAAAACAAAATACATTTACTCATCCTGTCATGGTTGTTATTGCCAAGTTATTGATAAGTCACTTTCCAGTGATTGTCACTTCTTGCATTGTTTTCATTCCTGTAGCTTCATATAATTATATTATTATGTATATTGTTGCCTGTCGCCATTTGATAGTTTTTTTAACATTATCAAACAAAGTTTTTGGAAATAAGTATTTCTTTACATAAACATAGCCTAATTAGATATTATCATCATCATCATAATGAAGTGACTTCTGGAGAAGTATGATGTCATAATGTGCTTCACGCCATTACTTTAATGCTTTTGAATTCTGACATTGAGTTCCAAATAAATTTAGAGGAAAATATGAATAGACTGTTCAATTTGAATGTCAATGAACTCAGCTGATGCTGATGCTACACAAGGTCTAAGCTTTGCTTATAAATTTGTGTCATCAAGTCAATGTAAATACAAAAACAGAGAATGTAACCGCATTTGCCGTGGAATGTTATTGATGACTCCACATCAGGAAATTAACCAAACATGATCTCTATGACTGAAGTTTGGACCTCCGAGTCAACTGTAAGTTCAACAATTGAACTGACAAGTGCCCGTTTAGTAAATCTTTAATACAAGTGTCAACTAACTCGGTAACAGGCATTTGAAACACTTTCCTTTGCATAACATGTCTTGAGTACGAATTACCTTTGACAAGTATCCTTAAATTACAAGTATGATCAATGAAAAGACATCTGAAAAGCAGAATATCCTCAATTTGTTGTCTGCGTTGTCAGGCACTTTCTTTCCTCCAACTGACTTCCGAGTACTTCCGGCAAGAGAGGTAACTCGCAATGCATTTGACAGCTGACTCACGAGAAATGTAACGTAGAGTATAATTGCTTGTTGTTACACCAGATCAAAACTAAAAACGTTTGGTATTGTGTGCAGAACCTCCCATATGACATCAACATATTTAAATCCCGTAAAAATCAGCTATAGAAGTTTCATTGTGTACATTTATCGACAGCTATCCCAGAACTGTCAACACGAGCAGACGTCACAAAGGACTTATTTAGTCACAGTCCACTGGCTATGTTGAACGTATTGCATACAGTTGATCCTGGATGAATCGTTTTGTAGGGTTATCTGTCGGTAAAATTGGGATGTAATTCTGTTATACGAAACATGCAAAACATACCTTCACATTTCCAGTCCATCTGCTTCATAAACAAAACTTCACTTTTCCAGTGTATCACCATAGAATCTTGCCTAATAAATATTCCTTCACTCTTCCAGGTGTATCAGATGGAGGAGGTGTAAGCAGGACCTGCCCATCAGCAGAAGTCAACAATGATCAAGGCTGAAGGTAACCATGGAAACATTTATTTACAATTTCATTTTCGGGGAATAGTTACTCATGCTCCATGTAGATGATATACTAGAAAGAAGAAATCCAAAAATGTGCAATGTGACCTCGCTGATTATGAATGATATATATTTACAGTGTTGTATGTGGGTATACGTTGGCACAAGAGGTGTAGGTGTTGACTCGCTTGCAGTGCTTGACAGAAAATATATATGTATCATAGCACAATGTTTGAAATTAAAGGGGCACTGATCTAACGGACTGGTTGTTGCCTTTGTTATTGTTTTTCCCCCGTGAGTACCCGGATGATACGCAACGCAACTGAGCGTGACCAGAGACTGGGGTACCGTCTGCAAGGACAGCTAAATAAACTTGGAGGCTGGAGGCAATATTTGTTATACGCATTTTTGAACACTGATTGGTTAACTGTGATCTATAAAGATTTCGACAAAGGACGCATGTTAATTCATTTCTTCAGCCTAAACAAACAGACAAAAAGAACAAGGGAGCTCATCGGACGTCGTCATTTGGAAATACCCCAGATGGTTATAGTTTAATACTAAAAATAGTATCCATGCAGTGAAAGCATTTTCGGATTTCGGCTTGCGTCGATAATACGATTACTACTCCCTTGTTGTCATCCACGTTTTCTCGTATAACCCTACACTTGTGTATTTGTCGTCATTCACTTGATGCTCAGTTAATGAATTTATTACAGGTACAATTAGTGGTAGCACCACTTATATTACCTGACAAAGGTTCCCATTTGGCATTTATTGTGTCTGGGGTAATTATTCAATCTAAATCCAGGTTTGAAGTGAGGTGAAATGTGTGTTATGTAATATGCACGTGGCAGCCCAGCAAGAGATGAATGATCACTTGATTTACTTTTTTTTTGTAAATCAACGGATCGTTCCTAGTCATCAAAGGATTAACAGAAAATACGTTGATTGATTAATCACTGTTATCTTGCACAGTGGATATGTCAAGAGTGAGTGTTTACATGTCTAGGTTTACTAAAACAAAGGGAATACACTCATATCATGGCGCGAAGTGCCGATGTAAAAACAACATACTTTGTTCAAAGGGTTAACTGATAATACGTTGATTGATTGATCATTGTTATCTATCACTCAATGGAATTTTTAGGAACCGTGGACACTATGAAAATAGTTGTCACCTGGGCTTTCTCAGCCGACCATTGAGACTTGACACCTATGTAAAACACCTGAAACAATCCAAGCGATCAGTTGAGAAACGAACACGGGTTATAATATCCCGAAACGATATATATCTTTTAAAATATTTGATTGTTACTGAGACACGTGACAACGAATAAGTTTCTTTGTACAGCTGCAGACGAGTGGGATATTGTTCCTTTTTGTGGATATTCACAGATACATTCCTCGAACAAGGAAGCTGCCTAAAACTTATACACATAAATTTGGTAGGTTGTAATTATGATATCTGCATTTTGTTTTCCTTCATTTGAACCGATTCGTTCTTGTTTCTCTACGTCTTGGTTGGGAAATTCTTCAATGTGCGATAGACGTTGTTGTCACAGGTCTTTTCCTTTGTAAGCGTGTATATATTACCGTCAATTTGTAAAATGTGATTCTCTCAGGCAATTTATAAAATGTGTAAATATTTCAGTCATTTTGACTAAAAAATCTGTCCAGATTGATCAAGACGATCAAAAGGGCCTACAAACATCACAACAGATTATTAGGTAGGATTAAAAGCCGAACAACTTAGAAATGTACTTTTCAACGTTACATTTTCAGTCTCTTGGTGATGACATTAAACATCAAAATGTTTGGAATTCGTTGTCATAATAATACAGATGGAAATGTTTTTCAGTCACTTTGTAAAATAACTGAATATTTAGACGTTTAATAAATTTGTTACACATTTTACAGTAAAAAAATATACACACTATAAAAAAAGCATATGCTCAGGTGAAATATATACTTTGTGTTGCAAGTCAAAATAGTGTAAACGAAAATCGCAAAGTTACCAAGCAAGTGACTTATCAAAACTTCGTCACCATTACCGATGCTACTCACAAAGATACCTACATTTCCTTATTATCTCGAAAACTGTATTTTATTTTGTTGATCAATGTACGAATGGCGCAGCAGAGGTCGCGAACTAGTCTAGATTTCTGCTATACATCCGGGTATTCACTGGGAAAAAACAATAACAAAGGCAACAACCAGTCCCGGGGAATTGCGTTAGATCAGTGCCCCTTTAAGCATGCAAACCAAAGAGTATTTTGTAAATGTTACCCCGGCAGCCTTAGAATTTTATATTTTCAGGACTAGTCCATGTTGTCCATAGGACTAGTGTAAAATCTTATGTCACTTTCCTTCAGAGTTTGTATCTAGTCCTGTCTCAACAAGACAAAATGTTTAAGATGTTTACAAGTGTGAATTTCGAAGGCTTGCATGCCTGTGTATTCACATGTATATTTATAGAAAATGTAAATAACTGTATGTTCACTCTATCACTTTGTGTGATTTTTGTGAATAAACCTTCTGTTGTGTTGTGTTCACTATTCAAATAGCTTTGAGGGCCTGTATGTTGTCAAGGTGTCTAATTCTAGTGTCATCAAGTGTGGAAATACATTTGCCCCAGCAAGCCTTCGAAATGCATGCTAGTCCACTAGCCTGAGACCAATTTGTGCTGACAACAGGTAAAAATCTGTTGATGGAAGTCCTCATAGGCTAGTATTGAGGACTATTATTAGGGGATAAACCTACTGTGTTTTGAAATTTGATGATAGTCCCACTGCAGAGTAGATACCTCTTTATTTTAATTTGGAACCAAAGTCTTTAGCATTCATCAATGCATGGTAGAATTCTGAACCAGTTCTCAATGCTTTAACTTTACTACAAATTGGAACTGAATAAAACTGATAGTAAATGTAAACATGGTAAACGTTTTTGTCTTGTTCAAGTACGACTAGCGACAAACTCTGAGGACCTGTGAAATAAGGTTTACACTAATTCTCTGGACTGCTCTCAATCACATTAAAATCAGGTCTTAGTGCTTGATATGGCTACACAAAAGATGGGAGGACATTTTATTTCAGGTCATTCTCTCTCCGAATCACAGCCCACCAACCAACTCACCCACTCACCAACCCACCCTCTCAACAACCCACCCTCTCACATTTTCACAGTGAATGAGTTTTACTTAACTTTTAGCAATATTCCAACAGAATAAATGTATGGGACATCAGAAATGGACTTCACACAAAGTGACATCTTACCCATGAGGGGAAAGGAAACCGGGTCTTCGGCGTGACGAGTGGCGCTTTAACCATTAGACTACCTGACGGTCCCCCGCCACACACACACACACATTATAGCTATGTTATGACAAGGATAGTGACAATTACCATAGAAAAAAATGCAACAGCAAAATTTGAATGCACATTCAGCACTATTATTACCAGCACATTATGGGTGATAGACTTGATTATTTTATGGCTGCAGTCCTATAGATGGGACATTGGTACATGCAGTGTTAAACTACAGACATCACTTGTTAAACTACATAAAAATATGTTCATATAATTTTCACCAAGATGATGCCTTTTACACCCAATGGAACCACTTTTGGTTGATAACCAAGACTGATAACCGTATTCGACGGAATAAGCGCTCAGGGCGCTCTCAAAATTAGAAATAGGGGGCTGTTATTAGAATATTATTTTGGTCCCTTTGCTGACGGCCTGACTGTTTATATACGACAGATATATTTTTCCAGAATTTAATTGCCCATAATTAAGGGTGCATATAAAACACGAGTGCGTATTATACACGAATACATAAGTCTTGTGTACATTGATCAATCGGAAGGGGTGCTAATTGGGATTGTTCACTTGCCAATATATTAGCAAATATCGCCGTGGGCGCTTATTAGAGCGGGGCACTTATTATGTCGAATACGGTAATCTTGTTGACATGTTTAAATTTTAAATGAATGAAGCACTGTAAAAGCCTCATTTATCGATCACAGTTATCTCCCTTCAACCATGAACCATGGCTTGAAACAAATAAATTCTTCCTTATGGTATCAGTCCAATGTTTAAGAAATGCAGTAAAAAAATTCAGAAATTGTAATTTTCTGTGCACACTGACTGTTTAAAAATGATTAGATTCAATAACTGATTATTATTTTGGTATAACATTTATGATTGCACGAACACAACCCCCCTCCCCATAGTATCACCAGTACCATGCTATAGCAAAAGTCATAATTCCCTGATAGTCAGCCCTAGCAAAATTCCTGGCAGTCTATTCTCAATACTCTCTTGGTGCTAAAATATCTTCAGTTTACGACAATAATTAAGGCAGGACAATAGGTTTAAGACATCTTAAAAGATTGCTCACATTGCAGTTGTAATTTCTGTAGCGACTAGTCATAATTCCCTAGTAGTCAGCCCTAGCAACATACCTGATTTCCCCAGAGTAAGTTCAACCAGGGTTGTAATAGTCATAATTCCCAAGTAGTCAGCCCTAGCAACATACCTGATTTCCCCAGAGTAAGTGCAACCAGGGTTGTAATAGTCATAATTCCCTGGTAGTCAGCCCTAGCAAAATACCTGATTTCCCCAGAGTAAGTGCAACCAGGGTTGTAATACTCATAATTCCCCAGTAGTCAGCCCTAGCAACATACCTGATTTCCATAGAGTAAGTTCAACCAGGGTTGTAATAGTCATAATTCCCCAGTAGTCAGCCCTAGCAACATACCTGATTTCCCCAGAGTAAGTTCAACCAGGGTTGTAATAGTCATAATTCCCAAGTAGTCAGCCCTAGCAACATACCTGATTTCCCCAGAGTAAGTTCAACCAGGGTTGTAATAGTCATAATTCCCCAGTAGTCAGCCCTAGCAACATACCTGATATGTCTTGAGGGACTAGTTGGTTTCTTTAAAAAATCTAGTTACCGTATTTAAAATATGAAGTGTGAACTAGTTGGATATGACCAGTGGTGTCTATGTCTGTAATGTCATCTAATATACTTCAGCAGCTAGGAATGACAGCAATATTGTTTTAACACTTACTTTCTGTTTCAGATGGATGATGGGACAGTTTCCATGGTTACCGAAATGCTGAATCTATCTCTGCAAGATAATCCTTGGTCCTCCACTTAAGCTGTGTTAAATAGTTCGTCTTTTCAACTGAACGGATGACTTTTTTTAAAGCTTTTTTTTATTCAAAAGCAACAGCTTTTGACCATTATTACAAATGATTGAAATGTGCACAATGGGGCCAATATGCTTAATATCCAAATGCACTTTGTGAGAAGACACATATGTACATATAGTTCTTATATATGAAATAGTATGATGGCATAATGTTTATATGAAACATTCACAATATAAGGCATCTATTTTTAAATGTTAACCTCAGTCTTTCATTAGCTTTAGTCTGTATGGAAATATATGGACAAAGTTACTGGTGACACTGAAAAGAGTTGTGGTGGTATTTTCCTAGCAGACTGACCATGCTTATTATGTGTGAACATTCAGCTGATAAAGTCTGGTGCAAAACATGATTTGATATCTTGAACAAGCCGATGGAAACGTGACAAGTGCATTTTGAGAACCAATCAACAGAGGACAATGTCTTCCCCTGACAACTCCCTCGTCCTCTGTGATCTTCCCCACACCGTCCTCCTCCACATCTTCTCCTTCCTTGAGATCCAGGACATCATCAACATTGTCAGACAGACTTGTAAGCTGTGGTACGAGCTCAGCTACGATCGCTACCTCTGGAAACACCTTGACCTTGATCATATCGGAGACCACCTAACGGATCAGTCGTTCCTTACGTTACTTGACAGTGTGTCTCATCATGTCGAGAAGCTGGACTTCGGGATGGCTGTTCATCTCACTGATGGATCCTTCATGCATAAGAACATATCGTGTCCTCAAATGAAGTCCATCAACTTCAGTTTGACAACAGTCAGTAATGCAAGTATTGCATATCTTGCTGAAAAATATCCAGATCTGGAAGGAATCGAGATTAATGACTGTAGCTATATTAATATTTATAACTGCCTGGGTTACCTGTCCACTTTGAAGAAACTCAAGTCAGTGTCCTTTGATGACTTTGGTTGTTCAGCTGAGCCAGAAAGGTTGAACAGAAAGCTGAAGGAGCTGTTTGTCTCATGTCCTCGGCTGGAGACTATAGTCATAGATTCGGAAGAACTGTCTGATGATGCTTTGGCAAGCTTGTTTGAAAACTGCCCGAATATTAAAAGTTTTGTCCTAGCGCATTGTCAGTATATTTCTCAGGATGCTTTTATTGGCATTAAAGGCACTGCCACCAATCTGGTGAATGTTGGTCTTGCTTATACTCCAGTTGAGGACAAGGTGCTGAAGGTGATTGCAGAGAGTTCCCCGTACATGAAAGAGCTGGATATAACAGGCTGCATCCACATCACCGACATCGGGGTGGGGCATGTGGCTGACAACTGCCCAAATCTTGAGAAACTTATCGGGAATCGATTACATCACGAGGGAGGTTGTAACATCACTAATGTCGGACTGAGTTCAGTCGCAAGTGGATGCCCTAAACTGAAGATCTTGGATGTCAACTTCTGTGATGGTGTGACGGACACTGGAATCACTGCAGTGGCGGAACATTGTCCACGACTGACCGAGATTGGGTTGTCAGGATGCGTAGGGATCACAGACCGGGCTGTGATAGCTTTAGCTGAACACTGTCAATGGCTGTATCATGTCAACCTCACCGAGTGCATTCATGTGACTTCCAAGAGTATCATTCTCCTTGTGGCCAAGTGTCGATGGCTCAGTAATCTTTCCCTAGAGACCTGCCATTACCTGGCTAAGATAAATCTAGACGAGTACCTCGGGTCAGGTGTGGATACAAAAAACACAGGAGGATGCAGATCCAAAACGATCACAGATGATGCAACAGAGAAAAGAGCCCCTAGAGCTACTGAAGAATCATCTCTTGAATCAGTTCCAAAAACAAGTGCTTCTGTGACTAGCACATCCCATCCAGATGAAGACAAGAATCTTGGAGCAGCAGGTGTTGAGTGTGATCCAAGTGTCCCTCATTCTGGGCAAGTTAAGAGCCCTACAGGAGTTCAGACCTTCAGTACAATTGGATCGAGCTTGTGTATGGATCTTAGTGGTGACAGTGGTTTGTCTCTAGTTGTGCAGCCTCTACTGCCCAATTCTATCTTGATAGACGAAGGAGGAAAGGGGATGTCTGCCTGCTGTGTTTCAGAGTGTTCACCAGCATCAGCCACAGATCCACCAGAAGACGATACTTCCCAGCTTGCAGAGGTTGCCTACGTCAACAGGTTCTTCCCTCACCCAAACCATTCCCATCTGACCAGCATTCACCTCAGTTTCTGCTCCAAGATTGCCAATGACTCTATCAAACAGTTGGCGAAACACTGCCCAGATCTGATGTATGTGTCTCTTCGAGGCTGCTTCCTGATCACAGACACTGCTGTGGAGGTTCTTGTGAGGTCTTGCCATAATCTCCACTTTCTGGACATCTCGGGCGGTTCGGCCATCCAGTCGATGAGGCTCACGAATGGGTCATTGATCGCTGTTGCAAACTACAGCAAGTCATTGAAGAGCTTGATGATCTGCCGTAACAAGCTCATCACCCTCGACGGCCTGCAGCGTATCCTCCGTGACTGCAAGTCTCTGATTGGAGTGTGGGTGACTGTCGGGGATCAGTTGAGGATAACGTTCAGTGGGGTGCTGGAGCTGGTGAAAGACATTGACGACAGGTATGTGAAAATCACCAACACTTCCCAGGTTGAGGCCAATGGTAAACAGGGGAACCTCTGCATCTCACTCATCCCCAAGAAGACTCCTCACATCCGACTCCTCCAGGTTTGACAAGGTTCTCCTCAGATGAATCTCTCCTCCATATTGTCCTATGCCATCCCAATCTTTTTGTTTTATGTTTAATAGGCAAAACCAGTTTAATTATTTGTTTTATGTATTTTTATGCCGCTCAAAAGTAGGGGAAATTAATTTAAAAAACATAATTTTCACTGATGACTAAATTACTATTGTGCCTTTTGTGTGTATGGTACACTCCCATCTTTTAAGGTTCATATGCATTTGTTTTGGGTAAAAAAATATCATCCGTTTGCTTCAGGTGAAATGTTTTCCTGGAGTCCGTTGGAAACAACAAAAGTAGTCAAAATATGTCTTGTAACTTTTTGTTGTCTAACCATAGTCCAAGTATTGACACTAACATCTTCTGAAAATGATGTCAAGTAGGAGTTCTAGTTTGTAGAAAGTTTTCAACACGGAGTGCAAAGGAAACAATAGAACCTACTGAAACTGTGTAGGTAAAAAAACGGCAGCCAAACGCACTAAAAAATAAACTAAAGAAGCTATTTGATGGATCATACATTCAAGCATTTCTTTGTTTCATTGGTACGTACCATGTATTATAGCCTTATATTGGGGAATATTTGTTTAGGGGTGTTTCTCCTTAGTCTTTGTTCAAACTGGATTTTGAAGCTTCTTTTTGACTCCCAAATCTTTTTGTTGCAAAGATATTTGCATGAGGTCTTGCCTATCATTCTCATCTTCGACCCTGATCTGATCTGATCTACTAAAACTGGTGTGTAAGGCATTCCATCAGTATAAAGGCAGATAAGACTTGATTCATGTTCAAAGGCAGCCATGTTGTTTTCCATGATGCTATAAGGCGTTGATGTTGTTGATGGTGTAGGTGAGATTCTTTCATATTGTGATTAAGGCATTTGTATTAGATTCAGTTATTAAGAATTAATTGTCGTCAATAGCGATCAACTGATTGAATAACGGCACAGAAGCATTACAAATCGTGGATACATATACAACTGATTGCACAGTTGGACAAGTTTTTATAAGATGCATGATGAATTAAAACAATGGAGCTTTTTTCTTACTAGAATAATATAGTTATCAAACCAATATGAATTATTGATGTGAAGGGGCGGTCGGGTAGCCTAGTGGTTAAAGCGTTCGCTTGTCACGCTGAAGACCCGGGTTCGATACCCGACATGAGTACAATGTGTGAAGCCCATTTCTGGTGTCCCCCGCCGTGATATTGCTGGAATATTGCTAAAAGCGGCGTAAATCCATACTCACTATTGAGAATTAATTGTTGTAAGTAGCGATCAACTGATTGAATAATGACACAGAAGCATTACAAACCATGGATACATATACGACTGATTGCACAGTTGGACAAGTTTTTATAAGATGCATGATGAATTAAAACAATGGAGCTTTTTTCTTACTAGAATAATATAGTTATCAAACCAATATGAATTATTGATGTGAAGGGGCGGTCGGGTAGCCTAGTGGTTAAAGCGTTCGCTTGTCACGCTGAAGACCCGGGTTCGATACCCGACATGAGTACAATGTGTGAAGCCCATTTCTGGTGTCCCCCGCCGTGATATTGCTGGAATATTGCTAAAAGCGGCGTAAATCCATACTCACTATTGAGAATTAATTGTTGTAAGTAGCGATCAACTGATTGAATAATGACACAGAAGCATTACAAACCATGGATACATATACGACTGATTGCACAGTTGGACAAGTTTTTATAAGATGCATGATGAATTAAAACAATGGAGCTTTTTTCTTACTAGAATAATATAGTTATCAAACCAATATAAATTATTGATGTGAAGGGGCGGTCGGGTAGCCTAGTGGTTAAAGCGTTCGCTTGTCACGCTGAAGACCCGGGTTCGATACCCGACATGAGTACAATATGTGAAGCCCATTTCTGGTGTCCCCCGCCGTGATATTGCTGGAATATTGCTAAAAGCGGCGTAAAACCAAACTCACTCACTCACTATTGAGAATTAATTGTTGTAAGTAGCGATCAACTGATTGAATAATGACACAGAAGCATTACAAACCATGGATACATATACGACTGATTGCACAGTTGGACAAGTTTTTATAAGATGCATGATGAATTAAAACAATGGAGCTTTTTTCTTACTAGAATAATATAGTTATCAAACCAATATAAATTATTGATGTGAAGGGGCGGTCGGGTAGCCTAGTGGTTAAAGCGTTCGCTTGTCACGCTGAAGACCCGGGTTCGATACCCGACATGAGTACAATATGTGAAGCCCATTTCTGGTGTCCCCCGCCGTGATATTGCTGGAATATTGCTAAAAGCGGCGTAAAACCAAACTCACTCACTCACTATTGAGAATTAATTGTTGTAAGTAGCGATCAACTGATTGAATAATGACACAGAAGCATTACAAACCATGGATACATATACGACTGATTGCACAGTTGGACAAGTTTTTATAAGATGCATGATGAATTAAAACAATGGAACTTTTTTCTTACTAGAATAATATAGTTATCAAACCAATATGAATTATTGATGTGAAGGGGCGGTCGGGTAGCCTAGTGGTTAAAGCGTTCGCTTGTCACGCCGAAGACCCGGGTTCGATACCCGACATGAGTACAATGTGTGAAGCCCATTTCTGGTGTCCCCCGCCGTGATATTGCTGGAATATTGCTAAAAGCGGCGTAAATCCATACTCACTCACTCACTCACTATTGACCTGAAAATCTGAACTATCAGTATTTGTGTTGTAGCATTTTTCAGTAGTAATTAGTAATACAGTGTTCCCTCACTATTGCGCTCTTCAATATAGCGCTAACTCGGTTAGAGTGCGCAGTAAAGCATGGCTCCCAAAATTTACTTACATTTTTAATAAACTCAAGTTTTCTAATGACACAATGTTTTCCCCATATCAAAAAACATTATCAGCTGATCACCGCGATCACATAACACCGGAAATAGCAGTCAACAAATCCGAACTGAAGTACGCAAGTTAATCCCCTTATTATACTATCTGATTATGAAAAGGTATTCATTGTTTATCTGGACTTATGTTTGTAATATATGTTATTAATTTTATTCAAAATTTCATTCAATAATGTTTATCTATACTGTTTTGTTGGTCATCTACCCCCTATGATTCCACCTCAGTTAAACTGCTGATCGTCTATAGCGCTCATCAATTATTTGGACCTTAAAGGTAGCGTTGTCGCGAGGGATCACTGTGTTTGTATTTTTGTTTATGAAGGAATGTTTGACTACTGGTATGTTAACTTAAAAATATATACCGTATTCGACGTAATAAGCGCCCCCCTCTAATAAGCGCCCACGGCGATATTTGCTAACATATTGGCTAGTAAACAATCCCAATTAGCACCCCTTCCGATTGATCAATGTACACAAAACATATTTATTCGCGTATAATACGCACTCGTGTGTTATATGCACCCTTAATTATGGGCAATTAAATTCTGGAAAAATATATCTGTCCTATATAAACATTTCAGGCTGTCAGCATAAACCACGAAATTTATCCTTTAACTCTGTTTTTTTCCCTATTTCTAAATTTGAGAGCGCCCTGGGCGCTTATTACGTCGAATACGGTGTATATATATATGATATTTTAGGGAGACTATACTGGTACATATCAGGTAATCTTGTTGATAATGTTTGAATTTTGTGCAGTGGGTGGTTAAGTATCATGATAAGCATTAATCATCTCATGAATAGAATTCATAGCTGCATCACTGAGTCACCATTTTGTTCACTTCAGTTGATTTCTGCAGTGTTATGAAATCAAGCTGTATTATTCATTAATCGTGTTGTTGTGTTTTGGAAGGGAATTTGAATTTATATCATGTCTATTCTTTACTTTAGTTATCAATGCTTATTTGCATTGTTATACAATTTTAACATCCTCATTCCTTTTTGTCACTAGTGGTAACAATTTAGCCATATATTATTTAGTTGAAATATTTTACAAGATCTGCTATTTTCAGCAATAGTGTTTTTAGGTGTGAATTAATTTAAAAGTAGGAAAGTTTTTTCTCACAATTTGGCAATTATTTATTTCAGTGTTTGAAACAAAATGTTAATCCATCATATGTGGCTCGTTGATCATTTCAAGTCATACCAGTGGCTATGAGCTACATGACACAATATTGCAGCTGTTTTGGTTAAATATTTAAATGCCATGATTTTGAACAGTTTTGAATAGTTTTTATCTGTTGTGCAGATGGAAAGAGTTGTGTCCCTTAGTCATTCGAGGATCTGCAGATAATGTTCTAATATCTAATATGATCCTTTGGCTAAATGACAAACCTAGAAACATAATCAGGGCCAAGTTATTGCTTTGAAAGTCTTAAGAAAATATGTGACCTGTACAACTTTTAGCTCTCGTCACAATAACTAACAGCGACCATATTACTGCAATGATTTCAACATGTTCAAAGGGCCATATTTAAACTAACTAACTCACTCATGGCTTTAACTGCAATTTTCTCACGTAATCTATTGATGAGAAACTGGGTAATATTTCTGAGCCAATGGGATGCAGAGAACACAGACTCTACTGCCCAATCAAATTGCTTTTGCCCACTAGAAAAATTATGTAAGAAAGGGAAGGATGTTGGGGCTGGGACGAGTCCAAATTTACTACCCGGGTACCCACCCCGCTGTTACCCGGCCCTACCCGGGTACCCGCTACATGTCTCAAGAGTTTGGTACAAAAGGTTCGATTGAAAATAGTTTGAGCGTAGCCCTGGTAAAATGTATTTAAATTTATGTATAAAATGATCTGGTCATGCATACACTGAAGTTGACTGAAGTGTTATTTTTATTCAAACCTATAGAGGTCAGAAGCAATGGTACTTAGAAAGAAATGCGAACATTTGTGACTTGTAGTGTAACCATAGAGTTCTAGATATTTATAATCATTAAACACTATATCACATGATTAATCATGGGTCCGAGTAGTCCTGTGGGTACCCGGGCCCTACTCAGTACCCACCCGACCCGAGTACCCGAGTTACCTGTCCCAGCCCTAATTGATACATACACTTTATGGTATGAACAATGCACTGTTACTTGCAAAACCATATAGAGTAGAAAAAGATGCTATGATATTATTGTTCTGTATTATATAGTTTTAATTATAGTTTTTGGTGAAATTGTGTGCATACCAAAGATTGTCAGCTGTGAATCGTTGTCTTTCATTTGCACTACATGTATTCCTATAGATCTAGTTAGAAATTATATTTTAAATGAGAACTTATATAATAAAGATGATGTGATGCTGATGCACTAGGAGGATTACAGTGTAATGGTGCCAGTTTATAGGAAAATATTGCAGACAATACATATATACGGTAGTAATTAGAAGTTGGCATTACTGTTGGCATTATTGGTCAAGTTCAGATTTGAATTTACTGAAACTTGAATTGAAATAATTATGTTCCTGCTGAACAAGATTACAAGATAATTATGATGAAATTACATTAATGAATATACCAAAATGAAATGTATTATAATATTTTGTGTATATTCATGAGAAGAACATTGCATTTATGTTTGTATAATGAATATTAATTACTTATCAAGTGGTCATAAGGTACCGTATTTCCTCAAATAAACGTCGGACCTTGATTAAACGCAGCTCTTTTTTTATGCATGGAATTCTTCCCAATATTATCTCTGTGATTAAACACTGGGGGTAAGGGGTGTCTTAAAAAAATATACGCCCAGGTGTTTAATGGAGGAAATATTGTACCCTTTGTCTTTCTGGAATACATTTCTGTAGTGTATGAGCAATGGTCAATACTTTAAATATCATCAATAGGTTCCAATGCAACCAGTGAATACATAGGGATGATTTGCGGTGTAGTAATGATGTGTGTCTGTTTTGAGTCAGCTTATGGAATGATGCCATTTACAACTCACACAAGTCAAATGAGTCTAGCTCTGTGCATGAATGTTATGAGTCACGTACCATTGCCTAATGTTGAAGCATTGTGTAAGGGCTGGGAGGAGTACAAATTTACCACCTGGGTACCCAACCCCCTATTACTAGATCTCAAGAGTTGGGAGCAAAATGTCTGATTGTGAATTGTTTTACCGCATCCCTAGCAAAAACTATTTAGGTACGTGTATCAAACGATCAGATCATGTGACACAGAGGTTAACTGAAGCTTTATCTTTACTTTGTTTGTTGTTTAACGCCACACTCAGCAATATTTCAGCTATATGACGGCAGTCTGTAAATAATCGAGTCTGGACCAGACAATCCTTTTATCTTTACTCGAGCATATGAAAAGTCAAAAGCAATGTATGCAGCGTCAGAAAGAAATGTGAACATTAGCGACTTCTAGTATAACCACTGAGCTACAGTGAGTTTTTGTCTTTTAAACAATATATCACGTGACTAACCATGGGTCCAGGTAGTACTGTGGGTACCTGGTTCCTACTCAGGACCCACCTGACCCGAGTTACCCGTCCCAGGCTACATTGTGTAGAGACACATGTGGCACGAGAAGTTTTGTGATGTAATCTGTGCACTCATTGGTCAGAGTACTCGCAAGTTTCTTTCTGGCTTAAACCAGGCCGTGTCTTGATTCGGTGGTTGAAATTGGCTAGACTGGTCCCCTGCACAGGTGTGCTCAACAGGGACAGGAGTCCAATCTTGGAAATGGCAAGTACCGTATTTCCTCTATTAGACGCCCAGGCTTCTATTTATTTCGGACAAGCCTTTGACCCGGCGTCAATTAGAGGCCCGGCGGTTAATTGAAGGCCCGGATTCTATTAATACCCCTATTTCACTATGACCATGAATGTCCCGA